CATTTCTCCGGTGCCTGTGTCTTCGCTATTGTACGCATTGTACGAGGATCAACCCAATAATATCTGCAATTAGGATCAAACAGTGTAGATCGAACGCCGAATGATGACTGAGTGAAACGCAATAGTGAGACTCAATAATTGAAAGTGAGAAATAACTGTCCTAAGAAACGTGTGCTCGAGCGTTATACAGAAATTTCCGGGCGCGAGCGTTGGTATACGTCATGATATTGAATTTTTGAAATTCCGAGAGAGGGAGAAAAAAAATGTGCCTAACGAATTAATTAACTAGCATTATTTTCAACGATTTTTATAATATTTCGGTGCGCACGAATTGTTCCAAGCAATTCATTCTCCGGAGACGACACGGAAGACTTTCCCGAGCGATTCGTTCACCGAGCAATTCGGATGTCGCGCGGACAATTATTACGCTAATTATTATTCCACCGAAGCGACACTCTCTTAATCTTTTCTTAGGCTCGAACACGCGTAACGGGGCAATTTCTATCGACGCTTCTGTTCGTGCGTCGAAACTCGCCCTACGTGTGGGCCGCTGGTTTTACTTTTTACGCCATTCGCTCGGAGGAGCTAAACTCAATTTCGGTGCGTGTTACCGAGCGGGAAACGACAGGACTTTCTATTTCCTTCATTATATGAAAAATCCCGACGATCGTGAGAGAGTCCGCGAGAGAGAGAGAGAGAGAGAGAGAGCGAGGAAACGTGGCCGGCTACGTGGAGTGGTCACGTTTTACAATAAATTCCGCTCGCTGACGGCGCGACACGACTTTTCTATTAGCTCAAACGACGAAACTTTGGCCAGTTGATCTCGTGTACGCGATACGAGCGTAATCTCGTAACTCTCGTTATATATATATATATATATATATGTACCGTATATCCTCGCCGCCCGGTCGACATAACGAGCGTCGATGAGTCGGCAGATCCGGCGAGCCACTTCATCAAGCGGCGTTACCGAGGAGCTGTCAATCGCAAAACGATCACCCTGTCAAACCCTTTCAATGACTCGTGAACTCGTCTGTCAACGCCTCTCCTCGCGGCCTCGAACCGTCCCGGCACCCCACGCACTATAGGCGCTTCACATCGCGCTTCATCGGCTCTACGAAATTCAAATCCCCGTCGTTGCGAGCAATTACACGCCATTATCGAGCTTATCAGTTGTACCGCAAGTACCGCAAGTGTCGGGTGTCGTAAGGGCGCGGGGGGAGGCTAAAAACACGGTGGTACACCAGTTACAAACTTTCGTTCGCGCAATTAGACGCAACTCGGCTCGATGAGTTTCACTTCTGAGTTCGAGGTTCAAGGGGATTATTTTCCGCAAGGTTCGTATCTCATTGGATGCGTAGAATTACAATTGTTTAAACACACGGTGAATGTGGAGCTCGAGTATCGCTCGACTTGAGGCGAAAAAACGATGAGAGATCTCAAAGCGACTGCTCTGGCTGCGCGTAAGTTAGCGTAACTATTTACTGGGCACAGAAATCCTGCAGCTTCACGGTGAGAAATGTTGCGCGTTAAAAACGGTCCGGTGAAATTTCACCAAGTTCGTCATCGACGCTTCGAACTCTCAAGTCGACCTTGGCATTCCCCCGAGCATCGCGAAGAAGAGCATCGGGAATGAACGCGAAGAGAGACCGAACTCTCCTCTCGTGTCATCTTTCCCTCAGCAATCAACGCGAGAACAGCGAAGCCGGACGAGCAATTAAAAGAATCGCACGTCGGGAGGCGAGGGGGGATTAAGACAACTCGTTTGTGCACTGCCGCGCGCTTTTCCAAGCGAGTAGGCGCGCGCGCGTTTCAGACAGGCGACAAATCGGCGCGTGGTCGCTCGCGCAAGGATCCCCGGAGGAAGACGGGATACACGCGCGACGTAGCGAGAGATCGATCGGCTCGTTTCCGAAGGGAATAGCCAGTCACGGAGACGCGAAACCCTCGACGAGTACGCCAGCCGAGTACCGAAAGGCTCCGGCACACAAACAGAACCGTCTTGCGGTCATTCTTCGTCGTAATTACCGAGAAGACAAGGGAAAGAGAAGAAGAAGAAGATGACGAAGAGGAGAAGAAGAGGGGGGGAGAAGCACGGACAGACGGAAGAGTGCGGAAGGGAGTCAGTCATGGCGGAAGGGTAGCGGAGCTTATAAGTGGCACGGGTGGAAGCGGTCTTGCCCGAGAATAATGCGCGGACCCCGGGGAGTTGGCTTTCAGGGAAAATGCTGATTGCTTCCCCGCTCACGCTCCTTTTCCTTTCATACCAATTCTCCATCCGCCTATCCTTAGTTCCCATCCCTCGCGCCCTCCCGCCCTCCCCCTCGCTATCAATCTTCGACTTCGTCAGCGGCGAAGACGTATATCGCCGTGTGGCCAGCTCACGCGTATACGCGTGCGGCGTGTAGGCCGCTCTCTTCTGCTATCGAGCCTTAAACGTTCCTTATCTCGCGACACCAACCGTCTCTTCCCCTGGCGAAAATATCGAGGCATCGCACTTCGAATCTTACGAGACTCTACGCACGCGTGTCCGTGTGACTTTAATTCCCGTATAGAATGCATACTTTTAGCTGAGCTAAGTGTGCAATTAAATTTCCATCGGAGTAAAATCGGGGGGAGGGGGGGGATGTTAAACCGAAGAATATAACTTCGCCGTCTGTCTTCCTCCCTTGAAGCTCCGTCGGCCGGGAGCCTCTCACGGGTAAAGGAAACCCGAGTATTTTCTTAAATCATGCCCCAACTCGTGTTATTAAATTAAAGCCGGCCGACGGAGATGTAACACGCTGAACGCAGAGCGTTTGAATTCTTTCCCGATGGGATTCTTACGGCTGTTCTTAATAAAAACGGGGCGGAGCGCACCGTGAGCGCGGGACAGTACTGAAAGTCGCAATATAGCCTTTGATGCTTTGCCTTTTCAGAGGGACGAGCGTGAAAATTAGGTGGGCTAAAAGCGTGGGGTAACCGAGTTATTACGAATAAAAGAGGAACGGGCGCAGCGGGCGCGCGCGCGCGCGCGGGCACAGCGTCGAGCGGGCGAATGGAAAGGGTGGTGGAGGCACTATTAAAAGCCTGTAATTAATGCGGTTAATTGTATTGCGCTAAACGTGAACGTCGAGTCGATAGCGAGCGTCAGCGGGACGAAACGGAAGCGGGCTTTTTGAAAAAAACCTTGGCAATTAAGACTGCACTCGATAGCAGCATCGTCGTGCTGCCATGCGTCACCGAGAGAGTGTTTGAAGACCCGACGTCAAAAGGATCGGCGAAACGGTAGAAATAAAAATCTACGAAGTAATCTCGCCTCCCGCCGAGCGGGAGGAATTACTTTCTTCGATAGTTTCTGGCACGTACAGCATTTTGCACAACATTACTACACTCGCCCGACGGAGGATCTTTTCTTTTCGGCAAAAAGTGATTTTTTTTTGTTTTTAATGACCGTCCTCCTTTCTCAAGACTGATATTACGTTTGATAAGCCTTCACTTATCTTGTAAAAATAATGTCACATATGTATTCCCACGGGTACTTAATCCGACACAAGCCGGTATTACTCGGGAAAATTAGATTTCGTCCGCTGCATCTACCCCTCTAACCCGAAGAACTCCTTCATTCTTCTCTCTCTCTCTCTTTCTCCAGTCTTGATAAAGAAGATATTCGTTCTTAATAGAAAAAATCGTACGGGAATAAGAATCTAAATCGCTGATATTGACTTTCGTGAAGATACACCAGGATAAACATGTGGTTCAACTGTGACGTTACTTGATTGTTGTATAAAATTTACGAATAGTAATAAGCAAATTTCATTGCGAATTCGCACAGTATCTGGAAAAATACAGTCGAGCATGATCGAATCTGACTGGTTGTTTCGGCCAGTGTCGGAGGTAAGTGCGCAAAATACGCGAGTCGAGACGAAATTGCAAAGGGGAGTGGATCGTAATTTTGACCACTTTCCGCAATTGACAGTTTTCAGGGAGGGCGATTTTGCCTTCTGTTAAAGGCAGATGCGCCCTCGCCCGGCGTTCAGACTATTTCCGCGTCATTCAAGATTTCTTCCAACGGAAGTGGCTCGATTCTGTTCCAGAATATTGCTTATGACTTAGATGACGATGATAAAGAGGGAGGATATTTCGTTTCGCGGCGATTGATTGCCCAGAAGTGTCGTTATTTTATAAATTACAATGCGTTAATTATTTTACAATGTATTAATTATTTTATAAATTATATCGTGCATGTCTGCGTGTATATTTCATTCTTAGGAATACAAAGTGTCGTTTGGAGAAAAATTATTCTACCCGAGAACTAAGAGAAAATGATGACACTTCGCACCAGCGTCGACGATAAAGACTAGGCGGTTAATAACGACGGACTGTGTGAATATCAAATTTCGATTCGCGAATTTCTTCCTGCTGTCGGTAAATTTGTCGGACGTCTGTTGAGATCAGAAATCTCTAACAGTCATAGAAAATCTAACGCAAATCTTACGAGTGTCTTAACGTGGGATAAACGAACATTAACTGACCATTTGTAGCATCGAAATAGAACGATAACCCGTAGTATTTCGTCTCTTAACGCTTCAAATATTGCATAAGTAGAACTTACGAGAGAATGTCGGTTAGAAACTTTTCGGGCCTGATCGAATCGCGATCGACGAGTGTATAGTCGGTTCAAGGAAAGCCCGATCGAAGAGAGTCTCTTCGCGGTACGCGCGGTGAAGTGTTGACGCAGAGCGACTCGATTCTCCGTCCTCGCGAAGGGACCCCCTCGTCCGGCGACCCGAAGAAATCAGAGGGCTGGTCGTTGGGTGGCTTCGCGCAATTTCTATTTGCCCGTCGTAATTTCTTGCCAAGAGAACGAAGTTCGATGAAAAGGGAGTCGTAATGAGATTTCATTTACGCGCCGTGTGTGCTTAACCGCGACGTTTGTCCGCGCGACTTCGCGCGACGGCTCGCGGACGAACGCGATGACGACGAAGTAACTGATTAATCGTCTCGTCGATATCACGCAGAACATCAGCGGAGGGATAAGATTCGAGAATGGGGGGCGGAGAATGGAGAGGCTGGTTGCAACGATGCCGGGAATCCCGCAAGCTCGTTCTCATCATCGTTGCCATCGCCCTGCTGTTGGATAATATGTTGCTGACGACTGTGGGTAAGTGGCTGTCTATGCCGTATTTCACGGCACTGATTGAAACTCAATTAAATATTAATTCGCCCTCCCGTAACACCCGTACTTTAACCATTGGAGGAAAAGCACAGAAACTGACATAGTTGTTACAACAATTTCATCCTGTTTCCGTTTCCTCGTTGCGAATATATATTTTTCTACGTGTTCTGCCAACGCTGAGTTTGTCAATGCAACACTCGAGATAATAATCGCATAATCTGAACTATAAATAGATAACAATCACGTTACTGATTTGCATTTCTGTTGCATTGCGTTACATTGAAGCCGATGTCGTCTTTCCCGGCAGCTTCTTTTCAGCCCGGCTGCGCGTTGTTGCCTCTTTAGGCTTGTAACTTTAAGTTCCAGCGGGTCAAGTAGCGAGAACTATTAACTGCATCACTTTCTCTCTAACCGTCACGTCTCAAGCAGCACACTTTATCCGAGGGACGTCCTACGGACGTCATTTTGAGATATCGTGGTAACCACAGGATATCCTAAGACGATCCTCAGATTCTCAGATCCTCAAATATCCGCTGGATATCCAGCAAACATACGGACGTCGTTTGAGATATCCGTTGAATATCTTAAACGACGTCCGAAAGATGAAACTTAGGAAGTTCGAGAAATCATCATCACGACGGGAAGGATATTTTACCGGCGAACGATTTCGATTAATTCGTGGCAAAGGAATTCAGGATCATCATCGCTCGTTTCTCGTAGCTGTCGAGCAAACGCACGGGTGAAAATACAATACCGAGCTGAGTTGACGTGTGCAAATACGATGAGATTTCGCGCGAGGAACTTTCATCGGGATATCCGACGCTCAATCCATATTATCGCGCGGTTAAACTCCGGCTTTTAACACCCTCGTTCCATTCCGCCGGCATCCTATCGACACCGGCCGCTACCTCTCCACGCGGTCGCGAGATCCGATGTTTAATTCAAAAAACGTTCGTTTATCGCGCCGGCCCGGAATCTCGGCGGAACGTATGGACCTGCTTGTATCGCGCCGCCAATCCGGATAAGTGGTCATGCATTTATGCAGCACCGTGTAGCAAGACTCGTGATCGTCGCGTGCAAACCCGGCGGCGGAGAACGTCGTCGCGCTTATCGAACAAATCGCGGGATCCACTTTCAATCGTTACCTGCATCGGACTAAATGAATAAAAGTCCCACACGCGCGCGCGGAAACCCGCGTAAATCGTGAAACGCGCAATCCTATTAAAACCCGCGCCCGTACGTAACGTAAAACGTTTACACATTTTTACAAACTTCTTCCCAAACCCGGTCATCATTCTTAACGCTCGGTCTATCAACGACCGTTAGGATTTTTTTTCGTCAAGCTTAAAGCGCTTTAAAGAAAGTTCACCGAGATATATCTTGTAAATAATAATTTCTCGATATCTATAAAATCTATAAAATTGCGAAGATATCTATAAAATTGTGATGATAAATTGTCAGGACGCAGCAGTTCGAGGGGAAAGTGTCGCTGCGACGAAAAAAAAAGACTGATTGGAGGTGCTGGGATTTGAACCCAGGACTTTCAGCATGCGAAGCAGACACTCTACCACTGAGTTACACCCCCGGTTGATAACACCTCTTTCGGATTTATTATATACCGGCTCGACGATCCTACCCTTAAATTGATTAATAACATTTGTCTACTCGTGAATACGATATCGTGCAAAATAGAATAGCGCGTGACTGTCCTGCGTTTCTGTAAAGCCTGAGTCGCTGCGACTGGACGGGAAATTTAACTTGGATAGGAAATTTCCAGCAACGATGGTTTAATATAAAAAAAATCTAAACTTTTTGCTAAATTGATCTTGAGGCATCGCACCTTCCATTTTTACACATTGCCGGGCTTTCATTTCAGTCCCAATAATGCCGGAATTCCTCTATGACATCAAACATCCCAACGCAACATTGAGCGAACGTCTGGAAGGAAGCGGGTCTCATCAAACTATAATCACCACTACCGCCTCGCCGACAACCACAACGACAGCAACGGCTACATCAACAACGCCAAAATGCCCGTGCGCCCCGAACATATCGGTTCCTACCGGATTAGCATTTCGACACCCCACCACCCCCGCCATGGACCTAGGTGAGGCACGCCCCGTTATTGATCATCGTATCAATCTATTCGCACCGCAATGATATATTAGCATGCGATGCAAATTTTTTCCATCTTCTTCTTTTTAATTTCAGAAATTACCACGGTCAATCTTACGTTGTCGGAAGTAAAGGAAAAAGAGCAGAGGCACCGAGAATTAGTGGACGAAACCGTGGAAGTGGGAATAATGTTCGCTTCCAAAGCCTTTGTCCAGTTGTTGGCTAACCCTATAGTTGGGCCATTGACCCACAAGTAAGCCCCCCCCCCCCTTTCATTTCACAAATATATGAGAATATTCTTTTCGTTCCGAATATACATCAAATCATTTATCTAAAAATTTACCGAAAATCAAGCAAAATTGAAAATGAAATGACTCACAACGGTCGAAGAGATTATTATTCATTAAAACGGTCATCTCCTGTTGTATACGTGACTTCAACAGAATCTTTTTATTTAGAAAGATTGTTCCCAATCTCCTTCGCAGATTCTATTTAGTAATTTTGTTCGGAGAGCACGATTTAATAAAGAAATTACAAATCAATGTGATACCCGTCTAATATTAATGAAACGTTGTAGAAATATTATGACGAAAGTATGATTAATGTAACGATTTTATCAGAATCACTGGTTTCTGTAGAATCGCCAGTGCCTTGATAAAAACATCAGTCGGTCACTTTCACCGTAAATAACGTGAAGATATGTGCGCCTTCTGCTTTCAGGATCGGCTACAGCATACCTATGTTTACCGGATTCATTATCATGTTTTTATCCTCGCTGATTTTTGCTTTCGGACGAAGCTACGGTGTGCTTTTTCTAGCACGAGCTCTTCAAGGTATCGGCTCGTCGTGTTCGAGTGTTTCCGGTAATTATCGCTATTACTTCATAACTAAATCAACTTAAATTCATTATCACTAACTTAAACGTTCATATTATAACCGATAACATTATCTAATCAATTATTTCCAAACGTCTTTTAAAAATATATCGATACAAATGAAATCGACTCTGAAAACATTTCTGCAAAAATACTGTCTTTCTATAAATTAAAAAAATATTATCCAAAGCGAATCAATGTATTTATTTTCCTTAGACGATAATACGTTCTCTACTAGAAAGCGAACAAAGCTTTTAACTTGAGAATCGTTGTCCTCAAATTTATGAAATCTATCATAAATTCTCACTCTGTTAGAACTATCTCTAGTAGATTAATAAGAGCATCGGTGGTTCAGTGGTAGAATGCTCGCCTGCCACGCGGGCGGCCCGGGTTCGATTCCCGGCCGATGCAATGCTATTAAATTCTCTTTTGCTGCTGTCTTATTTATCTTAAACACTTTGAAAATTGTATTCTCTACGTAGCACTCTCTGCTGGCAGTTTTTTTTATTTATATCCTAGATCAATGACTGCATACGTCAAAATTATTATTTTGTAAATCCTTGATCGTGGCAAAAATAAAAGTTAGCTGTCGGCTCGGTCGTACAATTAATTTTCTATGAATAATCGGGGTGTAAAAGAACAAAGCTTAAAAAAAACTGCATCGGCCGGGAATCGAACCCGGGCCGCCCGCGTGGCAGGCGAGCATTCTACCACTGAACCACCGATGCTGATGTTAACGTGTTGGAAACTGAAAGATAATACTGTAAATGTATACGTTTATTATACCTAACACGAAAGATCAAAGGGAATTAAACGTCACAGAATAAAGAGAGGCGTGTGCCGCCTCTTCTTTAATCCCGGAATGAGAACCGCTGTTCCGCCTGATTTTCGCAACCTAGCGATCTCCCGAAACGCGCGTCAGTATTCCCGAAACTGAAAATATATTATGTAATTTTGCTCACAGGTATGGGCATGTTGGCGGAGAGATATCAGGACGATAAGGAACGCGGCAACGCTATGGGATTTGCGCTTGGTGGCTTAGCTCTCGGTGTCCTCATCGGTCCTCCGTTTGGCGGAGCTATGTACGAATGGATTGGGAAATCTGCCCCGTTTTTGGTCCTTTCCGCGTTAGCTCTCGGCGATGGATGTAAGTGTAAATCACCTCGCGACAACTATCTTAAGAATGGAGACATTTACCGTTCGTTTGGCTTTGCCCGATAACTTAATCATTTCTCATGAAACCTTCAAGTGTTACAGCTTCTGATGCTTCAACCGTCGATCGTGTATACGGAAGCGGAACCGCCGTCATTGAAGTCTCTCGTCACCGATCCTTACATCATCTTGGCCGCCGGTACGAGAAACAAAGATGAATTCTGTGATCCCGAGATATTGTGAATTTCGAGCGGGTCGTGTTAAGCGCAATTTATCCGCGTGACCCGCTCGAAATTCACGATTTCGCGGAACGGACAGAAATATATGACACACAATCCAGGGTTAAGTAAATTAACCTTCTTTTCTGAAGTTAAGTCATAAGTTAATGGCTCGTACAATTAATTTAGTCAAGTTAAAAGCAATCTAAATAAAACTAACTAATTAAACGTTGAATTAAGATCAAATTAGCTTATTAAAAGTTAAAATTTAATTGTGCAAAACTATATATATATATATATATATACAATTTAGAAGAAGTCTCGCATAATTGACTTTTAACTTCTAACTTAAGTTAGTTTACCCGACCCTGACACAAGCGGCCATCGTGTTTCGAGCAAAATGTCATTTTAAACGTCATTTTGAATATCCTAGGAGCGATCACGTTCGCGAATATGGGTATCGCTATGTTGGAACCGAGCCTGCCGATCTGGATGATGGACACGATGGGTGCCAGTCGTTGGAAACAGGGGGTCACGTTCCTGCCTGCGAGCATAAGCTACCTGATCGGCACGAACCTCTTCGGGCCGCTGGGACATAAAATAGGCAGGTAAGTCGGGTCGACCGTCAGCCGTGAACTTTTATACGGGCTGCCCCGTGGCAACCTCGAACGTACGATCTCACCATAACGATGACGAGGCTCTTAGAACGAAGAAAATACATCGCCCGGATAGCTCAGTCGGTAGAGCATCAGACTTTTAATCTGAGGGTCCAGGGTTCGAGTCCCTGTTCGGGCGAGACTTATCTTTTTGCAGACACACTCGCTTCCGACACGCCTGTCACGGCTCTCGTGTGCTTACAGGTGGTTAGCGTCGCTGATTGGACTCGTCGTTATTGGCATCTGCTTGATGTGCGTAAGTACGCTATATGTTCGTCACGCCGAGAATAACTAATCGACATCTCTCCACCTGCATTCACGTCGAATTCGGCATTGTATGCCGAAGAAGTTGCTTCCACGCTCCATTGGTCGCATTGTATTAATTAGCGAGGCAACGTGTGTCTCAATTTTTCATCTGCATTATTAATTCCTTGTATATTTGTATATTTGTAAATGTAACATCTTGTAACGTCCCTCGGACCGAATGTCTCTCTCATCGAATTATACAAATCTGTGACTATCTGTAGCTAAATTACAGATGCGTTTTTATATTGCAAAAGAAGTGCGATTCGCGCGCGAACGTGAATGTCGGCTTTAAAAAGACGTGGCTATAAGTGAGGAGGAGGTCTCTTCACTTGTTTGATTTCATGTCATGAATCATTTCGCTTCGCAGATTCCGCTGGCGAAAAATATCAACCACTTGATCGTACCAAACGCAGGTCTGGGATTTGCTATCGGCATGGTGGACAGTTCGATGATGCCCGAGCTGGGTTATCTAGTGGACATAAGACATGCCGCCGTTTACGGAAGCGTGTATGCCATCGGCGACGTGGCATTTTGTCTAGGCTTTACTATAGGTACGTGATATACAATCAAATCGCAATTGTCAACAATGAGTTAATTTTTATTTTTAATTAAGTTCAAAGTGCAAAGTTAACAATCCACAAAATCGACCGTTTTACGCTCAAAATCCCATATAAAAGAAAAGAGTAAATACAAGCGCTTAGAGAGAGATGAAAAATAATTCTGCTGACGTTATTTTCATTTTTATTCATTATTTTTATTTATTATTTATCACTTTCGATCTATTCTCCATTGTAAGCAGCTCGCGATAATGTTAATATTGATGAATTATTTTAACTTATATATAAAAAAAATAGTTAATAAGTCATAGTGCATTTTAAATGGCCAGTTTAAGTTGAAAGTTATCAATTTCTTAACTTTTTAACTTAACTTTTAACCGATTGATTACTTATTATTACCCAACCATGATTATCAGTAGCAGATATCATTCTATATTTAGCGTGTTTGATATGCAATATAATTGTGGACGACCAAAGGAGGAGTAAGAATGACAAACATCTGATAAGAGAACGGGAAAGAGTGTATCATCGAAGCGGCAGCCCGGGTAGCTCAGTGATAAGAGCAATCGTCCGGCAGGCAGGAAAGCCCCGGGTTCGATCCCGGCTTAGAAAATTCCGGTTTCCGATGTACTCTTTCCTCTCCGATTCTTACATTAATAATAAAGGTGTTTAGGATATGATGATGCAATCTACACCAGAACAAATCGTCATGAGGATACGAAGTACATATCGGTGCTTGAGAATTGAGAAAAAAAACAAAAATTAAAGAAGGTGCAAAAATTAAGCTGCATCGGCCGGGAATCGAACCCGGGCCGCCCGCGTGGCAGGCGAGCATTCTACCACTGAACCACCGATGCTTCTTGTTAAGGTCCTTGAGATCTCACCTTCATATAGCAGGAAATCATAATATTTATCATATATACAAATATAATTTATGAATCATAGCGAGGACAGATTTATATCTGTCCTCGTTATATTTTATTACAATCTTATTTCAAGTCTCCGCTGATTACTAATAAAGATCCGAAACTCTCTTTTATCAATAAAAACTCTTCTAAAAGTGGCACCAGGAACCACTTGATTGGCTGAGAAACCATATTTTTATCGATAAAAGAGAGTTCAGGTAAAATTCTCCGAATTATTCGACATCTCCTTAAGACGTATCGTGTACTTGCTGTGTCACAGCATTCAATAAAACGCCGCTTTTGTCATAGGTCCTGCATTGAGTGGAACTTTGGTCAAAAATATTGGTTTCGAATGGATGCTTTTCGGGATAGCCATATTAAATTTCCTTTATGCGCCTCTTATGTGCTTCTTAAAAGCGCCACCGACCAAGGAAGAGAAGAAGGTAAAATTCATTCGTAACACACGGAGCACAATATTTACTCGTATTTGATCAGTTTTGTTGAGCCCGACGAAATTTAGCTATTCGAACGGTCCAAACTAATTTCCGAAGCGACGAAATGCGATCGATTAATCTTTCAAATTATTTCATGCCAAAGAAACTTCTTTCTCCGTGTAACACTGAAAATCTCTTAAAACTTATATCCCAGAAAATGTATTGCTAATTCTGAAATGTGTTAAATTACAGTCGTTAATAATCGGCGAAAAATCGTCTGTGCGATACGTCACGTATCAGAACGAGGAAGAGGACCAATAAACAGTGATTCTAAACGTTTTCGATACATTTCTGTATCGCTTAGAGAGAATTTGTTATTCGTTTTTCTTCTCTTTTCAACACATTGTTAAAAATAAGTTATTAGCGTTTTAAAATCTTTATATATATATATATTTTTTTTTTAATTTCCACAATAATGTTAGAAGATGTCTTAAATATTCTCATTTTCCAACTTTAATTTTAATCGTATCAGAATGAGGATACAACTCCATTTTGTTATTTTTCTTTTATTCAATATTATCGATATATAAATATATCATACCTATATTTTTAGTTTCATAAATGATAAGGAGCTACAAACATCGACAATAAGCACAACCGTTGACACGCACTTGATAACATTTGGAAAAAAAAAGGACATGTAAATGTAATTATTATTTGTAACCGAGTAACGTTTTCACAAATGATCTGTCGTCACCACCGGCGAGGGAAATTGCGAGCGATCTAACACGCAAGTAGATTCGAAGAAGTCGCACAACACCACGCTTGGTCTCTATAAAGATAATATATTCCGTAAGAGCACAGGTCGCGCTCTGTGAACGTTCGAGAGCAGACTCGAGGAGTTCTCAGCTGCTTCTCAAGTCAAGTCTAACCGGATATATTATCGAGCGTATGTCTACATACTGTATGTAATATGCAAATAACCGATAGATCAAAAAGCCCTGGAGCGACCTGGAGAGTCGCGAGAAAGCGGAGGAAAAAGAGTCTCGCTGTATCGCGGCGTGCGATAGAAGAAGGTATCCGCGTTAAATCGTGTGTCTGGAGGATACGTAATAAGAGAAGGACAAACGCGGCGCGGAAGTTAAACCGTTCAACGCAGAAGGCGCTTTTAGCATTCCCGTAACTGCGACGCGTTCCGGATACAAAAGATGTAAAATCGAGCGAGAGAAATGAGAGGTCGCGGTGTTCGCCCTTTGTATCCGGAACGCCCACAGGAGCCCCCCCCCCCCACAGGATATCCTTAAGGCTCTAAGTATATAAAAGAGAAAAGAAGAAAAACACGAGTAAAAAAAAACAGGAGAAATCGAGGGAAAGAGATGCTGAAGGCATTGAAGCACACAGATGTTACACAGCGTCGAGGGATTATAATAAATATATACGTAATATGTTACAATAAATACGATTGTTCCAAAGTTGAAGATGATATCGAACGATTACATAGCCGAAGATAATATATATATAAATCAGCGGGACGAGACGGTGTCGCGCGCCTCGGCAGATCGTGCGAGAACGCCCGGCGCGCTCCTCAGGTGATGACGAAACACACAAACGGTAAATTTAGTCTCTTGTCTCATGAGGAAGAACCGCCCGATTTGGTTTCCCTGAATGGCTGCAAGGAAACCGGCGACGAGAAAACGCGACAGTCGGGTGCCATGAAGAGTTCTTCGCTTGTTCCACGTGATCGGAAGTCGAATACGGGCTCACCTCGTCGCGAAAATCGCCGCGACTTTTCTCACGCGAGGCACCCCGGCGCGTACGATTTACCGAGGATTCGCGGGATCCCATTGCCGCGGGTGAGAATATAAAAGAAGAAAAAAAAAAGAGGGAGAAAGAGAGAGAGAGAGAGAGAGAAGGTAAGCCGCTAGGAAAGCTGCGGCTTCGAGCTTACGCACGCGGGCACGCAAATTCCGGCGTTTCTCCGTCAATCGATTCTTCGAATACTCGTTAATCCTCGTTTCTTCCCCGATTCTCGCGTTCTTCCCGGCAAGAATTTAACACGGAGAACGCGCCGTGAGATTTGTCGCGACGGAGAATAGTAGAATCTAAGTTTAATGTTAAAGAAAAGAAAAAAATGAATAAAACAAGAATGGCGAAAAAGAGAGAGAAACGGACGGGGTAGACGAAGCGTTCAGGGGATTCGCGAATTATATGATAAACTCTATGAGGATTCGCCGCGGGAAACTCTAGCTGTGACGATTTATTTATTCTGTTGCCGAGACGACGGAGACGTTGAGAGAAAGAGAGAGAGGGAGAGAGAGAGATCGATCAGGCCGGACCCCGCGAAAAATAGAACGTTCGTAGAAGCAATATAGAGTATAGCGTAGCTTAACGTTTAACTCGCGTACGCCTACTTGTACGCGATCCGTCTACGTGTCGTGTTCTATGTCAGTGTGATGTATCTTCGTATAAATGTGATTGCTCGGACAGAAAAAAGGAAAAAAAAAAATCAACAAGAATTGTCGTGTATTTATTACATACATATCGGAGTACATCTCGTTGCTATTCGTGTACGACCGAGTATACCTTATTACGTATATAAGCGAGTCGGGTAAAAACACCTGTTGAGATCCTAAGCTACCAAGCTACTTTTCACGGGAGACATTCGCCAAGACATTTCTCATCCAATTGTCGTTTACGTAGTGATTACACCGTAAGAGACGTACGTGATTAGGGCGTAGCGCGTTTGCTTGTTGTGCGAGTATGCACTATGCAGTATTAAAGAGCGGATTATAAGCAGTTATATCGTAATCTCTAGAGATATATATATATAATCGCGAAAGTTATACGCAGAGTTTGGAATCTCGTCGGTGTCCGAATCTTGTTCATGTTATCAAAACGATAAAGCAAAAATGGGGTCCGGGGTGAAAGGCGGGTTTCGCAGAGCAGAAGTAAAAGAGGTTGTGACCATTGTGGCATTAAACTACAGCTTTCCACGCGCGGATTCCGAACACACAAGGTCGTAAAAAATCTCTTTACGCACCTACTCCCGGTACGAAGCGCGAGTCAATTCGATTCGCGAATTCCTCGCCAACGCTCGCCCCGTTAAAATATACATATATAAATATATATATATAAATATTTAAGAATGTGTCGTGGAGAGAAATAAATAAAGGAAGGAGCGAGAGAAAGTGCGAAGGCAACGGCGAAGGAAAGACGATGGGAAAAAGGAAACAGAAGTGAAAGAAGAGCGAACGAGCCGAAATTATGACGATTTTTCGAGCCGCGCGAATTCGGATTCGTTACGTTACCTTCAAACGGCAGAGTTCTGTTTTCACCAACGCGTTCCCCTCGTACCTCCTTCTGTCATATATACGTATATATTACGACGCTGTTGTTATGATTATTATTTTTATACGTTATTTTATACATTATTATTATTACTATTTTTATTTCGTAAGAATAATAATAACAATGAGTATCCTCTCTACTGTCGTGATTCAATGTTGTTACGTGAGCTGTTGTACTATATCGCGTAGCTATATCGCACAATATATTTCACCGATCTCGTTCCCTTGTATGTAAATATAGTGAAAAAAAAAAAAAAAAATCTAACGAACTGTCGTCGCCGCTGAGATACCTTGAAGGATGTTGTTCCACCGACTTCCTCGGTGGATCTCTTCTCTCATTTCAAATTTACTCTCCTGCGCGATATCGTAAGCGTGCGTGTGTATGTGTATGTGTATATGTATGGTATATGCGCGTGGGTGTGAGTGTGTGTGTATGGGCACTCGCGGTTATGTTTGTTTAAACGACCGAACGAAAATGAGGAGGAACCAATTTGTCCACACATACATTACGTAAAGATTTATTATCCCGAATATATGTATTGTACGCTTTTCTCTCGCGGAAAATTACTGACGTTCAAGACGATTTCAATTGCCGAACATAAAGTTTCATTCAAAAAGACACTAAATCTAAAACTATAAAAATCTATCGTTCGGTTCTTTCATTGGAATTTGCGCTTGAGAAGGATGAGTTGTATCTGTACTGCGATTACGCCAGTTGATCTCTTACGTTGGAATTTAATGGGCAACCGTGCACGCTTAAACAACGTGAATTAGCGCCTAGCAAATTACGATAACATATCTGCTATTCGAAAACGACATATCAACAACCAGTGGCTCGCGCTCTTTATGGTAAAATCCAAGAGATTCAACGGCTTGGAAATAATAATCCTTGGAATTACTGATAAATCTAACGTTTCGAACAAATTGATTTCAATTCGTACTTTAATTTAAAGAGGATCGACAAAAATCGCAAAAGACATCTTCGTCGAGTGTCAAGCCACATGTACAGGTCGTTCCAAACTAATCTCGGTAATCCCGCGATGTGCAGCTGTAGAACTGAGATGAAACTGAGCAGAAAAGTCATGTGTCATTTTCGCAAAATTCATAATAGTTAATGGAGAATTAATGATTTTATCTCAACTGATAAGCGCACGGTAAACGGTAGACCGGACTCCGTATGAAGAAAAATGTCTTACTTCCGGAGTTCTCCTAGAAACGATGAGCATCAACTGATTTCAACAGGCGGAGTGAACAGCGAGCGGCATGTGACAAAGAATTGTACGCTGAAAAGAATCACGCCTCTCGTTGTCGGTTGATACTCATCGTTGCTAGAAGATCTTCGGAAGTAAGCCATTTTCTTTCATACAGAATCCGGCCTACCGCTTCCAGGTCGCTCATTAGCTCAGACAAAATAATAAAGTCCTCATTAACTATTGCGGAATTTTGCAAAATGACGTGTGACTTTTCTGTTCAGTTTCGCCCGTTCCACCTGCGCATCGCGGGAACCGAGATTAATCTGAGACATCCTGCATAAATGTATAATCATTAACAATAAAGTTGTAATATTTCTTCCTCAATGAGTTTTAAAATGCATCGAAAATCCAATAGAAGAATTTATCTAATTCCAACGGAAGAGATTGAGAGCCGTAATAACGAATTGCTCTCCCCAGTAGTGCATACGAGTTTCTCCAATTTGCGGGAGAAACAGCGAAACGACTCGAGTCTCGTTTCATAATTGGAGTACGAAAGTATGTGCGCGACGCCGCGATGATTATTTGTGTGAGTCTCTCGTGTAATTCCTATTCAGCCCGTATCGACTACTCGGCCGGCGGCCGAGCAGGCTTAATTGTACGAATTGCAGATGCAATCAACGTGACTGTGTTGTTAATCGAAGCGAATTGTGCGAAGAGAATCCGTAAAACGTGCCGCGCTAAGCGCCTCGTCGATCACACGCGGCCACGTACGCTTCCGGCAAAGAAATGCAAAATAATAACGATATACGGTCGCACCGCAACTGTTACGTACAAATATCACACACCTGACAAACGAATCGGGATATCCGGCTGCTATATTTGGGCGTCGCAAGAGGCACGGTAGGATTCGTAATCTCCTGGCTGTCGATTCTCGTAAGAGGAGGTCCTGCGAAGAAGGAGGCGAATTAAGAAATTCGTAGGGATAATTACAAAATTCCCAATCATTTTTTAGAACGGGGACCGAACGACGGTTTTCTTCTTCTTCTTCTTCTGTACTTTTTGCATTTATTCTGAGATATTCTCTAGTCGCGGAACTACGATTAAATAATTTTCTTCGATGCTAATCGAGATACGGTGAATCCCCTTTTGCCTTATAGCGTAAATTAATTATGTCGTTGTACTTTATTTTCCGGAAGGTGTTGGAGAAATTACTCGGCTGCTGGTAAAACATACGGAATGATAGATCAGTATATTGAAAGCAAGAAGAAATGAAAGGGAATTCAAGTAAAATTAAATCAATCCTTAATCTCATGAAAATATAAAATGTTAATTAACTTCATAGATGAGTTCCCGTCTGTGTTATTTAATTTGCCTATTTTTTCGCAAGGAAAGCACAGCGCACAGCCATGCGGGGAGTAAAATCGTGCGAGGGAAACACGCGCGTCAAATTGAACTGCAAGTAGTATCGTCGTGCGTCATTCGGTTGTCATCGTTTTGCAACGATGCTTCCGCATTGGATATGTTATAGAAAAAAGATGAAGAAGAAGGGAGGAAGAGAGAAAGAGGAAAGGAACGCAAATTAGCGAACTATTCGTCGGCCGCTGCTATTGTGAACAGACAATAAGCAATGAAAAAAAAAAAGTGCAAAACCTTCCCTGCATTCGACACATTCAGAGGATCGATCGATCGATTGTTGTCTCGTTGGAAATCCGCCTACCAAGAAACGACATTGGCAAATACGCGATCCGTCGTTGAAATCGACAATGCGTGAGAGAGCAGACAACGTGTGTAAGGAGAAACTAGACGTTCGATCGGTTACCCAAAAAAAAAAAAAGAAAAAAACTCACCGAGGAATTTCTTCGTTAGGAAGGTATTGGACGACGCTTGTCTATGTATTTATCGTTATATTATAGTTTCAGCAGCAGCCTCTCGCGCTCGTTGTAAAATCGCAGTCTGTAAGTCTGTACCTATTTAACGTTGTCGTATCGTTATATCGTAGATATCTTAACAAGCTGGTGTATGGGTCCGACTTTCATGCCTGTGTAGTAATCGAGGGAAAGAAGAAGAAGAAGAAGAGGAGGGGGAGGAGGGAGAAAAAAGAGAGATTTAACGACGCGCTTATCTTATAGAGCGTATTTCCTTGCTTTTAGGTGTTATCATACATATAGTGCGCGATTAAATATCACCGGAAATCAAATAACTCGCATAGAACCTTCTCCACAAGCAAAGGCAGTTAAAGGAAGTTAAGAGAGGAGAGAGCCGCACTAGTTTCTATATATATATATATTTTTTTTTTTTTGCGCGCGTTTTCGAATGCGTAACGCCGGCACCGAGAATCGCCAGTCGAATTTCGCTTTGAGATTGTACCCGAATTGTTGAGGCTTGCGCGAGACACGTAACGCGATTACAACCAAACCGACTTCTATATATTAAGCGTATTAAGATCACAGAATAAATATGGTCACAAAGTATATATCATCGGTGGGTCGCATAAATTAACGCGATAGATAAGAGGTATTCGCGTCAGCAAAGTAACGGATTCGTTGTTAACTATTTAATGTTTATTCTGACGTCTATGTGTATAATGTGTCTATGTGTACATGAGAAGATATGTTATGTCGAATAAATAAGCTGAATGATCTCTAAGATCCCTAAATATATCATCGCAATCCTCCTGGCATGATTAAATATACTGAGAAAACGTTTGAACGATTCGTTGTAATTCTTTCATAATTATTAGGCATTTCGAAGACAGAATTTAGAACTAGAGTAACTTCGCTTTGCGTAGGTTCGAGTTTCGATGCAACAAGCATGCAAACATGATCTTTAGGGCCACTCGAAAATTACGTCACGCTAAATTTGGGAATCTTTATCCCTTCTCCTCATTCCTTCATCACAAAATATTTGCCCTCTTCCAATATCATGTGATGTGTGAAATAAACCTCCAATGCAGAAGAAAAAAATAGCTTATAACCACATTATAGGTAATAATCATTAGACTGCTACTATCTTTTTCCAAAATACTAGTAATTTTCAGGCGTATAATATCAAACTTGATTTTATTAATTAATTAATTTTGATTAGTAAAAATTGTGTTTAAAAAGAAAATAAAGAAAAAGTAGTGTTAAAAAAAAAATACATATATATAAGAATTACCATTTTGTTTATTAACACAAAACCATGTCAAGACTGAAGAATTTTCACCAAATCAACCAAATGTATCATGAATGCGAACAAAGTGGGTAAATATGCGCGTCCATATTTACAAACTATGTCATTCAACGTGACGTTCCTTGGTCTTTACTCCTCCTCCCCTCTCTGCAATTACAGACTGTCACGCGAGCTAATAGACCCCCCCCCTCCCCCTTCGTGATGTAAGGTAATTGTTAAGTAGCCTCTCATACATATTTTTCATGGTTACAAAGAAAGACGACAAGATTCCTACATAACCTTTTTCATGTTTATAATATCGGGAATTTAACTCAATTTGGAATTATATCGATTTCGAGCCATATTCGAACGAAACTTTCGAAGTTATACCGATTTTCATTCCAATCAAAATGTCGATGCTCCATCGTTATAACCTCGGAACTTATTAGCATCACTCTGAACAGAGAGAAACCTGTCTAAACAGTCGCGTACTTTTCTTATGTCACTTTCTAATACTTGATCTGTTATTTCTTAAATGATGGATAACATTAAATGCTTTTCTTTTTACCTGTGTCGATCTTACGAGCATCATTAACAGGATCTCAGGATCTCGACAGAAACGATCGCGGTGAGATTCAAAATACCTAACGAACTCCTTCGCTAGCAACAGTGGCGACTCGTAGCGGGCACTTTGGTACTAACAATAACAAATTTGCCAGACTGACAGTGCAACTAACCGCTTAACTGGTGCCATCTAACGGTGTCGCGACCTTACGAGCTGCTATCGTTTCTATCGACAAATTGAGGTCGTGATGTAGCTCAATGGCAGGTCAGACGGGCTTCATTTTTTCAAGTGACGTAACTCAACGACGGATTGGGGGCAAACCTTTTTTTACTTTTCCGTAATACAGCTGAACGATAATTGACTTAATAGTATCGATTTAGAAATTTATCGTCGTGAAGATCGGCCGAATTTTAATGTATCCGGAAAATAACAGATTTCTTAATGAGAGGAGAATCGAGCACACTGATTTACCTGTCAAAGGTCATCGTGTCTCTACTTCCATGCCACCGTTGACACACACGTTGACAGCTGCTTAACCTCGTGGTTCTTTTCTCCCTTTTCGGGCGTTATCTTCCGTTATCAATAGCGGGTAATACACCGCAACGATAAAGTCCCGCTTCGTGACATAACGGAGGAAGATAATGCGAGCTATTGTATTGGAAACTAATGGAAATCGCAGAACATAACCTTGCGCGTACCAATGACAGCACGTTTTGAGTTTGGCAATAAGATTATCGTAAGATCACGTAACGAAAACTGACGGAAATCATAGACATGATTAAGGCAATTTTGGTATTCAACAACCATGGGAAACCCCGTCTCTCGAAGTTTTATCAGTACTTTGTAAGTATGCGTTATAACTGTTCACTCAGATCTCACCTGTTCGGTGTCCGCCAAATGTCTTGAGTTATTTAAAAATAATGCAATTTATATCGAAATTTATATCGAGTGTGTGTCGCTACGATCCACAGTGTTTTCACACTAAAACACTCGTAAGTGAATAGAAGACTATGATATGCACGATAAGCGTAGCGGATTTACACAATGAATCAATTTTCTGCTTCAGAACGAGGATATGCAGCAGCAGATAATAAAAGAAACATTCCAACTCGTCTCGAAGAGAGACGACAATGTGTGTAATTTCTTGGAAGGCGGTAGCTTGATCGGTGGATCCGATTACAAACTCATCTACCGGCACTACGCTACCCTTTACTTTGTGTTCTGTGTTGATAGTTCAGAATCAGAATTAGGAATCTTAGATCTGATACAAGTCTTCGTCGAAACACTGGACAAATGTTTTGAGAATGTGTGCGAGCTCGATCTCATTTTCCACGTGGACAAGGTTCATTATATACTCAACGAATTGGTGATGGGTGGTATGGTTCTCGAAACCAACATGACTGAGATCCTCACGAGGATTGAGGATCAAAATAAATTAGAAAAGCAAGAGGTAAGTACGGCGTCGCATCGTTGCAGCTCCGAAACCATCTTAACTGTGATCCGTGTATTCGACCATCATGAGTCTCTCTCTTGAATGTACGTCTCTCTTTTTAGCGCGTCCTATTGAATATTTTACGTTACAACTACGAATGTAACAATAATAGCGTTGATCACAGTCAGGATTGTCGTCGACCTGTGTCTTACGGTGCGGAAACTTTTACGAGTTTTCACGCTTAAAATTCACATCCCACTTCATCAAATAGAACGCGTTTCGACTGCTGTAGTATCGCCAACTTTGCAAATATATGTTTACTTTCTCACTGGGCTTGAAGAAAAGTAGCATCAACTGCCCCCGCGCAGTCTGTTGAACGCTAGCTATGCATGCAACGCGATCGAACGATCTTTAGAGCGAACTTGATGTAGCGCTAGATAGAACTGATCGACGTAACATCAATTTTAGGGGACTTACAAATCCGGACGATCTTGCTCACCCCGTCCGTTTGTCCTTCTGGGGCCCCCTCCTTAAGTAAATCGAGCAGTAGCAAATTGGGCCACTTTGTACTATTTCATTTTCTTGCATACACGATGTGTATCTGTGATGCGTGATTTTTTCTTTTCTTTCACTTTTATCTCTCACCAGTGACTCGAAAGTACATGAAAATTCCTGGTAGCTTCGCAAAAGAAAAAAAAAAAAAACAGAATGACAGCGTTCGTAACACGGCATGGCGACGCAATTAATGTTTTTGTAAATGTCCGCTCCATTAATGAGTGCCTTAATAATATATGTAATACGTATCGCAATGCTATGAGAATAATAAATATCGTCACATTTGTGTAGCTATCCGTCATTTGCCTCCGCTCCTATGCTAAATCGAAGCTAGCATTCATTTAAAATCCTCCACTATTTTCGTCCGTTTTTTTCCGCTTCTTCCATCCGTATGTGGTGTGTGCAGGCGGGAATCACGGCAGCGCCGGCACGTGCTGTCTCGGCCGTGAAGAATATGAATATACCGCAACAAATAAAGGACATGAAGCTGCCTGACTTGCCGCAAGCCATAAAAGACCTCAAATTCTGACCAGCCGTTACTTCGTTGGCTCCCAGCTGACTGGTCTCTTCTGTCATCCCGAGTGTAACTGACACCATCACCACCACCACCACCACCACCACCGTCGCCGCGCCGAGGACACTTTTCCCTTCCCTTCAAGCAAGCGAGAATGCACCAATGCTGCCTGCTACCTCCGCGTATATCCCGTCACAACGATACCAAGGTTGAAGGCCACGGATGAACCACTACCTGACAGTATCTTCCTTGAGCTATGGTTTATATGAATAGAGAAATTAATCGGAGAGAACGAGAGGGAAAGAGAAAAAAATGCCTATATATATATACACTCACATATATATATGTGTGAGTTGAGTCCTGAGAAAATTTATATGTACAAAAAAAGAGAGAAAAGAAATCAGGCAACCGTAAGGATGATCCTTACAATTTTATACGTAAAAAAAACGCTAGAAAGTACGTGTGTATAAAGAAGAGATACTCAAATTTACGAATTCCGCGCTATGTAATATCAGTTTTTTTTTTTCACTTTTTCGAAATAGTCTAGTGAGATCCGTCTTGCGTGAGGAACACATTCACCGGAAATGCAAAGCACCAATGTGTTGGATTGTAACAAGAATATATTTAATGCAAAGCTAGCGGTGTTATATTATTTCCCGTTTCTTAAAAATTATTTTCTCACTGTACAATAATAGCGTAAATCCTAAATTTCTCTTATATCGTACTATTATAGCTTAAAATTACCTTAAATTGTACCTGGAATCTAATTTCTAACTTAACTGATTGATTATATTAGAAATCTGAAATTCAATATACTACAAAGTATATAATACACTTATAAAATCTGTGTAAAATATCTTTAGTAATATTAGTACTTTCTTAAAATTTCACGGTTTTATTGTTAACAACATTGCTACCTGTAGTGAAATATTTAACTTAAAAAAAAAGTCGGTTTATACACAGAAAGTAATTGTAGAGATGGATTAAATTTAAGGTGAAATCAAGGACACTATGTTCTAATACGACCAGGATCACTTCCTCGATATGGCCATTTCATTTCTAAGAGTTGTCCATATGTAACCCATTCCTTTTTCCGTAAGTGGAGGTGGATAAGGCGTGTTCTTCAGTTTGTAATAATCCGACGGAGCGTGCATCACGAATTCCATGCACTCTAATTTCCGTGGCAAATCCTCCTCTGGTCCGATTATGTATGTTTCAGGTGAGAATCCTTCCTCTGGTGGAGGGCTGAAAGACATCACTCAATGTTGACGTATTCACATATATTGGAACATTGTATAAAAAGCATTAAACGTGGTCTACAATGGGCAGTAGGAGTATGTTTGCAAGAAGTAAGAGTGAGAAATTAACGAATCATAACCAATCATATACTCCTTACATTCGAATATGATTGGTCGATTTTTTACTCTTCTTTCTACGCTTAAAATATGACAAAACGAGGGATCACCTTGCCGTAGTCGGCAATAACCAGGTAACAGCGGCACTTTTTTCACAATACTGATCTATCAATAAGCCACGTATCTGAGCATAATAAATACCCCCATCTATATCTTGCATCGATATTACATCACCAACTTGGAAATACGTTCCTTTGTAGAATACAAAGTTACTGGTGACCGGAGTTGCAGTAGCTGTAGGTGCTTTCACAGGCTGTAAGCAAATTTCAACGTGAGTAACTGCATATCTACATGTCCCACATTCTGTACGTTTAATAATAATAATATAAATAATAATAAATATATAGAAAGTACACAATCTACTAAAACTTTGTAACTTGTAAACTTCATTTTTTCAGCAATCGATAACTAGCTTCTGGGCAGATTGGGAAGTCGAGAAGTCGCGTGGGAACGTACGAGCTTCTTCGCTTTCTCTCACCGTTTTCTTGAACAAGTTCCGACGACCTTTACCCTTCGGCACCACTTTGTGCGGCCCGGAAGACTTCGAGTTGCAATATCTCGTTATCCTCGTGCTTCTCCTGGTAGGCTTCAGCGCGTTCCCGCTCTTGTCTTCCTCGTCCGTCTTGGGACACGCGTTTGCTTCGGCATTCCGCTCGTCCTCGAGGCAGGCGTTGCACAGGTTACCGGCGTCGGTGGAATGCCAGAGCGGGGTCTCGCGGGTCCCGCATCTCGTGCATTCCGGCTTGTTACCGAGTGGCATCTGACAACTACTATCCTCGCTACCGTTCGCGTCGAACGGCGATTCACGGAAAGCGGGAATAAGCGTAGGCTGCCGAGTCTACCGTCAGATCCAACACACAAAATCCTAACCTCACCGCATGTGTTATTCGCGTGCACGCGCGTTCGCGTCGTCGTTTTCCAACAAGCCGGTCAATTTATCGCACGTATGTCATCAGCAAATCATACTCGCGGATATTCTAGTGGATTTCTCATCGTCATGAATACGCTCGTACGTTTGGATCTTCGTTTCATCTCTTCCGCTCGTTTTCTAAACAGTCCGAGTATATTTACACCTCTCTCACACCTTCAACGCGGAAAGTGCACTCGCAGTAGCGTAGCTAAAACGAACGGAACTGTACGGTTCGAACATGCATTTAGTATAAACTCTATAAAGATTTAGTTACATATCTATATGTGTACTTTAAGATTAACAAACTTTTCATTAATCGTTATAAAATAATCGTTCGCGCGTCTATTGCACGTTTCATATAATATTTACCGTAATTAGACCGTCCACCGTAACGATAATTCGTCAATTTTTATCTAGCCAGGAATTTCCCTTATTTTCCGAGCAATTGCATTCCTCAAACCTCAAAAACATCAATCGACCTTAAACGAATGTCGTGAAATTTCTTATCTATAAAATGCAACGCCGCTCGACTGCCGGCTCGACTCCGTCGCTCATCAATTCCTATTTCCGGGGAAATGTTGACAATAACACGTTTCCTCGACGTTTTCTCATACTATCACGCGTGTGATCGCAAGGTACCACTTGGCAGTAGCGCGCAAAACGCCGTTACGTAACACAGAGCTCACGTTATCCCTAGCGGGATGTAATAAAAAATTTACAACAGCCAGGCGAGTCACGGCAAGTGCACGATTGCCGCGCGCACAATTACGAAAATACCCGTTTCGCTCGCAGCTTCGGAGCGAGAGGAAGGTGTGAGCAAAAAAAAAAAAGTAGACGTTTTCGCGGCGTTTATACCGCGCGTTATACGTCTCTGTAATATCGATCCGGCCGGTGGACATGCGTTTAGCGCCTTTAACTTCATTGTGACAGGTGCCCTGTCCGGGGTATCCTGTTCCGAGTGTGTCTCGTCGGCAAGGAGCACTATGACCGTAATAAATAATGTGACATCACTGCGCGACGTCTAGCTCAGAATCGCGGCCCGACCGACCGACGACGACGAGAAATCATGTACCCCGTGCATGTTTGCCGATAGAACAACGAAGTCACCGCGCGAGAGCTGTCTACTAGTGTCTGGAACATGTGCCTTTGCTACGAGTGAGTACCAAAGAGAGAGAGAGAGAGAGAGAGAAGAATACGCGCACGATAATTGTTCGTAAAACGAAGGACGAGAAATTCTCGCGGAAATTGTGCCTCCCGCGTGTAAACACGGGCGGAACAATTCGTGGATAATTGAGGCGGAGAGTGACGAGGCAGAGACTCATCGCGAGTGCGTAATCGGCGAGAGCGACGTGTACGCGAGAGCGACGATTCCTGTCCGCTTGATCTCTCCTTTATTTATCTTTGCCCGGTAATTTAATGAGAGGACTCACTGGCTCGCGTTAACGGATTATTAGATGTGACGGCGGCGATCCCACGCGAAGTGTAACGGATGAATTGTTACGAAGTAGCTATTTTCGCATACAGCCAGGCGATTAATAATCGGCGATATTAATAGATATGTACGTGTATTTTCGAGTCGTTCAACCCCCCCCCTCCCCTCCACCTCCTTCCGTGGTAGTCCCGACGCGCTTGTTTTCGAGTTCGCAGAACGAACGCGAGTCCTAGGTGAAACGAGAAAATCATGACGACGTCCCGATGACGAGAAAATGACTGTAAACACTCGCTTTTTGCTCGTGACTCGATCACTTTCTAAGTCGTTTTCACGTCATTCTGACGTTATCGTGATTTTCCGTTCCACCTGGCATCCTAATCCGGCGAATATTGATCAACACTAAAGCCGACCGGTGCAGCTGGTATCCTTAATTTTTCGAATATTTTTTTTATCACTCGTAGGTGCGCATTGCATAGATAATTTTAAGCAGACGGTTCACGGTAATATCTGCGAAGTAACAAAATCACGATATCGCGAAATTTAAAATTATACATTTGAATTAACGGTACAATATATTTCTCACATATTACTCTTGTATTGTACTGTACGCGTTTCTAATCGTAGAGCTGATGATATCTAATCGCGTTTAATATCCTGACGCATCGCCCAGGAGAAATAACGCGCCGTTTGCCTTAGGAAATTATTGTATATTCGTGTATAAAATATGTAACATCGTGCGCGTCTTGGGAACGTTACGCAACGTATTCCATTTATCGCACAATGTCACGGTTTCAACGTCGAATACGTTGTTTGCTACGTCGGAAGGAGAGAGATGTTTATCCGTTTATCTGATTATTAATGCTACACGTCTCGCAAACATTTGCGGGCTGCAACGAGTTCTTTTTTTACTCGGCGATAACAGTCACGGACATAACGGTGTACTAATGTTTATGCTCATTCGCATAGATACAACAGATAAATACAATCGATAGCTTCAATGTACACGTCAGCATTTGCGATGGAACTTTCACTGTTACTTAAGTCAGGGAAGGGGGGGGGGGGGGTTTTATATCATTCCTTATACGAGTGATATCTCTGATTGCGAACGTTTTTCGCGTTGAATTCAACTACTCGTGGGAGTCTCGCGATTCCCGAAGAATGAAACAATTCTCGTTATTAAAAGGGTAGCCGGAAAATTCCTCATAAGCGCGTAATATTATTTAATATTGAGTAATATTTCTGGAATGTTAATAGATGGTTATATGTCCGCTCCTAGTAATAGTTGAAAAATAATATGATTTAATGTTATTGTAATATTATATATTTTTTAAAATATTCAACTCTATGTGTATATATAATATATGTAATTGTAACTTTTATATTTCAAATATATCGCAATACCAATTGTTTTATTATATAAATAAAGTCGACAGAATTTTGTGTAAAAATACGTTTTATGCCAAACAAAATTATACATATATATATATATTTTTTTTTCTACATTATTATTTTATTTTTTCCTAATATTTTAGAACATTTTTATAATATACCAATAATATTATGTGGAATATGAAGTGGAATATAACATCAACAGAACATTCTTATAATATTAAAAAATATTACATATAACATTCTTATAATATTATAAGTATATTATTTTAATATTGATAGAATAATATTTATATAATAATATATAGTCTCGGAATATTACGTGCTTATAAGGTTGATACTCGGCAGATTCTCCACGATGCTGATAATTACGACGAAATGGCGAACATTCGGCCAATGGGACGTACCCACGGTACGCGTGTACCGCGTACATGTATACATTCCGTTCAGATTCGGTAGGCGAGCAATTACAACGGAGAAATGAATGCGAATCGATTGAAAGAGGGTATGTAGTACGCGTAATGACGGCCAATGCCAAGGCTGTTGTTTGACTTTTAGAAAACTTACTCCACTTGCTACCTTACGTGTGCCCACCTGTTGTAGAAAAGTTAGTCGATTCGGAACACATACATTATTGAGAAACACGTACATGCACGTTTGCGAGCACTTGAAAAGTGAAGGTTAAACCGGCCCGTGGCTCATTACTCGACATTGCTGTGTAACAAGCAACCACTACTAAGACGGCTCTGACGGAGGAAACGTACGTGAGACGTACCTACGACACCACATTCGTGACAATTTGAACTACCATCGAACTGGCTCGTGTAGTCATCGTCATTCCGAGCACACACAGCACCGTCGGCCTCGGTTCTCTAATCAATTACGGCTCCGCTTACAACGATATCAATGCGATCGCCGTTATCCTTATCTAGAGTAGCGTGGACGTCGGGAGAGTCGCACTGGGGAGTCGTTAAAGAGCGGCTCGGCCGCTCTGCCATAAAGTGATTGACACCGGCGATGATTGACTCTGACAAGTGTGCGTGACAGCTGATTAACGATTAACGGTTTGCGTCTTTGCAGCTAAGAACCCCGTTAACTTGAAAGAAAAAAAAAAACAACAAAAAGAACATGACTGCCATAGGCGACGTGCAAGCCTTGCAGACTCTCACAGTTTACACCAGCGATATAAACAGCGTCGACTTCGCCGGTGATTGCGTGCTGGTAACGGGATCCGGGTAAATATCGGTTATCGATAGGCAATTTCGCGGTGCAGCGAATTGCGCTCTCACTCTCTTCCTCTTTAATACGCAGAGACAAGCGCGTCCGGGTTTGGAAATGGCAGCCGGGCACCGGCTACGCGGAGGCTTACTTCTCGCCCCTGATGGGGCACAAGTACGGCGTGACTTCGGTGAAAATCAGCCCCCAATCCACCATGCTAGCCACGTCCAGCATAGACGGTACCACGTTGCTTTGGAATTTACGCGTAAGTTGAGAATGACGTTCGGAGCAAAACGAAAGTCACGATAACGTCGAAATGGCAATAAGATGACTTCCAGTTTCACTTCATTGTCATGACCGGGAAATTGATGAAATTTGTTTCGTCGTCGCAGACGGGGACGAAGATACACACCATGGTTCAAGTGGGCGGCGAAGCGGTGAGAGTATGTAGATTTTCGCCGGACTCGACGTTACTCGCGACCGCTGGGGATAACGGGCAGGTCTGTATCTGGGATCTGGTTCACCGCAATCTAATCAGGTAAGATTGCGTTGGTATGACTTCGCGTTTTTTTTATTTTTTTTTTTTGGAAGAGGGTTTGGCAGGTTGAGTGCCATGCGCTGATTTCCATTGATCGTACAAACGTCTGACTGATGATTAAATCGCTGAAGCTACAGTAAATAAATATAATTCGGGATGTATGTATCTTTGGTTTTATTTCATTGGCTCTTTGTCGGCCGTACAGCCTACTTGTGCGTTACCCGTTACTTTTAAAGATAACGCTTTACTTCCTAACTCTATAAAATATTACATGTAAATGTACGCGTAGATAGAAGAAGAAAGATTTTAACGTGATACAAAATCTTTTTTCGTCAACTTAATCTTTTCTCTTCTGAATAGCTCGACATCTAAACGTAATGCTTTACGGGTTTGTAAAGATACATATAACACGTTACTTGTAACGAGCAAGGAGCAACGCAATTACTGTCAACCCTGCTATTTTATAACTAACAACGGTGATATGCAAATTGTGAAAAAAGTTATAAATTTTAATATAAATTTTTTTAATTTACTACTGGAAATGTTATGTTATTGCTTGTATATTATTACTTTTAAGAACTTTTTCGACAATGTATGTAACTCAACAAAACGTAGTAATATCACAGTACCGGTCATTGGTGACCCTCAGGGCATTCAATATATTAATAGAGGATTTAATAGAGGAGCTCTCGAGTGTAACAGTGGTGCGTCTTTAATGTTTTCGATCACTTTTGACAACCGTCGATCTCAATTCTGGCTTGCAGATGCTTTCAAAAACACGAGGGTGCCGTGCAGAGCCTGTCCTTTTCGCCGGACTCCTGCTGGCTGATCACAACGTGTACGTTGGGAGTCCTGAAGCTGTTCTCCACTGCCGAACTGATCGACACTTGTACCTCTAGCAATCAAGACGTCACGGAACTCGCTTCGATCGACGATGCTCACGACATGGGAGTGGTTTGCTGCGACTTCTCGAGTTTTCAAGAAGTCACGTGTACGCAAAACATCGTAAATACGCTGACAAAAGATCATTTCGAACGACTCAGATGTTATGTCCAACACAGCACAGACATCCAAGAGAGGTCCCAAAGACGTCCAGAGGACGCCCCTCCGTCCTAAGGACGTCCACAGGACCTCCATCGGATGTGCTGTACTGGATGAAACTGATTGAGAAAGAGCTCGTGACCTTTCTGATCGGTAAATAATTAAGTTTCTCAAATACTTAATAATTACTGAATGCTATAATTCACGTATATTATATATTCTTTTACCTTGTAAGTAAATTAATTTTCTCACAGTTCACCCATTCTCGTTAACGATAGATAGTGATAACCCAGAAAACATTGACTAACAGTAACATAAACAATCCGTAATCGGTAGCATAAACATCGAAATAATAACGTCAATGTTATTATTTCCCACTCAACAATGTAAATGCAATATAACACGCGTGTGTTGTGTAACAGTTACATTATTGAGTGGGAAGTTGTAACGTTGATTCGACGTTACTGATAGTTGATTGTTTACCGGGAGATAATTACGCTTGTGCAGGTAACGAGCCGTACACCAAACTTTATCAGCTGGTAACGTGCGGCAACGATCACGACGTGAAACTGTGGGAGGTCACAGTGAGCCAGAATAAATGCGAGGCCCAACCTTCCACTGCCACCGTACAGCTTTGCAGAGTGATGGAAAAGCACAGCAGTGCCTTAACTTGCGTCCGTTTCAGCAGCAACGGATTATACATTGCCAGCTGTGGCCTCGACAAAACGGCAGTAATTTGGGAGACGGTGAGGAAAACTCGCGCGAAAAACTCACCCCCCCCCCTTCCCCCTCCAGTCTGCAGTGTACAGACAATATACATATTAATGTCCGATTCAATTTTAGAGCTCGGGAAAAGTCATGTCGATAGTGGCCGGTCACAACAGGTACGTCGCTTGCTGCGCTTTTTCGCGCGACGGCAACCTATTAGCGACAGGTAATATCCGATTCTCCGAAGAGACGCGTGCATTCTATCGAGATAACTGACTCTCTCGATGACGATTGCAGGCTCCAACGATAAGTCGGTGATCGTGTGGGACTTGACGGGAAACCTAAACGTCGACTCCGAACTGTCGAGAGTTGGCGCGAAGTGGTTCGTGAATGATCCAGAAAAGGTAAAGCCCGCGAAAAATCACGTCCCGAGAATGCATTAACCGTGACACTGTCCGTTCGCAGGACGACGCGCACGAGCAGGACGTGATGAGAAACGTCGAGACGTTCGCCAACGAGGTGAGATTGATTCAAAGACTGGAGGAGCACAACGGGGCGGTGAACAGCGTCGCCTTCCACGGGAATAATCTTTTGGCTTCGGCTTCAGGGTTAGCCTCCGTACATCCGCGATCCCCGAGGCAATCAAATAAATAACGCCTTTTTGTCGCTTTCAGGGATAAACTGGTGCGCATATGGAGCGTGGTGACGGAAGAGGAGGACGGGGAGGAGGCGATCAAGATTCAGGAGAAACCTTTCAGTCCGCTCGACGGTCACACCTACAGCGTCAACTACGTGGAGTTCAGTCCGTGCGGCACGATGCTCGCCTCCTGCTCGCTCGACGGAACGACTCTGGTTTGGAACACAGAGGTAAATGTCACATCTATAACGGCGCGATCTATTTTTGACTCGTCTTTCACGGGAATTCTTGCCGGCATCAGATCGGCGGCCAGGCGAAGTCTTCATTCGTCAATTCGGGAACGGGCATCCGAGTGTGCCGTTGGTCACCGGATGGCGTGAAAATTGCCACCGCCGGGGACGACGAGAAAACGACGTTATGGGACGTGGCGACCATGGATGAGCTGCAGTACGTACGGTAGTCAATGTAAAATAGAATAAATCAATATTGGGTTATTATGACATACATATACACACACTATTATGACATACGGCTATTATGACACACACACCGCTCATATAAAGAGGAGATGACTTTCCTTACAATGTTGACCTCGAAAGTATCCTGTAGTAGTCATTATCGTGGTCTAAATCGCATGCCCAGAGCGAATTATGAGTCGTTATTGCATAAAGAAAAAGCTCACCAGACAGCGCAGTGTTCAACATTGGGACACAAGATGTCTTAAAGACTTCTTTAAGGCGTCTTTAGGAAGTTTTTAAGATGCCCTACGTTTCGATTCTAGACATTGTGCTCTGGTTAAAAAAAAAAAAAAATCGCTTTTTTCAATTTCTGCTCGGAAAGAAAAATCCGTGGAAAAAATTGAAAAAAAAAAGCCGGATTCTTTCCAAGTCTTAAAAATTATACATTATGCTACCCAAGTCTTTAAAATGATACATTATGCTTTAAAATGATACATTATGCTACCCCGTGATTAACAGTCACAATAATCGCTAGGCAATGTTACAGTGTCTTCGAGGGACATGCTGACGCGATATCGGCCATCGCGTTCACGCACGATTCCCGATACTTGGTAACCGCTTGTAACGAGGGCACCTGGCGGCTCTTCGATACCCTGGACGAGAAGAACGGCGGCGAAGCGTTGATGGTTTGCGACGCTAGTCACGATCTGGGCGTTCAGGGATGCGACTTCAGCCCCACTTCAAGCTCCGCGATGTGCAGTGCGTGCAGAAGAAATCTCCTTCTATCTAATCATTGTCTCGTAACGACCTAACTAATCAACCTCTCGATAGCGATAAAATCGTAGCATGTTAAGCGAGAAAAATTAATCTAGATTTCCCGATTCGTTAGCCAATTAACAAAAATCCATTGTCAAAAAGTAATCTTCTCTAAAAGTAAATTTCTCGGGAATTCACCTGTGATGATCGACGACAAACACCAACTGTTTACAGCCAGGGACTCGGACATGAACGTCGACCAGCAGATATATCTCTTGGCGACGTGCGGCAACGATTCGCTGGTGAAACTATGGCACGTAATTATTTCGAACGAGCCACCTCCCGATCCGGACAGCATCGGAACGAGCGACACCGGGACGCGTTATAAGGAGAAGAAATCTTTGGCCGGGCACGGTGGAAACGTAATGTGCGTCCGTTTCTCGCCTGTCCACGGGGAAGTTTTAGGCAGCGTCGCGACGGACAGGACGGCTCGTATATGGAGCGTGGTGAGTAACAAAGACGATCGCTTTTGAGAAGAACTATGAGGATACTATACGTGTTATACGAGGATCGATGTGTTTTCAGTTTTCCGGAAGTTGCCTGTACGTCTTGGAGGATCACGACAGTCTTGTTACGTCGTGCGCATTTTCCGAAGATACGTCTCTCTTCGCCACAGGTCTCGGGACTTTTTTGTTTTTGCTTCTCGGGAGGCTGTTGATACAAAATTATGCAACGCAGATCTGCCAAATTATATTATATAATCTGCTTTTCTGCTCTGTATTATTTTTTATAATTAACGATCATATTTCTAGGTGCGTTGGATAAGACTGTCCTGGTTTGGAAAGTGCCGCAGCAATTAGTGTCACAAAGTAATCTGATTGATAGTCTGAGAAACAAAAAGAAAAGGGTTGGTCATCATTCTCGCAAATATGAATATATAAATAGGGATACAGTGGTACCATGAAAGTATCGATATTAATATTGAAGTGGATATCTAATCAAGAGTATCGATATCACTGTGATACACAGTATCACAATAAACATATCAATACCGATATTGGAAATTTAAAAAAAATTTTAAATTAGAGTAAATGTAAAGATCATGGAAGTGTTTGTCTTACAAACTACTTTTAAAGATTTCCTACGTCCACGCACAATTATCTTACCATGATATAAAGATACTTTTATCTTTTACACTAGACTTCCTACGTGACTTCCTTTGTAACATGAAAAAGAATTTGTTAAAGCCCCTGTGCCCTCGGCGGCAACAGTGCCATCATTGGCATCACTGGTCCTCGGTATGACTGTTCTTGTTTGATAATGTCAGAAGCGAGAAATCGCATGTCAAAAATGATTGTGGTATATGTGGGAATAAAAGAATATACGCACAAAACGATACTCCTGATCCAGTGACCGATTCCGCACACTTGTAAAATATCTGGACGCTTTCCTTTTACTTTAGCAATTAATAAATAACCATAAAATTAACGTAACAGAAATCATGAGAAAAATAGGTTGAAAATGTGAATTGTATGTTACATTAATTTACATAAAATAAAAGTACATGATATCCTGAAGATGAACTGAATGAAAAATTTTAAAAAAAGATATTCGGAACAAAATAGTATGTTATGGGTATGAATATCAAGAGAAAATATCAATACAAAAATACTCGGTATTGATAAATATCGAAATAAAAATATTGATACCAGTATTATATCAGTAGTATTTTGTAATACTATGATAGGGATGTTGTCATCCCTACATGCAAATATTCGAAATGCGTATAATAATATTTAACGACAACGCCTGGTTGTTTAGGTGACGGATTGGAATGTGCACGACACTTTGAAATGGCTAAACGACATCGAGTTATCCAGACTGTCCAGGAAAGTGCTTCCTCTGGGATTGACTGGGCGACATTTATTATCCATATCGGAAAACGAGCTGATATCTAGATTAGATATCGATAACGACGAAGAGGTCAGTATGGTGTAGTTTATCATTACGTTGTATTTTATCGTTTACTAATTATTTACTAAATAGCTCTTTTACGAAACTAATGAATCACTGCAGGCGGTGGAGACATTGAAGAAGCAGTTATATTGGCTGAAGCGTGAAGATTACAACGTTACGGAAAATATAGACGAATCTGAGATTCCCCACGAATTCCTGTGTCCCATAACTCACGAAATAATGAAGGAACCCGTGCAATGTTCAGGTAAAAAAATATTCTCTCTCGTGAATAATTTCTTATAGAAGAAAAATATTTAAAACTTCTTACAGAACATTTATTTCTCAGTCGAGGAAATAGCAATTTGTTTAACTCAGTTATGGCCAGTAACAATTATTAATTGTTAAGTCATTTGTTTTATATTTTTATTTTTATTTTTTTAGTAAAACGCCAAACAACATACACACGAGACAAGAATATATAAAAATATCTAAAAAAATATCTAAAAAACTTGATCGGTGATTATTTGTAGATGGATTTACCTACGAGAGGGCGGCTATAAACGAATGGTTCCTGTGCGGCAAATACAGCAGTCCGATGACGAATGAGCCCTTGCACGACACTTCCTTCACTCCGAACATCGTTCTCAGGAACGCTATACTGACCCTACTCCATGGAGAAGGACCGCAATAATGATCGAAACTTACGCATCGCATTGCAATACGAGAAGAGAGAACCAGAGAATACTACACGCATGTGTCGGCAACTTGCGACACGTGATAAACGATTTTATTCGTTTGACGTAACGATATTCGCTCACTCGCAAGAATCAAAAAGTATTCCCAGCGAGAAATGAACATCGAATCGACCCGTCAAATCGCTGCCAAATCGACACCGAGACGATTCGAAATTACATCGAATCGACGTGATCGATTTGACGGCAATTTGACGAGTCATTTCTCGCTGAGTTTGAACGTCAGCGTAGATATAACCAATCGAGACCAATTAGGCAAAAGTACGAGTGATGGAGCGATAATTGTATAACTGAACCGTCAAGGAATACAGTTTATGAAGAGACGTTGCGATTCCTGAATTTTACGCAATTATGAAATCGGAATTATTGTCACGTACGTGACTCTATTCAGGGATGGCGCGTATACAATTAATGCTGTTGTAATTTTGATCTTATCAGTATGGAAGAAAAAGAGAGATGAAACGATCTTATCAGTATGGAAGAAAAAGAGAGATGAAACGAATATCTAGAGAGGAATATTATAAAAAAAAAAAAGATTTCCGACACACATCCGACGATACGGTGCGTGTACTATACTCAAACAATTCCAGATACCTGATGCAAAGCAACAGTACAAGTTTACGAAAATTTATTGACAATCCTTGAGGTTACGGATAGTGGAAGTGTTGGTCTAAGTATCAATATTACGGTATAGCCGAACGTATATATACGTATATATAGATAGAAGTATCGGAGATATATCGGATTTTATATTGGTTCTACACGTAAGCGGGATTTACCGAGTCGACCGCTCTCGACCACTTCGCAAATGTGGCGTGCGTCTTGACTACTCTAGCATCTCGCATTTCTCAAATCTTTTATATAATTCCAATAACTCGTCTTTTCGTTAAACATTCGACCGGGTCCCATAGGGTTCACCGGCGATTTTATAAAACGTTCTCCTCGAAGTACCAAATATATCAAATAGTAATAATTTCGAATCTCTAAGATTGTATCGACAGGGTTAACTTTGCACGGGACGAAGAATTTAGGACTGTTTAGTGTCGAGGTAAGCGGATTCCCTGAAGGTCGTTGAGTATTACTCTAGATGCTAAACGAGCCCTGAGACCATTTTTACGATGGCGCAAAGTTGCAAAGTTTTTATCCCATCTCACAGTATTGAGACTTTTAAATGAGAAGCGGCTGGAAACCAAGTTTTCAGTTTAGCAATTAATGAATAATGAAGCGACTGAGAAATCTGCGCGTTATAAACACGTTTTAGAACGGATATGCTACTTGGTAGTATAGAGAAATATTCGTGCCTAATCTAAGACTAACGGCGAGGAATTATCGCGTTTCTCGAAATATCGAAGATATATAACTCGATTTTCTAATCCACGGCATCATCGCATTTTAACGAGCATTCGATTTCTTTGACAGTATACTTTGAAATTCGTAGAGATGTTGATTGACATGCGTGATTTATATGTGATAATGGTATGCATTGCTCTATTTACGACTATTAAGATGTATATTAGTTCTCGATATTTTTCGTTAGTCGCACTGATATGCCTGTTAAAAAAATTTTCATATATAATCACATATAATTACGTATAAGGCGTTATGTATGACATTTGTCCGCATATATATATAAAAATATATAATTATATATAATTATAATATAATTATATATTTTTATCCATGGACATTCTATACATAATTATATATGAAAAATTTTTTGACGGGGCGTAGCATAAGAATCTTTTTCCTTTCCGATACGTCAATTGTTATTGTAATATTACGAGCACAGAATTATTTACTAATATTAGTGTTGTAAATGCTACAGAGGTGCTCTGTCATACACTTCCTAGATCGGCGACATAAAGACGTAGATAGCCAGTACCAATTATGACAATGCGGAAGACGGTGTTTCCTTTTTGCTATCACACGATATTAACTCTAACATTAATCGTAAATACTATAAACAAAAGTTACGGAAACCGTATGTAATTGTAACAAGTGCGCGCTTACGCGTGCGTGTCATTCGAAGGAACACGAATCGTCGAATTATCTTTCTTTGCGAGAATTCGCTGGGGAATCCCGGGAGGAGGAGGTGATTCCCCTTAAAACCGTCGATCGTTTTCGAATTAGCGTTTACGGACAGATTTTTACGTGTTTTCTACGAATTTCCCCGAGATTCATCACCCGGTTACGAACACGGTTTTGTAATTGTGCGTCTCCCAAAAACTCTCACTCAAATTCAAAGTCTGTATTTCTGTGATATAATTGAGAAATCATTTGAATCTTGCTGTATATCGAGAAGGGGTGGGTCGTTAGCGTAAGCACGCGATCACGAATAACCTCATTGACCGATCGCCATCGAGCGAAGTCCGACGTAATCGAGCTTGAGCGTTAAGCGATTTTACAATTATAAGCGTGACTTTTTCTGTATAGCTATGTACGAATAATAAAAATTATACTACAATAACACGCCATTTGTTCGTCCGTTCCTTCCGAAATTGCGCACGCAAAGTGAGCGTCCCAATTTGTGATAATCGCATCTCACTTGAGGAAATGTTACAAATCAATGTAAATTCCTCAGAAAAACATCATACAATTAGAAATACAAATGTTCAAACTTTCGAGCAGAATCAGTTGTAACGTATTCAGCTTAACACGTACATTGTGTCGCAAATTTGACTTATTGTCACAATGAGATCACTTTGTTGCTAATTAGAACATTTACCTTGTCAGGGCCTCGAGATTCGCCGATTCACGACTTACCGGACAGGCCGCACCGGACATTTTCCCAAACTCCTTCCTTCCGAAGCTCCGAATGCCCCCGGAAAACATCACCGATCGTCCGGAACTGAATTCAAACTGTTCCCATCGGAGGGAGACGACGCGTCCGCCATCTGGGCGGGCGGTGCGTCGACGAGTTCGACGGGGTCGCGACAGATGGCGCGGCTGGTGCCGAGAACTCGCCAGCCGTGAGCGAAATTGAGAGAAAATTGCTGCTTGGCGTCAGCTCGTTGTAGCGATGGCCGAGGTTCTTTAACGCCCGATCGCGCGCGCGACAACCGCCCTCAGGCACTTTCGCAGATCCGCTCGAGAGAAAGAAAGAAATAAGAAAACAGCGAAGGAGTAGAGGAGAGAAAGAGAGAGAGAGAAAAAGAAGAAAGAGACCCGTCTCCCGATCAGTCGCGTGACTCACTTCCGCCTGCTACGTCAGCCGCTGGAGCGGTGTTCGTTCGCTCGCCAGAGTTCGCGGGGCACCGTCTGTTACGTGGATCCGTGGTGCGCCGTGTTGCCTGTCATTCGTCGCTGCTGCTGGGATCACCGGATGAGCAGGATGGTGAGTAGGTGCTCGAGGGAGCCTCGTCGACGTCGGCCCGCCGTCGAGCATGCGTCGTCTAAACGCTACGTGTGTTATGTTCGCAGGCGTCTTACTCCGAGGATCAGCTGGCGGGTAAGTGAAGGCGCAGGGATCCTACCACCGTGGGGCGTGCGACCGAGAGAGGTCCGAACGAGGGGGGCTCGGCTCCGCGCGCGCGTCTCGTTTCCCCCGGGTTCTTAATTCAGGTCAAGAGTATCATCGCCTTTTTCGACGCAGCCCCCCTCGGCGTAAGGAGATCGGATCGGGGATCGCCTTTTATGGCTCGGTATTTGAAGGCGAGCCGCGCTCCTTGCCGTCGGCGGCTCAATCGCGCGCTCTCGTCCGCCGCCTCGCGACCATCCCTCGCGAGATTCACTGCTCTCCGTCGGATCCGTGCACTTGGCTCCGTCAAGGCGTAGAGTTAAATAATTGGGCCGTCCCGGTAACGACACGGTCCTCATCGGCGTTATCGCGTGTGTATGTGTGTGTGCGACAGTGCCTTATCTCGGGAGGGATAAAACGCGCGCACGCTGGCGAAATGTACGGCTATAGCTATCAGGAGCTGTCTCATAGGATGATGTCATCCATGGAGGGTAAATAATCTTGGTTGCGGGTTTGGCATAGAGCCGCCGGATTTTGTTAGAGCCGCGCGTCCGTGTCGGGGATGGCAGATAGAAAGATGATCCCGGCGGTTTCTTTTCTTCTCGCATGCTCGCTCACGCTTTCGGTATCGCTGTAGAATTCCAGGAGGCCTTTCAGTTGTTCGACAGCCGCGGGGACGGGAAGATCCACGTGGCTCAAATCGGAGACGCGTTGCGCGCCCTGGGACAAAATCCGACCGAGTCCGACGTGAAGAAGTTCACCCACCAGCATAAGCCGGACGAGCGCATCAGTTTCGAAGTCTTTCTGCCGATCTACCAGGCGATCAGCAAGTCCCGCACCTCGGACACGGCGGACGACTTCATCGAGGGTTTGCGTCATTTCGACAAGGACGGAAACGGCTTCATATCCTCCGCGGAGCTGCGGCATCTTCTGACGACGCTCGGTACGTGCGCGGGGGCTGCCGAACAGGATCCTGGAGAACCGAGGAGAGTCGTGGGAATTTAAGACGTCGGTGGAAAATCCGGAGAAGTTGGAGATAAAGGATAAAAATGCCGGAACCTTTTTTTTCAACTTTGCTTACGATTTCCCTTAAATGATCTCGACTTTGTTCTTTCCAATATTCATTCGTTTTTTGTCGACCTGAATTTACCATCTGGATTATATCGTGTTGCTAAAACTTTTGGAGTTGCGCTTCTGATGATGCAAGTTGCCTTATAATCCTTGGTTTTTAAACGTTAATGTTTAAGACCACATATTGCTCGTGGAAAATTCTCCACTCTGTCGCCTGGGAAACACGGAGAAGTCGGGGAATTTCGAATTTCATTTTCCGCGACAATTCTAGTGCGGGACATGCTTTTCCCCAGAAAGGTGCCGTCGGCACGTGAGATTATCATTGTACGTATCGTTGCAGGTGAGAAGCTGAGTGACGAGGAAGTGGAAACGTTATTAGCGGGCCACGAAGATTCACAGGGTAATATTAATTACGAAGACTTTGTCCGCCAGGTGATGTGCGGCTGAGTAGTTATTTAATCGCGTATATAAGAGAGTATTATTATTATTATTAATATTATTATTATTATTATTATTATTATTATCATCATCGTCGTCGTCGTCGTCGTCGTCGTCGTCGTCTCGTTTAATTTGCCATTATATCTGCCGGGTCTGTTGAAGCGTTTACTTTTTGAGAATTGTCATATCACAGCATGTGTACCTATATGCGACGATTAATCTCGAGGGGATCCCCAACGCGAACACTCTATTTTGTTATGTGGGAAAAAAGAGATTAACCCTCTTTACAATTAAGAATCTAAATTAGTTTAACCAATGGTAGAGGTAAAGAACAATCTAGCGCATTGTGCCTTGAACATACTCCGACTTTACGAGCATTTAGTGATATTGATAGTAAGCCACTCTTTAGCAAGAGATCCGGATTTCGCGGACATTCCAAATTTCTTGAGATAGACTAAACGAAGAACAGCGAGGTTATACATACGCGGGCTTCTTCAAGGCGAAGACCAAGCATTTTCGATTCACGCTGATGATACTTAACGTAACTCTTCTTTCCCCCTTTCTTCTGTCTCGGTCGAGTTCGATATACCCCGCCGTATGGTTATAGAATGTGTATGTATGCGAGAACTTTCCTATCTATCTACGCCTTCCACGCGTCCTAGAAAAAGCATCGCGGCGTATACGAACGATATTTACTTTATTTATTTATGCATGAGCATATATTTATGTCATCAAGACGCGTGTATGCAGAACGAAGAATATTGTACGTTGTGATGAATAAAAAGATGGCTCTAACAAACTTGTGATACTCCGTGCGTTGAACTTTTGTGTTTTTAGAAGTGAAAACCCTGAGCGCGCGCGCGGTTTGTACGTACTGTAACGTCCGGACTTATTTTGGAAAATTAATAATATATTAGTATAGATTGGAGGCCGACTTGTCTGATTTCTAGACTAGATAGACAGATAAAAAACTTGCTGGGACAAGATATTATGCAAAATTCTACATCTTATAACTCTCCTCTTTGGATCGTCCCAAAAAAAAATCGGACTCGATACCCAAAAGACCCAAAAGCGGAGTCATCACTCTGTTGACCGTCCACGTAAGTCACTGATTTTACTACTTTCAAATTTCCCTATATAATTATCTATCGTGGACGTAACAGTGCCATAATTTTAAGTTAATGTTTCACACGCGTCATTTCTATATCGATCGTGTAATTTTCCCCTAGGTTGAAGAGCGAAAATTCCAATTGGAAAATCATACTTGTCACGAATTGTCACATGAGAGAAGAGAATTTACGATCATCGACCCTCCGAGAGTTACGAGTCTTCTCTAACGTGAACTCGTAAAGAGTATAAACTTTCTAATTCGAAAGCATTTGGAATTCTCACGTCTCCGCATTGGGGAAAAATTACACGATCGCCCCAGACGGGCAACATTGGGACACTGTTTGTTTTTTATAGCCGAACTGGTTTCGAGAAATTTACATATTCACGTCGGAGCGTACGAGTGCGCGTAAATTTCACGAACTAGTGTAACCAGTTTTACCTGCCAGAAGAAAAGGCCACGGCTTCGCCGATGGTTGTTGACAATGGAGGTGATTTTCTCGCGTGCTCGACGTCGATGACACCTCTGTCTGCTTCGCGAGATGCTAGACCGGCCTCGCAACGAGTCTGTGAAATTCGAACGATAACGCGATAACGAGCGTCAACGGTGCACCGACTTACTTCCCCTTCGATCGCTCGCCCGTTTTTAAAGGCAATCGCGTCGGCGCATGTGCGTACACGTGGGAGCCTCTCGCGCATCTGATTCGCGGGTGACTCGCGGCTGATATCACGTGGGGGACTGGAGGAGGGCGCTGCGTCGCGCGCTGCACACGTCTGGTAGGTCGGCGTCGGTCGCGCTGCTAGCCAGTGTCGCTCAAAACGCCGCGGTGTGTAGTACTGTCTTTCACATAGCTTTTTAGCATAGCGAAAGCCCGTCGTTGTCGATCGCTACTCCAGCGAACATTTCGTTGTGGAGCAGTGCAATTAAAGCCGCCAAAATTTTACGAAGAAAGAAGTATGAATATCAATAATTCCAGTCTGTCGTTAAGTAATAGTGAAAGTAGTAAAAAGGGCGCGATAATGCCGAGTTTAATTTCCAGTAATTGGTGAGTAGGAGGCGGCGGCGTGTGAGCACGCAACGTAACTACGCCATTTTTGTCCTCGCCTTCCCTGCGAGTCGCCATCTTGTATCTCGCGTCCTGATCCGTGTGTGTGCGCGTGTGTTTTTTTTTCCTCTACTCCTTTCGCGATCCTCGCTTCTATCCTTCTTTTTCTCTCTCTCTTTTTCTTTCTTTCTTTCTTAGTTTTCTCTCCATTTTTGTTTATTAACTACCGAATCTTGTCGCGCGCAATTGTCGTCTCGCATGTCCGACGATCGAAACGCGAGATAGCTTATCGGCGTTTACGACGCTCATCGCGCGTCATCGGAAAAATCGGCGGCTCGGCGGAGATTCAACGGCTTATTCGACAGTCGACGTTATCCGAGGCGATGATGCGAATTCGGGGATCTGTCTTTCGCGGGGATGATCGGTAGAAGAACTCGCGAGAGGAGAATCGGTATCATCGCTACACACACGCGCGCGGAGCATTCTCGCGACATGCGCGCGCGACGGCTCGATTTCGTCGGGCGGCCACGTGACGGCTCCGCTAAAAAAATCTATTACGGAGCGCATTACGGTATATCGTCGGTAGCGTTGCGCTTTATCAGCTGTTCCGTTAGACGAAGGCGGAGAGAGAGAGAGCGGCCAGCGTTCGCGTTTCCAGCGGAGCGCACATTCGGCGCGATCGAGTCACCCTTTCCAAGTAGGAATCGTATCTAGATATATTTGTACGCAGTTGTGACTTGCAGTAATCTCCGTGATTAAAAGACGGGAAACAACAATGTTGTCACTCGGGAATGCTCGAATGGTTGAGCGGTGCTAAAGATAACTATATTTAGAGCACTGATAATTATCGTATCTGATCGTTATCGGACTGTTATTTTTCCTTGATTTCTGAAATTACAAGACAAACAGGATTCTTATCGATTATACCGAAGTCTAGTTTGATTCCGGAGACATTTATTTATTTATTTAATTCGTCTTTTTAACGGAAAGATACAGCGGTGGACAGAAAGATCGTTGCACTTCTTTTCACGAGTTTCTCGTGAAAGAAACATCTCATATCTAATGGGAGAGTATATTCTGAGAAGAGACAACCAAGAGATGAATTCTCCTAATGGACACGGGCTGTGTTTCGAAATTTATTAAAAAAAAAAAAAGTCACGACCTTTCTGTCCACCACACTGCCTTCTTTTCGTCCGACATGACACTTTGAAATCTTCCTCGTGATGGATGCATCGTAAGATGATCCGACCGATCGATACCGATTAACTCTGACTGAAAAAATCGGCCGTGCCCGTCTGCAATCATACTCTTTTGTTTTCGAATATTTCTCCCGAGAGAGCGTTTAATTACACGAGATATACGTGTCCTTATCTTCGCGTGTCGCATGAAACGTGAAACTCCGAAGTAACCGCAACTAAGATCCGAAGAATGTGTAAACATGTCTCTCCTTTCGCGTACGCTTTGCTGCGCGCCGAATGCACACGTACAGCACCATTAATACATCTGTCTGTACGTGAGATGAAGGGTACAGTCATTGTGCGCTGTGCTATCAGTTATCTAATCAGTATGTGCTCACTCACAACAAGGTCGCAACCTTTTTTTTCCTCTATAAGTTTCGGAACGCATCCCGTGTTCAATAGAGAATTTGTTTTTCAGTAATTCTCAAGAGATACCCGGACAGAAATTTCCAAAAGACCTTTTAACCCTCTCAATGGCAAGTTGGATTTTCAACCAGGATTTTATCCAAGAATCTGTGGTCGGATCCGACCCCATGTTCTGTTGTTCGTTCTTCATGTAGACAATATATACAAAACGGGTAAAAGAAGTAAATAATAACATTCCTTAAGGAGAGGAACAGAAGAAATATAAAGAAAAAAAAATAGGACTCTTGGGTATCTGTAAGCTTTCAGAAATTCGTTCTGCCTGGGTACATTTTCCTACCGGATGTACGAGGCGTGTTATGAGACTCATCGGAAAAAAAAGTTGCAACCTTTTTGTGACCGACCACATATGCGGTATCGTGTTGTCAAAGTCGTAAATTCGTGCCGATGGAGGAATTATCGATTCGCGATTGTGACCCGATAAATACTTTCAGAGTCGAACGCATTCATTACCACTACCTGCGCACGCATTATCGGCAATATACAAGCCGTGCCGTATAATAATCGGCAATAAATCGAGCGTGATGCAAGTTTCTTCGACGACCATTCGAACGCGACGTGAAAACAAGCGCGCACGTGTATGCATATTTCGCGATACTGCGCGTTGCACTTTTTTTCTTTTTTTTTCCCGGAACCAGCCGTGTGTTCGTTGCATACCGCAAGAAAATGTAGTTTGAAAATGAGTATTCAATATATACAGGATGATGGACTACTTTGCAATGTCATCCTTGTTTATTACCCTATTTAACCCTCTAATAGCAACGTGAATCTTCAAAACGTTTTTCAAAGGAGTGTTTTACTACAATTATTTCAAGTCAGTTGGTAAACTTTATTATATTCTTTTTTTCACCTATAAGCAAATAGAGGACAAAGTTTCGTGTTATTATTTACTTATTTTACCCATTTTGTAGATTAATTATATGAAGAAAATGAATAAAACTAAACATAAGGTCGGATCCGACCACAGCCTTACCATTAGAGGATTAATGAAAGAACGGAATTGTATAACCCCCCCCCCCTCCCCCCTTCGAGAAATACATGTTGTACAGTCAGCTCTCTCCCAAGTTCCCCGAATCCAATTATATGAAACACAACGGCGGTTTAGATCCGTTCCGTTAACATCGACGAAGACAACGCAAACGATCGAGAGTCGTCCGGTTCGCTCTGTAACGCACGCTCGTGTTCCTTTCACGCGAAACACCGCGGTACCGTTGAAACGGCAACCATTTACTTTGTTTTCTCTAGCAAACACTAAGTTGCCTCGTGTCTCGATCAATCGATATGCGATATAAGTCAGCAATGCGCGGCATTATCTCACAATCGTATCTCTCTTGACTTCGCGATATTTTTTTCCCTCCCCCTCTCCGAGCAGAAACTCTCAATTTTCACGTCGCCGCAAAAGCGGTCGAATTTATTGTGTTTGGAGAATCGCGCTCGGAATCCAACAATCCTAGCATTGAAACGAGCACAAAGAGAAGTGTGTGTGTGTATAAGAGAGAAAGAGAGGGAGAAACTCCAAGTAGTTTCGCTCGCTCGCGTTTCTCGAACGCGACAATAGAGCACGCGTAATTCTCGGTAGAGAATACAAATAATACTCGACTCGAAAATATTTATCGTAACGTCGCGACGAACTGTGGATAAAAATGTTGTCACGCTTGGATTGATTTCATCATTTCCACCGTGAATATCATAAACGTACATTTTACTTTTATAGGAAGTATCATGCCTATTTTTAGTGGGCTTATCGTCGTCTGTGCGACGATACCACGTGATAAGGAGACTGCGTCTTCGCTGATATAGCCGCTTTACTAATATAGTTGCAACACCCATTTAATAGCTTCTCGTTATTGCGCGCACGTTTCTTACGTAATTCTTGCTAGTTCAGCGAATTACACGCAATTCGTCTCATTGGATGATAGCTGCAATAAGGAACGAGCCACCTTTTATTCGTGCAACAGCGGGAAGACGCACTGAGTGAACGCGAGCGTGATTTTGAGAACATGATGTAACTATGCTTCCCATTTTTCTCCCTTTCTCTCTCTCTCTCTATCTATCTCATTTTGAGCGGAAAAATCAGTGTATATGATAATCACAGAGAACACTCGCCGATAATTCCGCCTTCGGATTCCCGTGTGTCGAGAGATTTCGATTAACGGAGAGCGGGTTTGAAATTTAAGGAGGTTCGAGTATTTGACCAAATATAAGATAAACCTGTGATATATGCATGATAAAAAAAAGGGTTAATCTCGAAGTGATAACGCATAACAGAAATTTCAATAATCTTGACCGTATCGTTTCTTAGATATTTAATCATAAACTAATACGCGTGCATGCGTAGAATACTCATAAAACGCCAAATTTCTTCTAATTTGACATATTTGTGCATAAAGTGGAAGTTTAAAAAATTTAAATTATAATGTTACAGATAGACATAATATTAAAAATTAGTATACAGATATTATAGACAAACTTCGGAATTACCGTTTCATTTAGACAATATATACAATGGTGGAAAGTTTATAATTTATAGTAACCTTGAAGATACATGTAAGCATAAAAAATATTTTTGTATTTGTGATATTGCGTATACGTATTTATCTCAGCTTTGTTCCAAATTAACGCTTATTATTTGGTTAGTGAAATAAATGTATGGAAAAAGAAATTTTGCTTAGGACCCCCTTAAAGGTTTCGTCATCGCGATTAAGCCGGCGGTTAATTTGATCGATCGAACCGACCGATTCGAAAGAAAAAAAAAAAAGAAAACATCGCATCGATGAATAAATTAAACATTGCGTATATACACAAACTTTCGAACAATTCGCTGCGCCGAGTGACCGCGCGATCATCACGCACGAAAACGCCGTCCTGTGTGTGTGTGTGTGTGTGCGTGTGTACGCGCGTGTGTGTGAGGTTACAATTGGTTGATGTATTCCGCTTGAATGCCTCTAATTAAATTTGTCCATCGACTTCGAGAAGCTTCCAGAGCGATTGATAAAGCGAGACGACTCGCGCAGGAACGTGCAAGGCCGTTCGTTCGCGTGAAGAGAGCAAACCTCGGAACAAAGGCAATAAAATTATTCTGATCAGTCGTCCTCTTCCACTTCCCGTGGTTTCTCTCATTTGTTTTTTCCTCCCGCCCGTCAAAAGCGTACGCGTTATTCTCTCTCTCTCTCTCTCTCTCAGACCGATTACAAAAATCAAATAATCCCGCTGTGTTCTTTCCGCGCGTCTTCACAATCGCCAATTGTGGCACGCGTAACCGCAACTTTTATCTCGCATTCCAATGCATACGGCGATGTGCGCTATCGTGTTCTGTATTAAACATTTGAACAGAAATAGATGACCTATTGTCACGCTCCACGCGTATCAATAACATTTGAACTTGGGAAACGCTTTTAAGCGTGTCTCCAGCAGAAGACGCGTTCGATGACGGTCATAATTGTTGAAAACGGCGTCTACACAGGTGTAGCGAACCTTAAGCTGTAAGGTAAAAACCAATACATCTAGACTCGGACATTCTTATTGCTTTAGTTCCTAACCTTCAGATAACAAGATCGGCCGGATCCGACCGAATCTAGATTCTAATGCTTCCGCAAACACGCGTTATATTTCAGGTATTTTGTATATTTTATTCACTTTTAAGCATTTTCTAACTTTTTGTGAGAAGAAAAGCGCCTGGTCGAAATAATCAATTGAAACCTTACAAAATGCTTCTACGGGTCGGATTCGACCCATACGAACCTTCTTATTTGACAGTTAACTACGAATATCTTTCGATCATGAATATATATTACAGATTATAAATATTCGCATTTAAAGACCAAGTTCATGAGAATATCCAGGTTAAAGTGCATATCCGGGTATTGGTATTTTTATCTCAAGAAATTGAGCAATTACAGCGATGAACTCAAATGTGAGAGAAAAGTTATCGATTGCGTTTGGTCAATTTCTTTAAGGCTTGCTACCACCCATTGTGGTACACACACCACTTAAGGGGCTCGCAAAGTCCACGATTTTCAGGTCAGATCGTGCGTAAGAACGACAAATGGCATCTGGCGCGGTCGATACGATATCTGGAATCTATTTTTACAATCACTCACATCGCCAAGATAAATATGTCGCGAGAGAGAGAGAGAGAGAGAGATCTTCATTGATCAAATCAAGAGTCGCGCGCGTTTATTATCGTCTGACGTGAGAACACCCGCTGATATGAATCTTTCGCAATTCCAGTCGATCGGTTATTTTCCTTCTTCCCTCGACCGTCAACGCGGAAATCACAATATTTTGCGGCCGCCGGCGGTGCATTGACATCTGCGATATCGATAATAATTCAACGACGCCTCGATACTTATTAACGCACGCCGAGTGCGCGACTGTGTTTGTCTTGCGGAATCTCCCGAGGAATTTCTGCGATTCGCGCGGCCTGCAAATACTCGTCCTCGGCGACACGACGATATTAACAGACCTGAAAGCCGCCCCTCCTCATTAGGGATCTCCAGAGTCGTTGAGTGTTTTACCGCAAATTCGTCGTCACGGGCTGCACCGAATCAACAATCCTTTGCGCAATAACAATGTACACGTTGATACGCGCGTTAGTGCAGACGAAGACGGTCGACTCGTCGGAAAACAACGAGATGCCAACAAATTGTGAAACCTTTTCTGCTTTTTATAATTATATGGCTCCTTCTAGTTAATACAACTAGGGCTTTTCCCACGTGCGTGTATCGTAATTTCTGCTAAAGGATGTTCGATTCTCCGCGTGTGTACGGAGCCGGTAACGAGTGCAGCACTAAGAAATTTTACAGTAGAACAATAGACGACTCCAGGATATGTTCCCCTGACGTCGCTCGAAAATGGACCTTACCTGTTGCACCCGCGCGGCGGCGAAATATTTATAAATTGTTGCACGGCCGCACGCAATTAGACACGCTCATTTGCAAAAAGTTGCCGCGCAACCGCGGCGGAGGGTTCCTCGTTCACTCGCTCTCGCTCGTTCCTTACGTAAGCCCGAAATTTTCCGATGTTACACGGCCGAAACCGTTACACTTAGCGCGCATTTGCGCGAAATACTCGGCCAAAAATTCCCGATGTAAAGCAGCGAGACCCGAAGTCGCTCGAGCGTTTCATAGCGCGTTTTCCTTTCTCTCTCCCTCCTCTGTCTCGCTCTTTCTCTCACCGCAACGCGCAAAGACGCTTATTTGTTTGGCGCGACGCCCGCTTTAATGACGTCGGCCGACAATGTACGCTCGCGCTCGGTATCGCTGCATTATATACCCGGTATCTCGTATAAATCGCGCACGCCGGCCGCCCGGTGTGCCAGTCGCTGAATTTCCCTTTAACCGCGAATACCGCGAATGCGCGAGCGATAGTTTTCCCGCTGGTGGCCTCTGCTGTGCGCGTTCCTATTAATCCCCGGCGATCGGCTGGCTTCTCGACGTCCGACGTCGCGCCGCGTCTCGCCGCTTTCAGTGAAAACTCCCGCGACCGACTCGCTGCAGATCCCGGCGGCCGAATGGCTCGGAAGCCAAGGTAGACGTGTCTTTTACGCTTCTTTTTCTTTTGCTTCGTCTAATGGGACGATTGCGGCGGCATCGAGCATTCCGAGCGATGAGATTTTCCCCCTTAGACGACGCTTCTCAGGATAAGGCCGGTGGTTATCCTCGGAGATCTCCGGAGGGAGATCGTCCGAATCTGATCTTGCATAAGCGCTCGATCGGAGATTCGAGATTCTTGGCAGTGCCCTCTGTTTATCCGAATACATCATCCTCTCCTTAAAAAACGTCCATTTAGAGCACTTTAAACACGTGACATGGGACGAATGTATGATGCACACTCGCGCGCAAACTCGTTCTCGCCGTTGTCGTGCGATCGTCTCCTTCCCTCTATTAATCGCACACCTGCCTGTCGCGCACATTCCTACGCACTTGTTGTCTTCCTCGCCGCCCATGCACGAAATCCGTCTAATCGTAAGCCGATAAACACGTCGTTATTTGTACAAGAGAGATTATAAGTCTCTCTCTCTCTCTCCGGGCGACTTGAACGAATGTAAAATCCAGCGCGAGCCCGGGGGCGGACTTTTCTGACATATCGAATGTCGCATGTTCCAGTGAAATGTCTAGTAAGTGCATGGACGAAAGCCTGGAGGAAGGCTCTAGGCTGCAACAGCACTACTGTATAACGCTGGGCGTGGGGCCTCTGTGGTGGTCCTGATGTGCCCCATGCCGCATTGTCTGTATCTACAGTCAACACAGAGAGCCGCGGCGTGGGGATCAAGCAGAGTCAGCTCTCTGTGAGCTCCCACATTGTGCAAGTACGTATAACAACATTCCCTTCTTCATTTTCCGACCGATATCAGCGGCCGGTGGTGATTCACGCTTCCCCCGCCTTTCCCGAAAAGCTAATCCGACACGTTTGCTTGCATGTCGACGACACACACACACACAGGAGGATGAATTGTTGAAAGCCGTGAGAAGCAACGAACCATTGCGTCTGACGTTCACCCTCCACTTGACCGAGAGTACGTCCGTCGAGTGGGAGACCGTGGCGTGGCGCCGTTGTCTATACATTCGCGTACCGAGCTGCCTTCTGCCCGAAGGATCGAAGGAGGGTTTCGTCTCCCTGCTGGAATACGCCGAGGAAACGTTGCGCTGCACCAATATCATCGTATGCCTGCGTAAAGATAGATCTGACCGAGGTACTTGTCGCTTGCCGTTTTTCGGCACGAACGATAACTTGTGCGCCGAGAGGGCAGACTCACCCGCTAAATCGTTCTGTTGTCATGGTCTAGCAATGCTGGTTCGTACCTTCATGTTCTTGGGCTTCACGGTCCTGCCGCCGACTCATGCCTTGGTACCGCCAGGCAGTGACGCGGGCAATCTCTACATGCTCTATGCCATCGAGTAATCGGCAAGCAGCTCGGCACCTCTCAAATTTAACGCGCAGGTACTGACGGGGACTGAGATAGAAAGAAGGAAGGAAGGAGGAGGGGGAATTCTTCACGAGGGTGTTGCGCTTTCCTTGGTTTTTTTTATTTCCGTGCCAACCGGCCGTTTTTTTTTTTTTCGTCTCGCTTTAACCGATCATTTTCCGTTCGCTAACCACGCTTCCCCCTCGTGAATTTATTTATTATTATTATATGATTTCCCTCATGTCTAATTATTCGGTTTTCCTTTGATCTTTTATTTCAGGTACAGATCGTTAACGAGTTTGTAAGGTATAGTTCCGGAGAGTGAGAGAAGCATGCCTGGAGAGGGGATCGATTCGAGATGCACTTTTCTTTTGTATTTTAAGTTCCGTTGTATACTTGCGTATTTTTTTTTTACATTGGAAAGTTTTTTTTATTTTTTATACAATTTTTGATAAGAAAAAGAACGTTGAAGAATTTCAACGATGCAAGAGAGAGAGAGAGAGAGAGAGAGAGAGAGAGAGAGAGAGAGAGAGAGAGAGAGAGAGGGGGGGGGAAAGACTTCCTCACGTCAGTCGATCACATCGGACAACACCTTGGCGTTAAATTTCAGAGGCTTCACGGAGAAACAAAGAAAACTATAGTCGCGAATACGTAGAGAACGCGTACATAAAAGGCTTTCGATGGGTATATCGATTCATTCTCTTGAACACAATGTTAATAACTCTTGTAAGAGCATATAAGCTGCTGACAAAGCTTCCCACGTGAAGGAATTTGACGGAATATGTTACTACGCATCAACAACTGCACGTAGTGACCGGTCGTCAAATTTTAGAGGAAAATTTATTATCGACAAATCTCAATGTTAATTGTGGCAGATTGGGTATCACCGTATTATTATCATTATTATCATTATGCATTAATGTAGTACATTTCTTTATATTATTTGTAAGTATTATCGATATGCGTACCATATGACTAGATTTAATATCTGTTACGCGCGGATATCGGTGAAATTCACCCAGTGAGTTTAATCGTTTTCCAGCCTTCCATTAAAGATTGCATTATATTTGAGAGATGCATCAGTTGACTTATATGCTTCTGAGAATGATGATGTAATGATTTTTTCTTTATACTGGTAGTTACGCAAAGTTCTGGTAAAAAAAACTGGTTTACATTGGTTTACACCGAAGTTTGCGGATTAAAAAGTCGTAAAAGCAGCATCAGGATAGATATATAAATTTCTGTCTGTATCGAGATTCAAGGGCTGCACATTCAAGCCGAAAACTTGGCACGCTATTTCGTTAATTTTCGAATATATTCGGAACGACGTACACATTTCACTGCAAATATCTCAACAATTCACAATCGGAAGGTACTAGATTATTGTAGAACTTATTTATCGTTATAATCCTTTATTATCGTTATATTGTCTTATTAACTTTTTTTCGTTAATGGTAGATTATTTAGATATAAGTGATAGCATATCTGGTAATCCCCAATCAGTTAACATTGGAGAGATCTTGCTAATAAATGCGTTCTTTAGTGTTGACTTGATAACAGACAACATGAAAAATACAAAAATGGCAAAAAAAAATGAAAAATATCGGAAAAGCAATTAAAAAAAAAAGTGTTAATAGCTTATTAGGAAATAGGTAAAGATAAGTACAGAGTGACGGACTATTGTATGTTAACTTCACGCAAAAATAATTATCAACTCGCCTCAAGTTTTTAAATTGATAAATAATTCCGTGCGTTTTATCTCCCGTCAGTTAGTATTATATATTCGTACCTCTGACCACACACACACATACACATACACACACACGAAAAATGGATATGTATGCTACGTTTCTTATTCATACATGAAGACGTAATTACTAAATAAACATTTAATAAAACCCTTCATATTGTTACTCCTTGTTCACCAGAAATGTTTACTTTGAACGTCACTTCATTAAACGTTGAATTTTAGGTGATGGTTGAAAATAAAAAAACACGGAATATGCAAGCACTTTTGTTTAATATAATAATACCCTTATGCACAAAATGTTTCAATCAATATACTGACATTCTGACTATTCTTTAATATCAAATAGTTTACCGCTAATTACACAATATAGAACATTGTTTTGGTTTTATACATGATTTCTTATGTGCAAAATGAATTGCGCGAATTTTTTTTTATTAATTTGCCACAATATACATTTTTTATTAAAGTATTAATATACAAAATTATTGAATAGTTACTTTCTTCGTTATCTCTTTTTTTCTCTTTTAGAGCTGAACGGGACTTCTTGATATATAGGATATATAAAATTGATCACTCGCGTACAAGTGAAGAAGCAATTTTTTTATGCAAAAATAAATCTCTAGAATTTTACATTTCTTCTCAGAAGATTTCAGGTTGTAGTTAGTGAATAACACAAAGTTTATTTTTTATAAGCTTCCTCTTTCTTGATTGTACCATCCCAACTTTACTACATTCTATATATTGCAATGAGAGGAGAGATTATATTCTAATACCATTATGTATTGTGCAGTGCTTTTTCACCGATGAATTCAAAGATGTACATATTTCAACTCAAAACGTAACACATAATAATTAAACAGCGAGAATATCAGATTATTACATATACGAATTAACAAAATAGAATTGTAGATTCTGCTCGATCGTCGAGCAATTTACGTCCAAATAGAGCTTCGATCTGTTTAACCAAATGAATATCGCAACATTGAAAAACTGCTTTTGGAAGATCGATATCATGTATTTCAATCTAAACAGATCATACACACGTTTTTAATTTTCTTGCAACTTCACATGTCTGCCTATGTGCCATTATTAGGTCTGTTCTTTTTCGCTGAATCAGCTGCATCGGCTCTCTCCTCTTCCTCCCACCGAGTCTACTTATATATTTGTCTCTCTTTTTAAATTCTACAATGTTGGTTCGGCAAAAAAGGAATAGACCTTTTGTTTGAAGTCACGTCACATCTAATTGCGGGAATTAGATTTCTCGTGTGCGTCAGCCTGCAATCAATTTCAAGAACAAAAGAGTTGGACAATCAGGAAAGGTGAAAAGTTATTGTAAACAGAGATATACGCGTTATATATATATATGTATATATATATACACACGCACACACAGAGAGATAACGAGACACACCTCAGAAGCGGTTCTCGGAACTAATCCCAAACTATCCAGCATGCCAGACGGTGTTGAATCTTCTACAGGATATGCCGATATTCTCTTACACTTTATCAAATGTGTTGCTGCAACACGATTTAAATGAACCCCTTGATTAATAATATACATATCGTTATACGTATATCTGTTCTCCATGATCACACAAATACCTAATTGATTGCCGTCGGTCGACGTGTAACCACACGGGCACCGTAGTTTCTTTTCCAACGGGATGTTGATCAAAGGAGATGGCACGACCAGACTGGTCTTCGGCCTTTCGTTATGAATTTGCTGTTGATGCTCCTTGAAGGCGCGCCAACAACAGGTGACATAACGGCACTGCGTGCATTGCTGTTCGCCTCTGTTGATTAAATAATTTGTGTGATATCTGCGAGATTGTCAACGAAAATCGAACACTTACGGGTAATGATCCTCCTCATCGATGTCCTCCTCGCACTCCTGGCACGGTAAGTGGCTGACGGAAGTGTTCACTGTGATTGGTCCGGTGCTCCATTTCTGTATCTTTTCATCCGGTGGTAACTCCGGGATCGGACTATCTACGTCGAATCGTATCGCCTCTGGCTGCTCTTTCGAGATCATTATTCCACTACTGCCAGCTGAATACGGTATCACCTCTGTGCACATATTTATTTCGATGTTACATTTATCCCAATGTTAATTGCCGCCTTTCGGGCAACATGCTAGAAGTGCACTCATGAGGAAAGATTATTGATTGTTGGAAAGATTTATTCGATAACGTAAAGCAAAAACGTGGCATTTGAATTAATCTTTTATCTAAGCTTTTTTAACGTTTCTGAAGTGGCATGCACCTCTGTGAATTTTTCAACAAAGAATTTAACGTCCTCTCTGGGACCTCGCTATGGCCGCTTTGATGACGTCAAAAGTGAGAAATCGAAAATCTATTATGATACATGTGGAAATAAAAGAATATATACGCACAAATTGACACTCGTGATCGATTACTCCGAAGGAAATATTTCGCTGAAATACTCTCTCAATTGACCCCGTTTCACGAATATATGCAGTTTTAAATTTAATAAATTTCAGTAAAATCCAGTAAATTTCATATGTAATATTTCAAAAATGTTTTCATTATACTTTTCAGAATTATACTTGAATTTTCATTAAATTTCACAGCATTACATTGAATTTCGCGAAGAAAATTAAGATTTATTTTGAAATATTTATTATCATATATTTCAGGAATTTCTGAGTCATTTTTATCTCACCGTTCATCAAGTTCATAATATATTAATACTCGAAGAAAAGTTAAAATATACTGTTTAAATTCACTGAATTTAACTGAAAATTGCATACATTAACGAAATGATAATGAAATTGGATCAATTGAAAGAGAATTTCAAGTAAAATTTTCAGCATATTTCCGTCAGGGTCGACACACTTGTAAAAATATCCGCTTTCCTTCAGCCTCAATAATCAATAAATAGCGAAAAATTAGTATAATAATGTAACTTATGTTTTTAACTCATGATTTCTGTTATGTTAATTTTTTTACTGTTATTTATTGATCGTTCAAGTTAGAGGAAACCGGACATTTTTACAAGCGTGCCGATCTCGATTTACGAGTGCCATTTTGCGTATATATTCTTTTATCTCTTGTGCATATGTTACTTTATATCTCTTTTATTCTCTTATCATCGTGTATCGCAATATGTTTTGGCATGCGATTTCTCGCTCCTGACGTCATCAAATAAGGACAATCGAAATGAGAACACGGGAATCTTGATTAAATATATACTACCGTGGCGCCCCAGAGTATATACAGCGTATATTTAAATATGTATTTACTTGAATTAGAGACGAAGTCGTGCAGCTGTCGCTGATGCATCGTCAACAAACTCTTTTGGTTGAACCAAAGGCAACATCTCGAACACTTGTTACCTCTCCCTTGGTCCCTTCTTACAATGTGTCTTTGCATGTGTGACAAATAGGTGTAAACGCTGGATGCGCTCGGGTTACCCTCGCTCGTGAATTGCACTACCTTCTCGCAACAGTAATAGATGCTTGATTTACGTCGAATCTGGGAATGCATTTTCTTCCTTTAGATTCTTACCTTTAGGCAATAAGGGCACTGCAATCCTTCGCCTTTCTCGTGGACTTTATAATAATGGTCTATTACGTCCTTGTGGCTGGACGTCCGGTAACCGCAACTCTCGCATCGGTACGGCATTTCGGAAGGATAATGCATCGAGGACAAGTGGTCGATCAACGACTTACTTTTTCCTGGGGAGGGAAAAAAATACAAATTTTGTAAATTTTGTCCCGCTCGCCCTTTGTGCTCTGAAATGTTACATAGACAAAAAAAAAGAAACAGAAATTCGCGAAAGTGTTCAGCGCAGTAAGAGCGATCCGTGGCTTACCGAATTTCTCTTCGCAAATGGCGCAGACCACCATGACGCCGTCGGAATGGCCGAAATTGCTATGGGTCTCCGCCACATGAGTGAGCATGTGATGTTTCGACGAAAGGGCGGTGCAACAGTACCGGCAAACCGACAATTCCGATTGGCCGGGCACTTGAGGAGGTACATGACTGACCATATGCTCCATCACGTCTGTGTTAGAGTTCATTACCGTCGTGCACAGGAAACACTAGACCAAATATATATACACACATATATTTCTCATCGGGCGACTCGGTGACCGTGAGGCTCTCGAACACAAACCTGGAAACGCAGCGAGGACTTGTGCTCCTTCATAATCAAATCCTTATCGCCCTCCATCGTGGCATAATACAACTCCTGAAGCTGAATCTGTTCCTTCGGCTCCTTCTCGCCCTTATTTTCCTTCTCCTTATTATTTTTGGGATCGATCGAGGCCCTCTTCGGGTCCGGTTCTGAGCCCCCTAATGGATGGATACGCTTCCTTCCGCGTTTCGCGAGAGGTTTCAGCAGCACTATCTCCGGGGGATTCGTGTTCTGAGACGACAGAGAAGATATGTCGCTTATCGACGAGACGGAGGACGAGTCGTTCGGTAACGCCGGTGGCGCGGCGGTTTGCGGATTCGTGTAGGCCCAATTGTGAAACGGATTAGCGGCTACCTTCGCCAGCCGATCTAACAAGGGTTCGTCTAAAATAGTAACGTAATCTTGTTACTCGACAACGTCAGGGCTGAATATGCGGGAAAGGGCGAACCGTTGCATTTGTTTACTTGACAACTCAAGTCGTCAAGCAACCGATTCTACCACTTACTGTCGAGTTTGGTTTGCTCCGCGATATGCAGGATAATATTGTTGAATGCGCGTGCCGGCGTGGCGGCGTACATTTCTCGCCACACCAATTCGTCCAGAAACTGCTGGATCATCTGCCTGCTGAGCAAACTGAGCGTATTCTGAAACATTCTGGGCACGATTCTCCGGAGGTATTCCATGATGTAGTAATTGCTCATGAGATTTCGCGGATTTTGCTCGGAAAACGCGGACTGTATCACGTGCTTGTAGCCCATGTCCTGCAGGGTGCTCTTGTCCACGGTGAAATCCGTCATGATCTGCGAGTCCGTGTGGACCCACTCCTTCAACGGATTCAGGATATTGTTGAATCGACGTTTGTACGATCTCTCCCCGTCGTGCATCGGCTCGCAAGCGCGCAACCGCAAGTCCGACGTGGAGGGGTCCAAAACACCGAGAACCTCGACTTTCACCTGAAAGAAAGAAGAAGAAAAGAAATATGAGAACAGAAGTTATCTCCGTGGGCAAACAGGCCCCCTCCCACTTCGGCGATACGACTCGAGCATCAGGATATCTTACTTGCCGCAAATGTCCATCCTGAGATGTCGTACCTAAACTAATCACGCCAATTTGTATGACGGAGTTTCTGCCGCCCATCTTGCGGCTCTTGTCCCAAACCGCCGCTGTGCAGACGCTACGTAGGTTATTGTAAAAATTTTTCAGATACAAGTTCGTCACTTTCACCCAAGCGACCACATTCTGCACGTTGGTCTGGCACGCCCAGTGATAGATCAACTTCAGCAGGACCGTGGGCGTGTAAGGGGCTTTCTGGAAGATGGAGCCGGAGAAGACGGAGACGAATCTGTCGGGGCAGCAGCTGGATATCCAGACGTAACCGCCGGAATAGGGGAACGTCCCCTGATCACTGTACATCCCCAGCTTCAGCTTGGTCTTCTGATAGATTGTGCTGTGTACTTGGCAATATTGCTCGGATCTCACTAGGCCTTGCTGGATCAACCACTCGGCGAACTTCGTCGCGTTGAACATGAGCACGCCTTTAACTTTGGCGTCTGAAAGATTGATGTCAATTACTTCAGCCCGGTCGACGCGTTCGACGAATTATGGCTACGCAATCAGCAAGAAGCCAATTCCTTACGGAAGAAAAGAGAAAATAATTCAACGTATATGTTCAAGTGTTATTCTTAAGCATTATCCGATTACCCTTCCATTTTCGATAATTTCTCTACTAGAAATAATTCCCTCTTTTATTTGTACTACGATTTATCGGCCGACATCACGCCTTGTTGGTATATAAAAGCAACAGAGGATGTCGTAAAGGATATACCTAATTCCGATCTTTCCTTTTGCGTTATCTGCGGACTGATGTCTTTGTTATGTAAGTTCGGCCTTGCCACCACTACTAAAGATGGAAAAGTACGGCCGCCGGCTGTCTTGTTGAACGTGAATTCCCTGCCGTCTGGTTGATTCTTTTTCGACTCGTCTATCTGTTCGCCAACTGTAAAACGTTGCACAGTGAATCTCGACTGCATTACTTATTCTTTATTATTATTATTTTTTTTAATAATAAGCTTATCGCAGTTTGCTTTTCTACCTGCAGTTTTACAGCCAACGGATATTCCTCCTATACTAGTGTGCTCTGCAGGTTTGGTTACGGCAGTTGGTTGTTGTTGGCTTACTTGTTGGGTTTGTTTGCTAACAGTCTTTATCCTGAGGTTCGTCACACCTTGTGGAGTGGTGGTAGCTGCAGGGCCAGTATTGTTTTTTTTTTGGTTAGTTAAGAATACTGAACGATGTCAGTCGGAAGTAAAAAAAAATATATATATATCCACAGTACGACGTTACGGTAATGCATTAATTGTAAACGTATTATTATCCTTACTTGGTGTAACAACATGTGACGTAGGCACAGGCTTTGGCCTCATGCGAGTTATTGTTGGAGCCTGTAGAAACGAAAGAATATACGTAATTTACTGACTTGCTACAAACAGATCACGCACTGTAAGCCGATCTTATGAATGAATTGTGTAAAAATGCACCTCTTCTAAAATTTCAGGCTGTTGCTGCATCTGAAGAACTTTCGTCTTTCGACCAGACCTGGTATACTTGTACTAACAAGAATTAACATACGATTAGTGCTTAGCATAAAGGTCAGTCTTACGATGTAATGATATAAGAACGTAATTGACAGTACATTTTCTTGCTGAACCTGTGCGGTAGTTGACGACGTCGTGGTGGTTGTGGTAACCGTGCCTGAAGTCAGGTTTACCTTAATTAATTTCTAACGAAGCTTTACTTCGTTCACAAATAATACGCGGCTTGTTGTACCTTGGGGTTGTGTGACAGATCCCAGAATGACTCCCATCCGTGGATCAACTACCAATTGAATATTCCCTTGAGATGGATTTGTGTTACCAATATTCAGTTTGATCGGCTGGTTCTTGTTTTGAGCCTGAAAACAAAGATCACATATGATTTTTTATCTCTTATTATATATATTAGGCTATATTGCCTTTTCCCTGATACTTACGACGTTTAAAATTTGAGTATTACTCTGAATCATTGCTGGTGGCGTTGATGTAGGTCTGCAAATAAATTGAAACATAAATTAGCAAAGTGTACATTTTGCACCGTCGCTGAAAAATGACATACTTACAATGTGTATTGATAAGCGCTGACAATCCCAGTCTGGCATATTAATTTACCTCCGTGAACCGTAACTATCTCTTCTAAGGTGCTTGCAACCTGACGGAAAAAGAACAGCGTGTGATGTTCACGTCGATGAGAAGAAACGATTGATGGATAGAAATTACCCTGTCGAAATTCTCCTTGATCTTTGTCTTCAGCATCAGCTGAGCCTCGCTGAGAGGCTCCTCGGAGCATTCCAAGTTCAGCGTCATACTGATTGGACGAGTACTCGAGACAGAGCGTGTAAGCATCCGCGTTTTCGGCATTTTAGTATATTTTCCCGCTGTTCCTGCCTTTTCGGTTTCTGGTTGCCGACATCAGGGACCAAATGTGTGAAATTGACCAGCCGGTCCAGCCTTGCTCCAAACACATGACAAATATCTAGTACAGTAGCGTCAAGAAACGGAAAAATGCATGCATCGAGTGTCGCGTACATTTTATCAATATTTCCTCAATTATTGTACAGAGAGCCGTGAGAAGAGGAGGGGCGGACAGGGGATTGCCCGGTCGCTGCGCGAAATGTCACAAGACAAAACGGAATTTCGCATAGTGAGTCGGCTAAGGTTGAATGTTCCCACCGTATATATAAAAAGACAGGTTTCCCTATACCGCGTCCCCACCGTTTAGCCTGCCGACGTCGCTACTGTCTGTCCCAAAAAGAAACGACCCGCCATCCGGCGTCGATTGACGCATGGTAGGAACGAAACAGCGCCGCACCGCCGTATATTCTGTGCACAAGCCGCTTTCATCCGTTGCATCCGTTCGCGCGAAGTACCAGTTCCCCCGGTCGGCGAGATGCCGCCCGGACAATGCGCGAAAATAAATAATATATCATGGACAATAGACTAACCTGCTAAGACCCGGCAGCGATGTAATAATACCCGCGACGCTCCCGCGACTCACGATAATCGTACGCGACCGGCCTAGATGGCGCTGTCGACGTGTGTGTACACACCGTGTCATGTACGGCCGGAGTCCCCCGTGCGCGTACTTCCGCGTCACTGCGCGCCCCGACCAATGAGACGCGACCTTTGGCGTTTCCGTTGGAACTTCCCGGAGGACGGAGAGACGCGATTGGTCGTGCGATACGTTTCGCGTGGGACGTTGGGCCGTGCGACTCCACCCTGGTAGAAATTTTATATCGATGTTACGATGATTTGCCGCTCAACGGTAGACTGTTAGGTGTACAACGTTTACATACAATATGTTATACAATATTACGTTGCACTTTGTTTATTTTATTGACGACTTGGAAACAGATGTCTATAAATATCTACGGACGCAGCTGTTAACTCGGCTGAAAACACACGGCCCAGAAAACATGTGCGGAACCGCACGCGTGCGTCATGACAGCCACTCTCTGATTGGTCGGGTGTCGTGGATGTGTGCTTCTAGACACATGCGTGTGTAGGCGCATTTAGGCTCGGCTAGCATACATTCGACCAATAAGGTATGCGTATCCCCTACTCCACGCGCGACGTAACACGTCATTTCTGGTGTCTGTTTTCCTGTTTGCGAACAAAGGAGCGAGGGAAAGTTAGTCTAATTGTTTTATAGATGCCTGTGCTTGGAAATTATAACGTTGACGTAATGTTACTTGGCATTTGCTGGGATGATGAGTTCGATTAGTTAAATAAGGATCGATCATATAAGTTAGTTAAAGGGGAACCGATTGCGTGAATCGAATGAAAATTCACCGACACTCGCTCTCATTCAGATGAATGATCACGTTATTTGAACTCTTTCCGGAAAATCGCTCAGTACTCAGCGGTAATTCGGGAAATGCCTCTGTGATGACGGACCTTCCGCGAGAGGTCTCCACAGTCGCTTTTGCCAGCTCGTGAGACCCAGCAGGAGTCAAAAATCGAAGTGCCACCGGATTATACTTTCCGGTTTTGATACAATCGATGTTTTGCTTCCTGTCGGTACGTCAAGTGCAAAGTAGCGTAACAACGATGATTACAATAGTAAGGTTATGATGACTCTAATTACAATAAGTTTGACTTCGACTAAGTTCGTTTTGGATGCTTTCGAAAGTATCTTTCTAACTTTATCGACCGCGTTATCTTATTTTACAACTGTTGAACATTTTCTATACTGATATTGGATTGTTCCTAGATTTAAAAGAATAATGCGATCTCAGCTCAGAAGACTTCCAATAGTTATGAAATAAACGTTCTGCTGAGCATGGCCATTGCTCATTACATGCTGAAGAAGGACAGAACGATGCTGTCAGCACGAAAACGTCCAGGACGAACTTAGAACAATACGTTGAGGCTGAAAATCATAAGTAATAATAAATAAATCGTAAGTTTCGACTTAGGATATCGTAAGGTATATATGACGCAGTGTATACAGTAGACGCCATGTACACTGACCGGCACGAATCGTTTCACGAGAGGCTGGTCGCCCAGCCGCCGGGAGAGCTGGTGCAAAATGATGTGTCAAAATGGTGCATACTGCAAGACAGAGAGTTACACGCTTTTGTCGTGTTAATTTCACAGTCTTGTATTTACTGAGCTGGTCGAGCAAAGAGAAAGCGTTCGGAGTATTTTAAAAATGCGCTGTGTGAGTCAATCACAAGTGTCATTTTGCAGGCATATCTTTTTATTTGAACGCAAGAATTTCAAGTTTTTCTCGCTTCTGACGTCACAAAACAAACATGGCTGTGGTAAATACACCAGAGCCCTAAGTATCTTAGATACACATATACATGTGTTAAAGATTTTTTTCTTTCTTCAGAGGTTTATAAAGAAAACAAACTTTAACTACAAAGTAATTAACAAAGGTGAAAAATACAAATAATTTATATTCAAGAAGACAGCGGGTGTACATTAATTATGCAACTTTTTGTAGCCATTTGTTTAGTTCTTCGATATCCGCTGCTGTTTGAGGATCCTTGTTGAAAGCGTAGGAATTTGCAAAGTCAATCTGTGAGTCCAGATGCGAAAATTCGAAATCTTTGCCTTGCCTCCCAAGAAAGACATTGACCGATAATGCATCAGTGGTCTCCAGCTGGCTAGTCTTTGTCATTCGTAACAGATTCATCTCTTTCTCTAATAGCGTCTTTATCACCGCACATCCTTTGGCCATGACTTGATCCTGTTTGTTACACAATATAAGAACCGGGATGTTCTTCTGTATACAAGGATCCGACAATAAATTGTACAGGTATCTGCAAGAAGAATGTCCATGCAAAAATCATATAAATAAAAGATCTACCTATTTAAATATTTCGATGCTAAAATTATCTTCCCAAACTTATGTAAAATATATCATTGATCATTTTAAATGATAATATTTCCCTCAAACTTTTCTCACTCACTCTGCCACATCTCTAATTTCCTTTTGAATAGTCACCGAGTCAATCACGTAAACCAATCCTTTGGCGGATGACTTGTATTTGTCGAAATACTTGCCGCGCAGCCGTTCATCCCCGGGAATATCCACTATTCTCAAAGAGCTCTGAAACAAATGTATCTGTGAAAATATGTGACTTTCCACAGCAGATGCTATCCCGCATAAGACATTATTGAACCCACATTATTGACTGCGATATCCCCTGTATTTTCCTTAACGGATGTGTATGTCCTCACAAATTCAGAACACATTAATCTCGCATAGATTAGCGTTTTCCCAGTATCGCTGAGACCTGTCAGAAGGATACCCTGGCCTGCAGACTTTCTTCTGCGCCAAACCACGAATAAGACTGTAAATACAATAGTATAAATTCAAAAGGTAAAGCAACGAAATCAACATATGGTATGTAATGGGATAATTTAATAGATAAAACGATTGAAAGAACATCTCAATGTATCTCAAAAGTATGATAAAATCATGCTGAAGTATCGTATGGTCAAATTCACGATGTAAATATTACACTGAAAGTTCAATGCGGTGCGATAACCAAAGAATAAAAGGAACGGTTACCTAACGTTATGATAATAGCAAAAACAGCGACTAATAATCCTAGTAGCTGCGAATTGCCGCTTTGTTCTAGTAACGATTTTATCTGTTTCTCCATGTTCGTAATTCTCAATTGCCTCGAGTCTCACGCTTCCTCGTGAGCACACATATAAGCCATGTGTCCTCCACGCAAACTTGGCAGGGATAATGTACGATCAAACGACAGATTGTTCGTTTTGGTTGCACTGGGATTATATCGAAGCCATTGAACTGTAACCATACTGGAAGAAAGAACTGCCTACCCCCTCCATGGTACCAAACTGTCAGAGAGAAAGAGAGATAGTAGAATAAAGACTAAAGCGGAGTCCACAATGAGAATTTCAGCTCTGAGTCTTAAGAAATTGACCAATCACAATCGAATGTGAGCAGAATAGTTGACTGTGATTGGTCAATTTCTTAAGGCTTAGAGCTTGAAGCACTGTAGAGAAATAGAGAGAGAAGGGAAAGGGACTCAGTCATATTTATTTATTTAGATAATTTACATACTTAATTATAATATTTATAAATTTTTAAACTCCCCTAATTGTGAAAACTGGAAAAATATATAGATATGCATATATTTCATCCTTAAAACATCACATTTATTAATTCCTTCGATTCCAGCTTGGAATATCATGTTAAAAGATTGCAATACATAAATGCTGTTTCAATGGATAAGTGCCTTCACACATGCATTTATTGCACTTCTGCTATATAAAATCATCTTTATCAATAAAGAATATTAACAAAGGACGTTAAAACTTAAACCTTTACCAGTAAATAATATGAACAAGTGTGATAGAAATATTGTTAAAATATAAAATTTGTCCACAAGAGATTAACATTTGCAATTTCATGCACCAGTCTTGCATACCTTAATAGATGTCGTATTAAGATATAGTCTTATATAAAAATAACAATCATATCACATTATTTATCTCTCGACTTGTTCTTCTCTATAATTTTGATTAAAAAGATTGCTGTGCTCTATCACAGCGAACCAGTGGAAATGCGTTCTCGTCCGACCATCTGAGGAAATAATCGGCGACCTGAGTAACGCAACGGAGCATCGCGATGCAGTCGGCCTCGGCTGAATGTGAATCAAAATTTGATTCAAACATGTGTTCATAAATACTGCAGAGCTTAAGATTGACGGGGCTCGTTCCTTTGCAATTGAAATCCAGCCTCCTCCTGTGGCCGTTTTTCTTGGAGGGCTTATCCGCGGCATTTTGCCGCTTTGCTTTCTGTCTCGTCGGTGTTCTGTGATCGTTCTCGCGTTTCTCACGGTTTTCCAAACCATCGCCAACAGCATTACGTTCCTCGCATGTATCATCGTGTAACGCATCAATTAAAATATCGATATCGTGAGGATATCTTTGCAAAGAAGACGTCGAGGCTTCATTTTGGACTACAGTTTTCTTCTCCATCATCACAGAATCTAGTACTGCAAACAACAACTCATTGTATCCATCGTCGAACAAAGCTTCAATTTCTGCCGCATTTAAAGTACAATTTAAAGTACATTTGTGTGGTATATTATTGTTTGATATTCCATTAAAATAATCTCTGAACATCTTATATGTGTCGATGCACAGAACTGCATCGTCAAGAGTCTGTAACATAAGAAAGCCAGACATTATTGAATGAAGAGAAGAAATAACAAGGAGTAAGATGTCATATTTCAATTCAGTTACTTTATTTATGCAACTTAATTCCGACAGAAGTATCGGGTAGTCAAATGCATCACCATTATGTGCCACAAAACCAATTGGCGGTTTAAGACGACTCAGAAAGTGTATTATCAATTCGTAAGTTCCAACTTCAAACGGCTGCAGCAGCTGCATGTCGTCATTATATAATTCTGTGCACAGGCATATAATAATAATAAACTAATTTTCTACTATTTCATAAATGTATGTAATTAAAACTCACTTGTCAAATATTCTACTCTTACTGGCATCATTTTCTTTGGATTAATGGGAAGTATTAGTTTATGCAAAACCCTGGGCAAAGAATTCTGCCCGTTCTTATATACAGACTTTCTGTCAACAGCAACTAAAGCCATTTCTGTAATTTTAGGCATAACTGTTCCCTCAATAAATCCAATTGTCTCTAAATCAAAGAATACAAATGTCTGAATCTGCTTCCCCATTTTCTCATATATCAATTCCTTCGCAGAATGAATCAGTATGTTCTCCTGTTATCTCTAATGTCCAGTCACGTAACAAATTGTCCTTTAAAAATAACATCTTAATTTTATTTTATTTATAATAAACAACGGACTATTCCAGCATTAATACAGGTTGTCCGACACAATGCATATTTGCATTTGTGTGCAGGTAGAATTCATCAAACCAAACAAAAAAGTCCTTCACTATTTTGCAAAAGGTTATTGATGATAATTACCGAGATATTAGGGCCTGTATTCTGAACGAATTTACAAGGATGTTGGCGCGCTCTGTCTCAGTATGTGGTTAGGTTAGTGGTCAGTAGATGATCCTAAAAAGCTTCAATATCATTTTCACTTAATTACGGAGAAATAAGTTTATACATGTTCTGCCGAGGCGGAACGACTTAACAAACAAATATGCAGTTCAACAATAAAGGCTCTACGATTCGCGCGCAAAACACACCCAACTTCCTCGGGTATTTCCGTGGAACTATCTTATCATTGCGTTCGAGGTGCTCTTATCACTGCATTCAAGTATCTTATCACTGCCGTTGCACATAAGAAATTTTTAGTTGTAGCCATACATAGCAAGAGAATTGACCAATCACAGTTGGTTATTCTTCTTACATTCGAAAATCGACTGTGATTTGTCAATATTTTTTGTTCCAGACGTAAGTAACGGGTTTTGTGATCTGCATAAATAGTCCTTTATTATAAGTCCGGAAGATTAGACCCGTTATGGAAATTAGTTCCAAAGTCTCCGATATGAGCCGCCACCGTCTTTAACCAAGATTTGTGTCGTAATACAACTCAACGACAAGTCAGACGCCAACTACCGGGCACTTATAAACTCTTTCGGAATTGATTCCGAAAATCGCTCAATTATTCCCTATAAAATACAAGAGGGAATTTAGGAAATAATTAAAAAATTCCGATCGGAATCGATTTCGAACTCTTCTATAACAAATGTTCTGATCCCTTTTATTTTCGAGTTTTACAAATCAATAGGAAACTCCAAAAGACCTTATTTTTAGATCTTTGATACAATAACAAATTAGAAAACCCTTTCTATTTTCAAGTAGCGTGATAATAGCATGTCAGACTATATTCTATATACAACAAAAATTAAATAATTATCTCTCTTGTCATAGAAAAATAAGCAAAATCAATGGATTGTAACTTTGGCATAAATTGTGATACGATTAAACGAATATACTGTATGTATTACAAGAAATCAACGTAAATTCTGAGAAACAATAAATATCTTTTGATTCATCTATTTGAAATTTCGATGAAAAGAACAAAGAAAATAAAAGAGGAAATGATGTAGTTATAAAACATACGCATGGAGATTTCTTTTCATAAGATATTCGGGAAATTGCCCGTAGATGGTTCTCGTGTCGAAATTGAGGAATCGCATCTGCGTCCGCATTCAGCTCGTGTGGCTCGTAGTAGCGAATAAAGTCATCGCGAGAAAAGATGGTGGTGACGGTGGCTTCTGTACGTCAACAACTCACGAATTTGGCTCATTCCGGCGGCTCTCACAAGGACCAGGCCGAGAAGTAAGCATATTAAGTATAATCGACGCCTTATTCATCTATACACGCACGAATAAATGACCTTTTGTCCAGGTACCGCGGAACTTTGGATCAGATATTGTTGTCTTCCGGCGAGGAGCTGGTGGATGCTTTGAAGACGTTCATCGAAGCAAGTATGTTATTTTTATCCTGCGAGCAACTTCGATATATTGACGCACCTGAAACATCTAAATAGAACTACTGTGTTTTCCAGAAATTCGCACAACTTAATAATTATTAGGTTATACAATGCGGTTTTAGATACCAGATTTGTAGAGTGGAATATTCTAATTGCAATATATTATGTATGATATAGCGTATATTGTTTTGTCTTGAGCTGAATATGCCATGACGTTAAAATTGTTTTTTACTAACCCAATCATCAAAAAAAAAATTTATATATATATATATATATATTTTTTTTTAATATAATATATCTCAGGATATGAAAAAGGCATATATATTTAACTAAAATTATCCGCCAATATACTTCATGAAATCATTGAAATCGATCAATCATATTCACTATGATATATGTCCCAAGTTTGGTGTGTGCCTAAATAAATTTTCATTGCAGTTGTAAATGAGAATGTGAGCCTAGTGATTTCGAGACAAGTTCTGACAGATGTAAGCAGTCGCTTATTGTTTTTACCGGATGAAATATCAAAAGCTGTCTCACATTACACATTAGATAAGGTAAGCCTTTGTCGACTCGATCGTGAGATACGCATGATGCGATTGTACACGGATAAGTGTAATTGTAACGTCAAATATCGAAGTGCACGTGTCTGAAGAACGCAACTTGATGTTGATGTAGGTACAGCCACGTGTAATCTCTTTCGAAGAGCAGGTAGCTAGTATAAGGCAACACTTAGCTGATATTTACGAGCGTAATCAGAACTGGCGAGAGGCAGCGAATGTTCTAGTTGGCATACCGTTGGAAACAGGACAAAAGTAATATGCATATATATACATGGCGGTCAAACCTATCGACCCATTCGACCGTACATCGAGATTAACGGAATTAACGGTACCAATTGTTTCAGGCAATATACTGTTGATTACAAACTCGAAACTTATCTTAAAATCGCCAGATTATATTTGGAAGATGACGATCCAGTCCAAGCCGAAGCGTTTATCAACCGGGCGTCTCTCTTGCAGGTGCTTATCGTTCCTCCGTTGTTACTAACGTATCTCCCTGCTAATCGTGCTCATTTAATTTTCCCCCGTTTTCACTCGGCAGGCCGAATCGAAAAACGAACAATTACAAATCTATTACAAAGTGTGCTACGCCAGGGTACTAGATTATAGAAGAAAATTCATCGAGGCAGCACAGAGGTACAATGAATTGTCGTACAGATCCATCATCCACGAGGACGAGCGCATGACGGCCCTTAGAAACGCCTTGATTTGCACAGTATTAGCTTCCGCAGGCAAGGAATTAATCAATACGTGACTCGACACTTGGCTGCTTGCCGGACCGTCTAACGATCATCTTATCTCTCTCATTTCAGGACAGCAAAGAAGTCGGATGTTGGCCACGTTGTTCAAGGACGAACGTTGCCAGCAACTCCCGGCTTACTCGATCCTCGAGAAGATGTACTTGGATCGTATAATACGGCGCTCCGAGTTGCAGGAGTTCGAGGCGTTGCTGCAACCTCACCAGAAAGCGTGCACCATAGACGGCCTGGGCTCCACCATTCTCGATCGCGCTGTTATTGAACACAACTTGCTGTCCGCTAGTAAATTGTACAACAACATCACGTTCGAAGAATTAGGCGCCCTGCTGGACATCCCGCCGACCAAAGCGGAGAAAATCGCTAGCCAAATGATCACCGAGGGTAGAATGAACGGTTACATCGATCAAATCGACTCCATAGTACACTTCGAAAGTAAGTGGGCTCGTCTCTCGCGAGGGTTTTTCAACCCTCGTCACTTTCATCACCATCCTTCAATACGACCGTAGAATTTACACGTTCGTTCCGCTTCGCGTTTGTCTCGCATCCCGTATCGCTTCGATTCTTTTGTATTTATTAGTATACGAAGTAACTTGTTCCTCCCCCCGTGCAGCACGCGAGACCTTACCAACGTGGGACAAGCAGATACAATCGCTCTGCTACCAAGTGAATCAAATAATCGAGAAGATAGCCCAAACCGAGCCGGAATGGATCGCGAAAGTGATGGAGGATCAAATGGTGCATTAATATAGATCTTGTTTAATACACGAGGAGGAAAGAGACCGGTCGCGCGCGCAGACACACATACATACACACACACACACACACACACATACACACGGGAATCGCTTGTAACGTATGATAATATGATAACGGAAACCAGCCAAAACCAATAAAAACACTTGCATTATAGCTCACCGTTGAAAAAAGCGCGAGTGTCGCTCATCACATGTCATGTAATATACACTGTATTTTGGTTATCTTCCTTCCATAATGGACAAACACACATACACATACACACACACCGTGTGAAATCTTTCGTTTGGCAGTTTTCCAGAGGTACATTTGTATTTTTAAAAACCATCAGTAGGCAGTATTACGTTCGAGGTGTGTATCTTAAATGTATATTGCGTCATTGAAACTACAAGTGTCGATCCTAACGTTTCTTATTCGCTTGCTAAGGAAGAAAAAAAAAAAGGATAGAACCTAAAAGGTGGATATATTAATTTGTCGCTGTAAAATTGATTAATTCTCAAAAGCGTTCAGACACGTCTCATTTCTAATTCGACTTCGCTATAAAATTTAGACAAGATCATTATAGATGGAAAAGCAATGTAAGTTCTTCTTGTAAATAAATCACATTCATACTTCGTACAATGTTCTTTCCTGGGCGCATCCAACGATGAACGATCGCTCGGGAAAATAAAAGCCGCTCCCTTTATTCCACAAACATAATTATATATTTCCTTCCTATATAAAATAAAGCAGAGAGTGGAATTACATGTAGCTATGCGCAATTAATATTCATATGTGTCTTTTTGAAAATATGATAGTTACTTTATCATATATATGGCTATGTGTATGTGTGTGTATGATTAAAACGTGGAGACTCTACAAAGGAATTCAACGGCTTGGTAATATCCGAGGCAAACATTTTGTAACTTTTAGCCAACCTGGCAGTATTTCGTTTAGTTCGGGAACAGATAGTAGATATACCTATTCCTCTCGATAAGAAAATGGCACACACAACTGCCAATATAATTATATAATTTATACACGTATACATAATCATGTACGTATTATTTATACGGTTTATTAAGAAGGCATCGTGTTCTCATATATAATATGTGACAGTACTAAATGATAAAAGTGTGCTACGTATATCTACTATCAAACAATCGCATTTTAACACCTTCCGATTGCATACAAGTATATATATATTTAGAGAATAAGATCGAAAGAGCCCAACGAGTCTCAATCAATTCAATATTTAAATATTATCCAATGATGATTAACAAGAGATAAGAGTACAATACCGAATAGTCACAAAGCAAAGAACAATCGGTTTACATTGTCGAATGTTTGCAATTTGAGGGTAGAATCCTATAGACTCCTCGCAAAATCGTACGATTCGAGCGAGTCAATACGATAAATTATACCACAATCGAATGTGCGACGATACGGTGTTTGAGAAATATCGCTTATCCTGCAATGGCGCGATACGCATGCATGCGCGCGTTCTGTTCCGCGAAGCGAATGGACAAGAAATTCTCACGCTCCTGTAAATACTTTCCTTTTATTCAACTTTATTGATGACAACTAAAAAATTCCCTCTTTTCCGCTCATCATCGCCATATACCCTCCGTCTCTATACAGCTCCGAGATTTTTTGTATTATCATCTTCAATCTCCGCGGGGGAGATTTACTTCGGGTCGGGAAACCGACCGACGGCCATGTCGGGAATGTCAGATACCATGAAACTTCAGCGGGATTAAAAAGTTACAAACTCAACGTAAAAACTCGCCTTATCTGCGCGGTATTATGTCGTTCACGAAAAAAGATATCGCTATTTCACAATGGTAATATATATATATATATATATATATATATATATATATATGTGTGTGTGTGTTATGTTCTCTGTAACTAATTTCAAATGATGCATGATGTCTCGTGGCACCTAATCTGGGATCAACCTATCTACGCATTTTATAGCCAATACTTTATTTGAAGCATGTACTGTCACGCCAGTTTTATGACACAGGGGTCACAAGATATTTATTCGTAAGAGATAAGTTTTTCAGCTCTCTCTCTCTCTCTCTCTCTCTCTCTCTCTCTCTCTCTCTCTCTGTTTCGTAGAACACGAAATACGAAAGTTATGCGTTTAAGCCTGAAGATCTAATGCGATACCGTACTTGTGGCCACCGGTGTTGAAGTTCTTCCCGTCAATGCTCGTAGAGAGTGTCAGGGTCACACCTGTAAAAAACCGGGGTGATGCAATTATTTTATAGCGACGTGTAACACGCACGTGCAATCTTCTATCTTACGTAAATTCAACGTAATCACGCAGACAAATTTTGATTCGCTCGATAACCATATATTTTACGGACTGTTACCGCATGCAAACTTTCAACACTATTGTGAAATTACCCGTCCTGCCAGAAGCTTATTCTGTATTTAGCATAGCTACGAGCATCGGTCTATTAATAGACCGTGTTGTCCACTAACACCGCGAACGAAAAATCCGTTTGTGTGCTTCTCTGATTAAATCTGTTTGTCACCGCGCGCGCGCACACACACACACCGTGAATTTTTTCCAGAGTTTGGAAAAAAATTTATTTACAAAAAAAATCTACTTGTGTTGCAGTACGTACGATTACGAGATAAAACTCCGAGTATATCTCTCTTCGATTGTCTTTCAGAGAGGAACTACTTACCGTCTCGTAGCTCCTGTTGATATCCCAAGCCTACTTGAAGATGAGAATTCACCTTGGCTCTAATACTAGCTTTGTCGTCAAGGTTGTACTTCGCTGCAATACCGAACTGCGTTACGTTATTGCCGGAGTTCCACGCCAGATTAATCGCTCCTTCCAGGTCTGGTTTCACTTTGTGGTAAATCGAGCTGTTAAACTCACGGCCGTTCTCCCTAAAAAGTCATCACGGAGTATCGCATACTGTGCTTGAATTTATTCGTTTCAACGTTAACGAAAAATGTCGATTTTTTCTAACGCGTCATCGCGGGCGATACTTACACAGCGGTGTGAAGAGCAAAGTCGGAAGCGGTGAATCCAAGAGCAAAGTTGTTCTTCGTGAGTTTGTTCCTTTGCGTGTCGAAGGATCCCTGATAGCCAGCCAGCCATCCTGCAAAATGCAGCAATTCGTTGATCTAACTACTTTCACACGGTACACTTTATGTCTGTTGCATCATAAGTTTACTTTCTTATAACAAAATAGGCTATTTATATCCAGAATAAAGAAAATGTCTATTTGAGATAAAGGGATACATAGGATTAAGGAAATTTAAATTGAACAATTTCCCATCAAGTTTTAATACCACCGAGGGGAAATATAACCAGTTTTCTCAAAGAATGCACTGACATTCAAAAGCTACCCGGGCGTTACTGCGAATTTACCTTGATAGCCCATAACAGCCGTGGCATGAATTAGGGGCCCAGCGGATAGGCTAAGATCAAAGTCAGTGGTCGTAGAAACGTTCTCATGTTTGTAAGTTGTCTTCAACTTGCCAGTTTTGGAGCTGTGAAAAGTAAAAGGCCCGAGTAATGACGAAAGTTGCGGAGAATTCGATTTAATCATGAAGATTTGACCGATCTCCAAATATAGAACAAAGTTCTCGAAAATCGTCTGCAGGAAAATCGCAGGATTCATTTTCCCGCCCGTGACGTCGATGAGATATCTTACCCGGTTTGTGGGGAGAAGGTACAGCTATAACCAAGCGTGAGCCCTTTGAGCAATTTATCACAAATGGAGACGTCAGTTGCGAGGGTGTTGTCGGTGTTCCACTTCTCGCTGAACGACAGACCGTATTCCTTGATCTTGTATTTGGTTTCTAAGCTGCCAAATACCTTTCCTGTATCGTGGTTGGACACACCGCCGCAGGAGAACTCGACGTCCGAGCTGGTCTTGGTCTTGACGTCCAGTTTGCACAGACCGAAATGATAACCTTGTCCGAAGACATCACGAGCGCTCCTTCCTAAGTCGCCGTACGTCGGGGGAGCCATGTTCTGCGAGGTGAGAGGTAATCTCTATTGAAGAACTAACAATCTATCAATTTCAAGATCTACAATTCTTCGCGCGTGACGAGTGAATCTCTTCGGACCAACGATAGAGGCACGATGCAATCAACGATAGAAGAAAAGAAAAAAAAAAGGGGAAAAGACAACAACGATAGCTAAATTTAACCGGAGGCACACGCCAAGAATTTGTACTCCGTTCTACGCGGTAATTATATACACGTACGTGAAGCCGAATGAATGAAAGAGCGTACGGAACACCTTTGCGCATTCACGAGGACGGCCTTATCTACGGAGAGCCACTCTTGTACGTCGGGAAGTAACGTTTCTTCCCCTCAAACCGTGGAGAAACCGCGGTGTCACTGTGTCGCGTAATCTTCAGGGCACGTGAATTTACGACGAGGACGCGATATCGTGCATATCCGCCGATCTTACCGTGACGTGCGATGCGAAAATGATGGTATTGACCTGGCACAGGTATTACATAAGGTGCCGAAAGAGAGAGAAAGAAAGAGAGAGAGAGAGAGAGAGCTCGGTCGGATATCCGCGAGCGATTTTGAGATTCTAACTTAGAATCAGCTCCGTACGTCACCGCGCGTCGAGGAAACGTCCCTTTCTGTTCAACGACACCGCACGGTCGGAAGGAATCCGATCTCCGGGTTCGACGGACCACGGGGAGGACGCAGGAGAGAGACCATCGACCGATCGCGGGAATCGACATTACGAGGCAGCAGCTCGTGCCGGCTCGCCGCAGAGAGAAGCTCGTTTCTCGCGTTTCAACGGCGCAGATCCGGATTTCTGTTTCCTTTCGAAGAGGCGAGCCGAGGGATCCTTCACCGGCGATTATTTCCCGGGGTATTTTGTACTCACTCAGTTTCAGGAGACGTTGGGAGATGTGCGGCGGAAAGATGCGCAACTTTGCGGTGCTACGTCGACGTGAGAGGCGACGGATCGGCGACGAGGAGAGAACCGAGAAAGGGAGAAAGAGAGAGAGAGAGCCACGGCCCACGGGCTGTCGGCGCGTGCGCAGTGCCGGCTGAGAAAAAGGCCTGTTCCCTCGGCCTATTTCTGCGCGTGCAGATACGACCGACGACCATGGTGCACCGCGATGTTCCGCCACCGTTTGAATCTATCGTTGTCACAGGTATCATCGGGTCACTCTCGTAGAAGTGAAGATATAAAGAAAATAAGTAGATCGACGCTAAAACTACCGACGATTAACGTGACACCTTTCTGCCGGAGCGGTAAATCAGATTTTTCAATAGAAAGAAAAATACGCAATGCAAAGGAGAAAATGTATTTATTCGTTTACACATTGCGACAAGAATTACGGTTAATCTCAGAGATTCGTGCTGTTAGAAATTGGAGTAACTTTTAATAAGAAAAAATAACAAACCGATCATTCGGCCGGCTTTGGTAGTTTTAGCGTAAACGTAAAATATTCGTAAAAAAAGACAGAGTAATTTAATAGCGCCGATAGCAGGCTCTCCTCGAACGCATCCTGACAGTCAAAATCTCGGTATAAGGGTTGCGTTCGGGGAGCGCGCTATCGGCGCTACTGCGTCATTCCATCTTTATTTCGCACATCAGACGTAAAACAAGGACAGAACGACACGAGTTTTTCTGTTAATTTTAACACGAGGTAAATATGTTGGCAAGTAACGCAAATATTGTGCCAAAAATTAACACAACATTAATGTTGACAACGTTAATCGACACTTAAGTGTAAGATGTTATTTTAACACTGTTATACATGTTGAATATCGGTAAGACTCAAAATGTTGAGATCACATAAACACAATATGTTGAATTAACACAGAAAAAATTGAACATGAAAATTTTAATATATAAAAATTGACAAGGACCGATTTCAACGCAAATACAAAATGGTTTCGTGTATGTGAAGAACAATTTTACCTTTCCGCAATTATAATAACAATATGACATTGTGAATAATATTTAATGGAATTAGAACATCAGTGCTTGGTTCCTCATTGATAATTTCTTTTCATTCCATTATAAAAATAACGAAGACAACGAGATGTTGAACACCAGAAGATCGAAATCGCTTTGCGGCTGTGCGCAGAAAGGCGAAAGAAGCTTTTGGATCTTTCTGTACGTTTGAAGCTCCAAAAATACACATCAGCCGCATGGTTGCGACGACACGCGAGTCTCCGACCACAAACGGACGAAGCGGACGCGAATCTCGCCTAGTACATTCTAGATTATACCATTGGCAGAGCTTGCACTTGCGATATTTTTAATAAGCCGTGAATATAAAGCGCGCAGTAGGCGCGGCCTTCGGTTCAGTGCAAGCACGAACGTTCCAATCAGTACGGCATCCGATCGGATGTGAGGGAAGGCCAGGCGATTATCCGATTCTCGATTAAAATGTCGCACGAATCGGTATGTATATTCGTCCTTTGTTGTTTATATTACACTTTATATTATTTATTCACGAATATTTGCGAAACGTGAGTCAAGTTTGTCTTACATTTTTCGGTATGAGCATCTTGGGTGAGCAAGAAACGTTAAATCAATTTTCCGAAAAAAAAACATTCATTTTATGTGGATTTTGTTAACATTTTGACATCATATTTTACATTGTTATACGATAGTATAATGTTCCCGAATGTGAAAAATTGTAGAAATGTCACTTTTAACGTTTGATTCAAATGTCGTTAACAATGACGTTGTTATACAATATTAAGAACTACAATACTTGAAAACGTTACGCGTTACAAAATATCATTATAATATCAAATATCATCGTAATCCTGTTTACTGAGTACTCGAGAAAATTCCAGATACAATTTCGTTACATCCGAGAGATGCGAATGTTGCAGGGAAGCGGCGGGTCCGCGGGAGAATCTACGTCGCGGGCGTACAAGGTGCTTCGGAGCGATCACGTCGGCAGGTGAGTGAGAAAACTGTCTAAACTGTGTTAAAGAGATCTGAGAGGGAAAATACAGGGTAATTTGAGGCCGCGAGTAAAGAAACTCCTGGAGGAAATTCGCGATACCTGTTGTATATATCACACAATAAATACCGTAATCGCTCGGTTGCGGCGAGAGATGACGTCGTGGAGAAGAAGATAGCGCGTTCCGCCGGCGGTCGGGTTATAATTGCTTTGATCGCCCGTGATCTAATTAGCGCCTATTCGCACACAGTCGCATAATGTTTTTCAGGTACATGGTCACGAGCAGAGAAGTGCAGGCCGGCGAGGAGATCGTGACGGAAATGCCTTTCGTCATCGGGCCAAAGGCATGCACTTATCCCTTGTGTCTCGCCTGCTACGCACCTTGGCCTCCTGGTCCAGATGACAAGCCGCTATGCTCCAAGTGCGGCTGGCCAGTCTGTGACGAGCAGTGCGAGAATTCGTCGCAGCACAAGGATTACGAGTGTCAGGTAAATCCGGCGATCGAGGGAAGGCCCGGTGGAATTTCAATTGCAATCAATGCCGAACGAAACGCCCGGCGGCATTTCTTCCTTCGTGATATTTCAGATTGTTATAAATAGTAATTTTTATAAATCATCATTATAAATCATTATCGCGGCCTGTCCTAGCCGTTGAAACTGTGCACGTGTAAAGATCGATTTTCTGCCGGCAGGTGTTCGCGCAAGCGAACGAGAAGTTTAACGTAACCGCCGCGCTGGACGAGAACAATGAAAATGGCGTGCCGCAATTGGAATGTATAACGCCGCTGAGGCTTCTGTTGGAGTCGGAGAGGAATGTCGAGAGGTGGAACAGCGAAGTGAAGGACATGGAGACGCACAACAAGATAAGGTGCCAAAAGTCGCAGTGGAAGTCGGATCACGTCAATATCGTGGATTACCTGAGGAAGCGGCTCAAACTCGACCGGTACGCGTCGAAACACGCCGTTAACAATTAACGGTCGCGTCGTTAACGAGGTATGCGACTCTTAAACGAGTGCCCGTAAATGCAGATTCTCGGAGGAGCGCGTACAATCGGCGTGCGGCATTCTGGAGATCAACACGTTCGAAGTCCGGATGAGAAGAGGACACAGCGCGCGGGCTCTTTACCCGACGGTCGCCATGATGAACCACTCGTGCGTGTCGAACACATCTCACACCATATCGCCGACCGATTACAGGTATCTCATTACAGGTCGCTCGATACCTCGCGTTTCGTTCAAATTTCGACGCCCTAGAGACGCGAACACCGTGGACGGCAAATGCAATTCCGTTAAGTGTAACTTCCTTATAATAGCGCATTCCATTGTTTATATAGTCATATATCGACAAATTTCACACATGATCTCCTTTCCCCCGGGACTTATCTTAATCAGTCCGCATTTACTTACACACACACGCGCGCGCACACCTTCCTCAATTAATGGCCGCGGGAAATCTCACGTCGCTCGTTACGCCGATGAGGATACACGCTCGTATCGTACGAATAATGGCATAATTACTCGCGCGCCGGTGTTTTTTTCTTTCTTCGCACCTACACACAGGATACGACTGCGCACCACGCTCCGAGTGCCGGCGGGCGGTGAACTTTACGCGAGTTACACGCACTCGTTACTACCGACGATGCTGAGGCGGGAACACCTGCTCGAGGGCAAGCACTTCGCGTGCGCCTGCCCGCGATGTTCCGATCCCACGGAATTGGGCACCCACATGTCCTCGCTCAGGTGCAACAAGTGCAACGATGGAATTGTCCTGTCGTTGGACTCCCTAGGTACATCCCCCTCCTCCCCCTTTAGTTTCCACCGAAGCCGTAGTCAATTCGTTCGATGTGAAGAACTCGCAAGATCGGATAATAATCTGCACAGTATATTTTATCCGAGGGACCTCCTCGGAACGTCCTTAAGACGTCCTGCAGATGTCTTTAGGATGTCCACCGGAGATCTGTGCTGTATGGGAATTAATTAGTCGGTTAAAAATTAAATTGAAAAGTGAATAACTCTTGACTCAACTTAGTTTTAAGTAACTTGGGACTTAACTGAGCCAATTTTACAAGTTCTTAACTCTTCAACTTTTCTTTAACTTGGATAGAAATGAAAACATTAGCTTACCCAAGTCTGAGTACTCGATACTCGGTCTCACGCACCTTTACGACTTTCAGACCCGGAGAGTACTTGGAAGTGTACGCACTGCGAGTTCTCCACCAAAGGGCAAGCGGTGCGGAAAGTTCTCGGAATCATCCAAGCGGAAGTGGACAATGCTGAGACTATCAGCGGAGCTGACGGGGCCGACGCGATTCACGAAAGAGAGAACGTTATGAAGAAGTATCGATCGGTTCTGCATCCTCGTCACGCTTTCCTTACAATGTTGAGGTACGGTACAGTGGCACCGCAAAAGCTGTCAATTTAGATATTAACTGGAAAAACGATTAGTGTTAGTTAGAAGTAGTTAAGGAATTGGATACATCGGGACAAGCTCTTTCCCTTTTTGCGAGTTGTATTATCCGAGATAATTAAATAATAAATCATGAATACAGATAAAGGGAATAGATATGTAAAATATATATTGTTTTCTACAGACATTCGTTGACCCAAATGTATGGTCGAGTCGATGAATATTTATTGGACGACCTGCCGAACGTTGTGTTGGAGCACAAAGTAGACCTATGTCGTTCGTTGCTTCAAGTATTGGACGTGGTGGAACCCGGATACAGTCGTGTAAGAGGTATGTTCCACACATCTCCACGCATTCCCGCGCAGTCGCGCAGAAATGCATATAGACAGACTATATATATATATATATACCTTTACCTTTTCGGCAGGTATGACGTTATACGAGCTGCACGCGCCGTTACTCTTCTTAGCTAAAGACATGTGGAATGCCGGTGTCATCGACGAAGCCGGTCTCAAGTCCAAGATGACGGAAGCTGCGAGCATCCTGAAAGAGGCGGCCACGATATTAACATTGGAATCGCCGGAGACGGCCGAGGGGCAAATAGGGCTCGTCGCGAAGGAGTCTCTGGTCCAACTGGAACAATCTATAAATAATTTATAAGTATTCATTGTAAATACATACTCGTATTTGTACGACAAACTTGTTTACTAATAAACGCGCACACTTCTACACAGAGAAAAGAAGTCCGGTTGAATTTGCCCGACGACAAACGAGACCGGATAGGTTTTGATCGAAGAAAACGGAACCTCCGGTCATAAGAATCGCATCTAGCTTATAAGAACCTTCGTCACGTCAAGTTTCCTTCGTCCGAAACGCTCTTGGTTCCTTTATTACCGGGTAAATTCGGACGAACCATTTTTCTGTGCGCACGCACGCACACCTCTTTGATCGCGAAGAGACGCGAATCTACCAAATGGAAAATGTCAACGGGCCCTCAGGAGCAAAGCACGGATGTTGTAACCGTTAGAACACCATTAGAGCATTAACGTTGCTAGTATTGATATTCTATGATTGATAATAATTTGTGGGAGAATAAAATTGTTCGCGTGCTGAATATTTGCGGCCGATCGTATTTGCGGTGAATCGATCTCCCACGCTTAAACTGATCTTCGAGCATCCCCAGTCAAGTTATTGCGAATTCAATTCCCACCGAGAAATCTCCCCTTATCCAATCGCTGAATTAATTCGAAAATCTCGAGCGAGTTTGATAGCGACTCTCGATGTCGTTGCGTCGCGATTTTGTAACCGCGTGCGCGCGCGATTCACCGGTGTCTAATAATACGGCGCGTGTGTACGCGAAGGAAGACGGTTCGTGTTACTCGCGCGTCCGCCTCCCCCATGCCAGTTACGGGTCGGCAATCGCAAACTTGGAGGAAGTGATTTAGATTAGATTATGGCGCCCACCCCGAAGTACAAAGTTGCACACTCGAGGAGACTCGGCAGGTACGGCTACCGTGTAATTACAAGCGCGCGACTAACACGTGTAATTAAGGTGTCGATGAAAAATCGCGTTGTTCGTGCGGCGATATCTCTTCCGACTGATTAACCGCACGATCTTTGTGCACCGGACGATGAAGCCGTTAACGAATTCGACGAATTTCCGCGCGAAAGCCGCGGTAGGAAAATACGCGTGCAGGACGCTATCCTTGGGAGTAAATTTAGCGACTCCTCGATCCGAAATAGACGGCAATCCTCGCTATTTCCGGCAGCATAAATCATCGTGTACATCATCGGGGAAACACGTATCTGTCGCAATCGACAGCTCGCTACTGCATATATACCTTTTTGTTTGCAAGGTACCTCGTAGCAGCTAAAAATATAGCGGCAGGAGAAGTTGTTATTCGGGAGGAGCCGATCGCGGTCGGCCCGATGACGTACAGAAAGGACTGCCTGTGCTTCGCGTGTCTGCGTTCGTTGTCGAAGATCGGCGGAGGCGAACAATACACTTGCTCCAGATGTAACGTCGCACCGCTGTGTAACGCAGCGTGCGAGGTAATACGTAGTACTTTGTAGAACATGTCCACGTGGTGGATCTCCCCATGGTGAACACCAACTAACAGCAACACAACGTCAATGTTATATCAATTTCCCGCTCAACGATGTAAGTGCGATGTAACGCGCGTGTTACGTAACGGTTACATTGCTGAGCGGGAAATTGTAACATCGACGTTGTGTTAATACAGTTGGTAATTGCGAGTCAGTTTACGTTTATATACGTTCTTTAAGCATACATGCAAGACGATTGTGAAACACGTTACATGCGTTTAAAGAACGTACATGAAACTAACTGTGCTACCTGGGTCAGTTATCGTTCGCTGGGATCATATCGGCGATTCTCAAAGTCTCAGGAGGGTCTGCGAAGAATGTCTTGTTAATGTAAAAAGCAAGGGGGATACATTCGCACATAGCCGATAATAATAATTAGACATTCAACGAGAGCGAAGGTTGCTTGGAATAATTCGATGAAGGGAACACCGAGCGAAAAGTTTGAGAACCATCGCGTTACGTAACGCCGTGTCTCATTCGAAATAGCGCGTCTTTTTTCTTACCGTCTCACTTTGAAGGCACGAACGACCCATCACACGAATGACGAATGCACGATACTTCGGGATAATCGAAATCTGCTGGCGGAGAACGGGATCGACGTAACGGGAATTTTGTTGGCTTTGCGATTATGGCTGATCAAATGCAGGAATCCAGCTGTGTGGGAGCAAGTAGACCAGATGGAGGCGCATCTGGACAAAAGGATGGGCACGCCCGTCTGGAAAGACAGAGAAGTCAATGTGGTGAATGTGAGTTTCCCCACTGGTCAAATTACGCGTGTTAAACGCGTTCAATGTTAATTCCATTTATAGAGGAAAATAAACCTTTAATTAAAAAAATGTTATATATATATAATCATACAGATATCGTATGTAGAATATATTTATATGTAGAAATATATAATTATTTGTATCTTTAGATAATTCGAATGGTCGAATTACGCGTGTTAAACGCGTTCAATGTTAATTCCATTTATAGAGGAAAATAAAATAAATGTTATATATATATAATCATCGTATGTAGAATATATTTATATGTAGAAATATATAATTATTTGTATCCTTAGATAATTCGAATGCTCCGCGTACCTGACGAGATCGGTGAGCCACCCGGTGCGGAATTAATGCAGAAATTGTGCGGCATTTTAGACGTGAACACCTTCGAGCTACGATCACCCGGTGCTCTCGATGGCCTTCTACTTCGTGGTTTATATGTTGAAGCAGCCTTGATGGCTCACGATTGCAGAGGCAACACTCATCTCACCGTGGACGATGACTTCCGGCTGACCGTTTACGCGAGCGTGCCGGTCAAGGAAACTGAGCCTATTCTTTTCAATTACACTTCGTCACTGCTGGTCAGTTAATTATGTAAATTCCATGGTTGAAAGCTCAAGTTTTTAATTAATTATAAATAAATTATTATTATATATATATATATGTGTATGTGTGTTCACTAGGGAACAGCCGACAGAAGAGAGCACCTTCGTGAGGGGAAATACTTCGAATGCGAATGCTGTCTGTGCGAGGATTCTTACGAGCTGCAGTCGCATCTGAGCAGCGTGCTGTGCCCGCGTTGCAAAGAAGGATTCGTAGGAATACAAGACACTTCCAGTTTCGTCGATCCGTATGAGAGCCGGTGGCGATGTCAGATGTGCAAAAGGACCTACGGCGGTCGTCTCATCAGAGCCACGTTAAATATCTGTAGAACGCTGATCGAAGACTGCGAGGATGCCGACATAAAAGTTCGCGATGATTGACATTTAAGACATTTGGCTCTCTTACATCCCGTCTCTCGCAATCTTTGCAACGGCCTGGTAATTTGCAGAGTCTAGACGGCTTGCTTAGAAGATTATCCCGATCATTGCACACCAATCACTTCCTGATGCTATCCCTGAAGCAGAAGTTACTGGCTGCGTGCAGGAAAGAAATGACATCTCCGAATCCTCAGAAGAAGATTGTGCGAAAGATGTTGGACACGTGTAACGAAGTCTACGGCGTATTGGACATTGTGGAGCCGGGCATATCGCGTTTAAAAGGTACATCGAACGTTTCATTATAATTATACTTATATGCCGAACGCGATAATTACTTCTCTAATTAATATTCTAATATTTGTCTAATTACTCGGTGTGAAATACAAACATCTGGAAAATACCAAAATTTCAGTAACACCATTTCAGCAATGCTATAACAATGTTTTGTAGAAATATGAAGTCGTATATAATTATGCATCTGGGAAAAACTTTCCATATATTTAATTATATATAAATATAAATAAATAATATATTTTTTTTTTTTCTTTTTAATGTGTATGGACATATTCCATATATAATTATATATGAGAAATTTTTTCTCTCCGGATCTATTCCGGATATATTCCGGATTCTCTCCGGAATTATCGTGTGTATCGACTTTTCAGGGATAATGTTATACGAAATGCATCTGCCTATGATAATATTGGCGAATCGATCTTATTCCGCTCGCGAGATCTCGTCCGCACAGTTGGCGCGTCAACTAGAAGAGGCCAGAGACCTTCTAAAGAAGGCTCTGACCATGCTGCTATTGGAGCCTGCGACAACTCCGGAAGGGAAACTAGCTAAGCGAGCGTTGGAGGAATTACGGATGCTAAATCAAAACATAGGCGACGTGAGATCCTTGCCAGCGGAAGAACCGAAGGTCTACGTGCGTAAAGCGAAGGAGAACCGCAAAAAGATTAAATGATATGTCATAACATACACAAGATATTTCCTTTTATAAGTTACAATTATCGTTTACGTCGATATGACGATTACTCAACTGTTACGCAATGGTACACATTTTGCTTTATATCGTGAGAAAATTGTTACTCTATTATTGCATGATAATAACAAAAAGAAGAGAAGAAGTCTCGTATGATTGTACTGTATGTATTTGTGATGATGTATCCATCTCTATAGCTTTAATAAATATATATATATATATATATATATATATATATATATGTATGTACGTATACAAAAAAACCTGTAATTCCACACGTAACAGTGAATTTAGAGGAACAAATAACACTCCAGAAACCAAAGATTCGCACATTCGCTTCAAAGATACAGTCATCGCTGCAAGTTGTAAATCGTTCGGAGCTTCTCACAGAGAGACCTCGGCACTCACGTGTGTCCTAAGAGCCGAGTTGATCTGAGACAAGAGGAAATCGATCTCGTTTCGTTTCTGATCCATCTGAACACGATTAAAATTATCCGTAATGCTCATAACTGATCCTCGACATTTGTACTGGTATCAAGAACAGGATCGTGCGCACAGCCCCCGTAAGCGAACATTTTTGGAATGTCTTGCCCGTAGTATATCTTCGCGTTATGCGCCAGTGCTTCGTATTTCTTCAGCTCGAGAAATCCCTTGGACAGAAGCAGCTTATTGGCCTCAGCCTGCATCTTCATCTGGTAGAACTCAGCGTCCGAGCGGCTCTTCTGCCTCGCTAAATGCATCTCGTCCTCTATCGCCGCCATTTGCTGCAGCGACTCCTTCTCCATGATTTTTTGATTGTACTGAATCTTCGCAACTTGCGCCTCCTTCTCCGCTTCTATGACTGCTTTCTTGCGATCGGTCTCAGCGTCCTTTTCTACCACCTTCTGATGTTGCGTGGATATCAGCAGCTTCGTCTTCTCCGCTTCCCTGAAACGTATGAAATTAACACAAGATACAGAAACGTGCGGAAAGAGGGTGATTTGAGCGATTGGTAAGACAACTGCTCACATCGATTCGTAATTTTTCCTGATCGTTTCAGGAATCTTTGGCTTCGTCACTCTGACAGCTTGTATGTTGAGACCGGGCGCCAATTCGTTCAAGTCCCTCTGAAGCGCAGTCTTTAGGTTCTCGTCGATCTGATCGAACAAGTCGATGTATACTTCGTGCAGCGTGTGCACAGAGCAAAATTGGTTCAACTCATGATGAACTTTGTTGAAGATCAGCGTGCGGTCGTAATCCGCAGTGAAGTTCCTCACCATGTTATATACTGCAAAAAAGGTAAACACGCTGTGATACGTATCCTTGGGGACAATCATGGGACCAGATCATTCCAGATCAGAGACTCACCACTATTCGCATCCAATATATTCACAACTTCTATGCGGTCGAAATAGATCATCACACCGCCACTGGTTCCGCATGGCACATTTTTCACCTCGTCTGTCTGCAAAGTTACTTGGACCGAACGATAAGTGGTCAACAATGGTATCATCATGTGAAAACCCGGATTGCTCACTTGAGGTAACAGCGCACCGCCCTGACGGAAATTCACGAGACGGTGGTTAACGAATGACACGTAATTCTTGGGTATGAGGTAAATATTTGAAACTCACCCTGAAGTACACACCGACGTGGCCTTCCTCGATACGATGAAGGGAGAAATTAAATACTATCGCAAAGCACACGAGGAAACAAATCGCCACCACCCTCTGATCGAACATGTTCGGATGTTTACGATACACTGGAAATCAAACGAAACAATCAACGTGAGAGGTGTACACCATGTGTTGTGGGGCACTCAGGTTATATAGTGTACACAAGGTGAATCACACGACGTTCGAACAGCTTCGAAATAACAGTATCGCGTACAGCTCGAAATAGTTACGTAACCGTGCGTGAGTACACAATGTGATAATTATATAGAGCACAATTAGCAAAATCATCGAGCCCGCTGGTTCGATTCCCGAAATTTGCATTCGCCATAAAGAGAGGTTATTTCTGTACGTGCCGATGAGACGAACGAGCAATACCTTGGCGCAGAGGACGAGAATTATGCGTTACGAAGTAACGGACATGTGTTTATAATTAGAAATTATAACACGGTCCGTTAATTTCATTTTATGAAATGAACCCCTCGATCTCGGATACTGGCCATACCGCTTTCCTCCCAAGTAACTTTCTTCGATACGGATATCGGCTTAAGGTAACACATGGCCCGTCGGAAACAACGAAAACTGCAATTTCTTTTTTTCGCCTTCGCACGACTAGTGCCTTTATATGTTTGTCTCGATAAGCAAATGTACAGTTAATCGATATACGTATATTCACATCTTTATTATTTACTTATATAAACTCAATGAATCCTCAATAAAGCTTAAATTGCAAAGCGTCTTATTTCCGATATCTTCTTTATATTACATATATGGAGATTCGATAAATTTAACTGACCGAATAAATATATCTACGATAAATAAAAAAATATATACAGCAAGTTTGGATAATCCTTGTAAAAGAACAGGAAAAGGAGAGATTTTTTGGAAGTGACATTTGAAATTGCATATCGAGTTTACTTTCGATCACATTCGATCAATCGACTATTGATGTAAGATAACGAGGTTAGGTTTCCGAAGTGACAGGTCCTCGGTGCGAAACTTTCGTGGATGTTGCCAGGATTTCAGGCGTCTTGATTTATCGTCTCCGTTTCTTTAACTGAAAAATGGAAGTTAAAACGAAGAGTGAACACTTACTAGCTCTGAAAGGTAATATATTAGAAAGCAATACAAATTTATAGCATCCTTGGATTCTTTTTGAAAACTATACAATATATTAAAATTACTAACAAAAGATTTAAAATATTAATTGTGTGATTATTATAATACATGTGTAAGTATTAATCTGGGAATAATCAACTTATTTTTTTTTTACATAAACAATCACGAATACTTTATACGCTTATTTCGTTTATTAAATATTTTTTTCGGTTTCTCCTTATTTTTTTTTTCAAAAAGTAACAAGTAAATCTATATTTATAATGTCCCTAAATAATAATAAGTCATAAGGCAATCGATAATAAGCTATATTTTGTTAATAATAGTGACTTTTAAATGGGGTCTAAATGATCCCAGGTGACTATTCCCAGGTTAATAACAAACATATCGTATCTCTATAAAAATTACATATATTTTTTAGTGATGAGATTGACAAGACCCACTCTAGCAAGTCCTGTAGTTGTTACGTGTGATTCAACAGACTTGCCAGGTAACACACTGAACAATGAACTCAAGAATGATTGCACAGCTTTACAGGGTATGGAAGCACTCGCTATAGGACAGTTTATGGTACTGCCTCAGAGTTTCGGGTATGTTTCCATTGATATTTCTCTTTATACATATGAAAAATTGCAAATCTTTTTCACAATATTGAACAAGTGGCATCTATCATTTCAGAAACATATATTTAGGAGAAATATTTTCCAGTTATCTGTGTGTACATAATGGTAGCAATCAAGTTGTAAAAAACGTCACTGTAAAGGTAAGTTTTAGTCGCAGATTGCAGTTATCACAAGATAATGTGTCTTATTCTATTCATGCTCGCATATCTCTTTAAATTGTCGATTGTTCTAAGTTGCTACACTTATAAATTCCACAGGCGGATTTACAAACGAGCACACAGATAATCTCCCTATCAAGCAGTAACTTGGAAGGCAAAGAATTGGCACCTGACAGTACAGTAGACGAAGTAATTCACCATGAAGTGAAGGAGATAGGTACGCATATGTGAGTATCTCAAAAGCTCCTGTAAAACTATATTCTTACGTGTGAGTAGAAGACGATCTAATTTTTTTATCTCATCTTCCAGATTGGTCTGCGAAGTGTCTTACACCTGTGCAAATCAAGTTGGATCTCCGCTGTCATTTAGGAAGTACTTCAAGTTCCAAGTGGTCAAGCCACTGGACGTGAAAACCAAATTTTATAACGCCGAGGTAAAGCTCACGTTCAAGTTGTGCAAGTGTTCTTACCGGATGAATTCAATATCCTCACAAGGCATCCTTATTTTTCTGCAGTCAGACGAGGTGTATCTCGAGGCACAAATTCAGAATCTAACGGCCGGGCCGATCTGCTTGGAGAAAGTCGCCCTGGAGTCGTCCCATTTATTCATCGGTAAGGTCCCTCGCCGGTTTTCGGTGAAGTCAGTCGAAACAGTATTGCATCCCGGGTCATCATTTCAGTGACCACGTTAAATACGAACGAGGAAGAGGAATCCATCTACGGAAGCGTGAATCTGCTGGACACAGGCTGTAGCAGGCAATATCTGTATTGTTTAAAACCACAGCTGAGCTTACTGAAAGATCCGAAAATGATGCAGAATGCCACGAATATCGGCAAATTGGACATCGTGTGGCGGAGCAATTTAGGAGAGAGAGGAAGGTTGCAGACCAGCCAGTTGCAAAGGATGGTACGTTACGTCGTCCATCGTTGACGGACGAAAATTACGTTAACACGCGTTGACTTGCGCGTTTCAGGCACCCGAGTACGGAGATCTAAGGGTCACCGTAAAAGACATCCCTTTGAAGGTCTACCTCGAGGAGCCGGTTAATTGCAAATGTCACATTATAAATACCTCGTAAGTGGGCGATTACAATTCGAAAGTGTGCGCAGGATCGTTAGCGATGGCCCTTTCACTTGCTTGCAGAGAAAGAAGTATGGATCTGCTGTTGAGCTTGGAGTCGAATGATTCCATAGCTTGGTGCGGGATGTCGGATACGACGATAGGCACTCTGAAGCCTGGAGCTTCTATAGACATACCTCTCTGTTTGATCACGCTGGACACAGGCATCATCGTGAGTAACTTATCAACAGGAATGTTGAGCATATGCATTGCCGAGAAAATAACGCTTGATGAATGATAAATAAATCTTATAGACCGTCTCCGGCCTGAAACTGACGGACACATTCCTAAAGAGAGTTTACGAGTACGACGATTTAGTGCAGATTTTCGTGAATCAACTGGATTGAAAGATGCACGTACGTGATAAGAATGTTTTTATCAGCTTCGTGGCATCTATCACTTATAGATTTAATAAAGAATGCGCCAAGGTATTCTTATACAGTGACAAATGTGTAACGGTGATTTATTTGTTAAAGTTCCGTGTTGTGTTAAAATTCATCAGAATCGGAAGTGTTCATAAGTATGCATCTAATGTCGACATGTTCTCGGTCTCGCTGACAGCCCCCACCGCGCACGCGAGAAACGTTTGAACGTTTTGCGGCTCGTTGCCACCGAAGACGTATCCATTGGCCTTGTCCACGGCATTCTTCACTTTCAACAGCAGTGCTTTGTTCGAAACGTCCAACGGTATAAAACTAACGAGACTGTAGTCTTCAATTATTGATACCAGCGCCGCATTCAGCTTCTTGTATCTGTAAGATGTTACACGCGTTGTTCGTGAAATATTTCATAAATCGACGAAAGACTCGCATTTAGATACAAAATATCTCTTTACTTTGCTGTAAACGGATCTTCGTTCAATTTCTCCAAAAGATAGTTCAAGTCCAGCACTTCCGTGTAGAAATCTATGTTAAATGCCAGGCAGTCGCTGAACTTTTTCATTTCATCGAACTTAGTCATAACGTTTACATGGGGCAAACCTATTTGTAACATTGTTGTCGTGCAAAGGGTCAGGGAGGACAAATATTTTCCTGTAAATCATATTGGCAGTTATGTCGAATGAGTATAATGAGGCACAATTGTGATCTCATGCAATTACTTCCTTATATTGATTATTATTTAATACGGACATAGTAAATTCATAAATCCTCACCGGGATCACTGCAATGATGAGAATCCACAAGATGTACACTGCACAATCTCACCAAGTTTTGATTCAATTTTTCCGCTATCTGGCTCACAGACTTGTGATGTGTATATAATTCAACCTGTTACGTTTTGTAAATATATATTTTTAGCATCATACAGAATTATGAGAAACAATCTTGGGCAGCATTGTCATAACCCACCTGTCCCGGACAGTCGAAGATGAAATAGCGATCTTTCAAATTCAAGATTTTGGCAATCAGCCACTGTATATTGGTTTCTAGGAATTCCATACAGTAAACTAAAGCTCCATTTGGTCCAAGACCAAAGTGTGTCATGACTTCTTCGTGTCTGATTAATTCGGAGATATCTACAGCCGGGGTATACTCCATGTTTTCGTTTGCTGGATCTGAAAAATAATAATCGTTCGTACTTGGTCAAAAAGAAAAAGAAATCATTGGGGTAACATTTTACTCACCGATATTAATAACAGCTACTTTCCTGCCAATGGACTCCAAGAACTTGGACATCACGTTGCAGTATGTTGTCTTCCCACTGCCAGGTGGGCCGATAACCAGTTGGCCGAAAATTAAGCTCATGATGCAGCGGTAAATTTTACACTACCACGGTTTAATCTGATTTACGGCAGCGACAATAGCTCTCAGAGTCTCCGTATTGTAATCCTTTAATGCTATCGACAAGAGCAATGGCTTCTCGATATTAATTTGTTGCGCTATGTATCTGGCAGCCACGTGAATGTCGTTGTTATCATTACCAAAGTGTGTCCTGTACATTTTTGCCAGATTAGTAACGCACTGAAAATCCCTCGACTATCGTGGCGCTCATTGTTACTTACTTTATTGTAAATACGTCGCTGTTGTTATTTAGAGGCACATCGTTCACAGATACACCATTCACAGATGAGTCACGGTTTATTGTCAATAATGTCCCAAACTTCTTGAAGTGCGTTATAATTAACAGTGTTTGATTACTATAAGCAAACAAATACTATGAAAGAATAATGATAATAATAAATATGATACATAATAGTGTATATCACGATCAAATTGTAATAAAGAAAAATGTATAGAAATTATTTTGCACCTGTATGATATTAAAACGATATCCGTATGATTACCATTAGTAATAAGAGCACACGCGTGTTCACTCATATTTCTCATGCATTCCTACAAAAAATTTGTCCACGAAATAGTATCGAAGCTAATAATCGAACCTAATTTTATGGTGATCAGCAGGAAAATGCAAAGGTAGCGTGTTAAGCGCGACTAGCGTCATCTAGCAGGAAAATGCAAAGGTAGCGTGTCAAGTGCGACTAGCGTCATCTAGCGAATAAATTGAGAAACTAAAACTCCTATGATAATTATGTTCGTATATTTTAGCGTGCATATTGAACTTCATAAATATATTTGTGATATATTCTATTATGCTACTTTGCTAAGAATTTTTTTAACCGTTAAAGGTTGATGTTATTTACTTAAAGTAATCACGGCTATCTTGAAAATGGAAAAGTCAATGCCGAAACAAATGACAGATAAGAGCTCTACTAATTATTAAACTATTATATGTAATAAATAATACTAAATATTTGGGTTATTAGGCATTTTTATGATCATTACATTCTTTTCAATAGTTTATAAAATTTGCAAAATAACTAAAATCAAAGTCTAAATATAAAAGAAAAAATTATGTTCACATATAATACTACACATGCATACAAGTTGAATTAATACAAATCTCGAGGTTGATTATTTGGCGTTAATAAGTCACAAATAACCGTGATGGAAATCTTACGTGCCAATTTCCCGCGTTGAATGAAGTTACCTGTTATTGATAATTACATGCTTATTAATATTAACGAGTTTCACAATTACAATTTGTCACAGCGAATCAACATCGTAATACCGATATTACACTGGGATCTCGACGCGTGATGAGGAAGTAAAGTGACTGTAAGGAGCGAAGTGACTTGAAGTAAATTTTATTGAAACAAGGAATCTGTACCAGACAGAACTAAAATTACCGTTGATACTACCGGGGTTCACGTATCGTATATGCCTGCAGTAGTCACTTTATCGCACTCTTCTCCTTTTTTCCTTTATTGTATAAGTAGTCTGAATATTTATAAGTACAGAAACAATATTCGAAGGTACGCGCACAGTCTATCTTGAAAGTTCTAAAGCTAGAAGAGAAAAAGGATTCTCCCTCTCTAGTAGACCTGTATTCTCAGTTTTACGGGTAATAGAGAAGGGGGGGGGGAGCTAAGGGAAGGGATTTCCGCTTCTTTTTTTATATCTATGTACAAGTGATAACTCAAAGATTTGCATATACCCTACGAGCCGTCCTTGCGCGCGCGCTCCGTCCGTCTATCGCGCGCGTCAAAGTTCCGTCCGGCTATTTACAATTTTTACAAGACACTCTCAATATACAGCGGTACATTATCATTACAATTTAAACGTGTCTCCGTTTCTCCTTCGCCTCGATTACAACAAAACCTAGATTTAGTCGTACACAAATGGCCCCGCTTTGGAAAGAATCCCGTTTCTTCGTCGTCATTCTTCATTGGATGGGACCAAGTTTCATTTATGTACTCGTGAATTTGTCAATTGAGTAACGTTTCACTGAAATCGGACAGAGTTAAGAAATTATGAATTCACACACACACACACACGCGCGCGCGCGCGCGCACAAATACACATGGGCATATCACCACATTTCAGGTACTTGTAAAGAACTTATAGTCGAGTATAAAATGAAGTACACACCCAATGATATTGAAATCCGAAATGTAAATAAAACTGTATGAAGTACAGCTGAACGTAATGGCATTTCATGTCCTTTTACTTGAAAATAGTTTTTATTTAGTTAATAGCGTCAATATATGTATAATATGTACATACATATGTATGCATCTCACCGTTGTAACTTCAAGTCTGTTCTTTATAGCTGAACTGGCTGCACTAGCTTGCACTAATTCAGCGACGAACAGACCCTTTAATGATATATTCCTGACAATGAATGGAGGTGAAAATCCCAATGAAAAGTGTCGATGTTATAATTTCAAGTAGGAAACGTTTAAAGTTAACAAATCAGATGGTTCAACGTTTGTACGCTCAGGTACAATACATAATACGGTGACAAAATTTGTTGTAGTTTTGATAACAAATTACACATCGCTTCTAATCTTTGTAATACTTTCTGCAATACTTTTACGTGACTATTATTATCTATTTTTGTAGTACATTAAACATTCGCGTTTAAGAAAAACCCGATCAACGATAAATTTTAATGCAGAATTAACTCAATAAGGCGATGAGAGTAGTTTTACAAATTGGCACAACATATTTAAGGAACGTGTGAATTTGAGCATTTAAGATCAGGAATATATTAATAAAATTACGGTAGCAAGTTGTAAAACATGCTGTGAGATATTATACGCATATGTAACACTCATTTATTTATTTTTTTGTATTTTCAAGTAAAAGGTTCGAAAATGCTGCAGATAATATTGACATTACTTAGAGTACACTTGATCCCATCCCCATTCAGTATGTTCGCGATCATACAAAATGCTCGATTTTCCAAACTCTTGTATATTAAATTCATCGGATATACATTTATTGAAGGAAAAGAAACGTCTGATTTTATGCTAATGTAAGATATTGATATAACAATGCGCGATTCCGAATGTAAAACTCTCAATTTTCAGATGGGACACATCGCATACGCAGTCTAATTACGGCTATACTAAGAGCGTAAAAATCTAAAAACTTCCGTATTAATTATAATAAGCAATATATATATATATATATATATATNTCCATATTGTATACACAATTAAATATATATATATATATACGTATATATATATATATATATATATATATATATACGTATATATATATATAAATTTAATTGTGTATACAATATGGATTTATTTCACGATTTTACTGAAAAAAAGCGCGCAAAATGCACAGTGTGTTGCAGCATCACTAAAAAATAGATTATATCTGAGAATAGCGTGTAAAGAGCTTTGAATACGTATTAGAATTTGGTTTTGTACCGAATTCACATTTCGGGACACTCGCTTGTCGTCGACGAAGACGTCCCTTCGGTGCGGCGTGTTTCATATTTAAAATATATATAAATAGAACGGATTTACTAAAAACCCACTGCACATTGAATGCACTATTGCGCACTATTAAAAGTTGTTCTGTGCAAAGAGATACGAAAGCATAAATATATCATATACAGGGTGTCCCTTAAATACCAGCCACACTCAAGAACTCGTTTACTTGAAATGAAGCAAAGAATCGCCTTTGAGTGTGGCTGGGTACTCAGAGAACATTCTGTACAATCTTAGATTAGCGAGATATTCAATTACATATTACCGTATTGTTCAAATACGTAGTTCCCGCATATTTCATTAATCAAAATGTTTTTTATATTTTATTTATGTATATTTTTACCGTGAGAGTCAACACAATCCTTTCAATTTACTTTCAATTTATTAATTTTGAATCATAATGTATCGAAAAAAACATCTCTATATGCTCTTGATAGTTCGATAGCAATAAATCTTGAAGAGAGTGCGAAGTTAAAAACGAGAATAAAAGATAAACACAACTTGTACGATATCAAGGCGAATGAAGGAGTTCGGTAAACCTCAATTAACTAATACACAACCCTCTATGCTAGTGCGCATTAGTGCGTCCAAACGATCTCGTGAGCGTCGGAATTGACCTGCGCGATTGTCTCCTACACTAAATAAAAAATAGTTGATTATATATTCGAGGTAAGAAAACTTGCAGTGAAAATTGGAGACCTTTAAACGAAATATTCAACAACGCGGAAATGCATTTGTCGGCAAACGATATCGTGTCAATCAGCTCCTCATGACGAAATCGAGAACCAAAGAGACACATTGCAAATTATTAAAAATACTGTCAAGTCGTCGAATGTACATACGAGCACGTGCGTGCATCGGTTTCCCTTTTTTTTATTTTCGCGGCATCTCATTTTTCTGTGAATAATAAGACTTTATCGATAAATAGGATACGACATCGTAATGTTGAAAACTATCTTTCTCTTCTTTTTCTCCAAAAAACTCGGAATATCTCTCCCCGAATTCGCTTTAGCCGAAGCAGTTTCGATATTCTAAAAACGAATTAGAAAAATACCTTTTGTTTCTTCTAAGTATATATCTCGTATATGTATATATTTCCGTAGTAAAAACGAAACTCGAACAATTTTTATTTATAGCATTTCCTTAGCGAAGTTCCCTCCTAATACAAGCAAATAATAAAATTAACTAAAAGATGTAGTATCCCCTAAAAATTTCCAGATCTTCAGCAGTTAAAATCTATTAAGCATTTTTAAAATATACAATATACATATACATATATACATATATATATATGTATATCGCGCGATACGACGGTGGAGTCGATATTAAATTCGCCGTACCAACCACGACGTGTCATCACCAATGTCTTTACAAATGATTTACACAGACTCGATTTACATCTAGCGCACAGTTGAATTTTCAGCTTGAAAAAAACGATTCCCTCATCTTCGGCCGATGAAACCAACCAGCGTCCGCTCTCGAGAAAACCCGATGAAGCGTGAAGTTGTGACGGACCTCCCCCCGCTTGATGCTCGATCATCGTCCTCGCGACACTGCGACGTCATATTTTTCGTCATTATCAAAAGTTTAACTCTTAGCTGATTACACCCTCCGGCTTGATGCCCGATGTGTGAAAATAATTTATATTTACAATGGTACAAGATACAGCTCAGGGCGGGAATCCCGTTCCGCGCGCACAGACGGGCCACTGAATAGATTAGCCAGACAGAACAGGACCGTTAATAGATATTATCGTTCTTGGGATCTCTCTCGCGAAAGAAACCCTTTTCAGTCTTGCACTCCCTGATGGTAACGGTCTTCAGATTGACGGTAACGTCTGTGATGAACACTTGATCCGCTACGGGATTCCTCGCGTGCCAGTAATCCGTGTCGGGACTCGAGAGTGGCACGTAGATAGTCTCTGACTTGGGGATTTCGGTTTGCTTCATGTTCGGCGCATTGTTGTTGTTGTTGTGGTTGTTGTTATTGTTGTTATTATTGTTATTGTTGTGACTGTGGTGACCGTTCACGACGGTGGGTAACCTGTTGTTGTTGGTGTAAGAGTCCGTGGGACTAGGCGACTTGTGACCGTTCGCGTCCACCGCGCCGTTCGATTTCTCCTGCTTCTGCTCCTGCAAATGCCTCTTCTTCGACGGCACTTCCTCCAGAGGTGTGTCGATCTGAGGGGACGACGGGGCGGACGGGATGCGCGGCAACGAGGGCGGCGGGCCTTGAGGTACGTCGGCTTCGGGACGTTTCTTGTCCTGCACTGCAGGCGCCGGTGTCGTCGGCAACGCCGGTAGCGGCTCCTCCGGTGTCGACTTCACGCTGGAGGACGACGGCCTTTTACCGTTGAACTTGTGACTCTGCAAAGGAAAGTCTGCCGTTCTTAAGGTGGTCCGGTATTTGGAGACGCGAGGACGCAGGTGCTCGGAGAGGATTTCATTATACGCGGGATGATGTGTCCCTGAATCAAACGCGCTTTCCTCGCACTTGCCGAGGAATCGTGTTGCAGAAGAACTGATTCGCGAAAAATTGGCCAAACAGAAAGGTAATATCCCGCAATCACGACAGATGTTTGCGGGAGATGATTGCTTTATGACATATCGAGAGAACGTGTGTCTGCCGGTTGTCTCGTCTTCAGCGTCGCACGGCACAATCCATATAACGCGAATTATCATTGTGTGGAGCTTCACGTGTATCACCGATTGAATGTTTGGTTCCTCGGTGCAACATTGGGCTTAGTTCGGTGTGTGCTACATTAATATTAGTCTAGACAATTTCGTGATGTTTTCTTTTCCCCCAGTCGTACAGAAACACCTGCTTTTCCTTAAAGTAGATATACGCAAAAACGCAACAACAAGGATTTCATTCGTGATGCAAGATCGTAAGACTATGTACAAGAATAGTAAAAGTAGAATCGAAAGGAAAGAGAGAAACGTCTCCCCCACAGTGGTGGAGTACCTCCAAGATAGAATTTCGTCGCGATACCAATAACTACTTCTACCTTTGTGCCGATCGACACTTACATAAGACGGCGACGCGGGGTTGTTTTTCAAAGGCAATAACCGAGGAACCTTGTTCGGTGGCGGGCTACCACTGCCGCTACTGGGGCTGCTGGTGGTAATTGTCACGCCGATCTTGCCGGACTCCTTGCTGAGCACCTCCGCCTTCCTCTTGGTGCCCGCGAGCTCTCTTCTAGGCAACAAAGGAATATCCATGCTACTGCTGGAACTGTCGGAGTCAACGGCGAACGCCGAGGACAGCTCCGGCGGTGTCGGGGACTCATGACCGTCCAAGGAACTCGGCAACGTGTCTTCGTCGGGCGCAACTGGATTTAAACGAGGCGCTGATGTGCTACCCGTCGTCGATTCGTCCTGGCTATCCTCGCCCACTCTCTCATCCCCGCCAGGCTCCTCTTCGACGACGAGATTAGCCAGCGCCTGTTCCTGAAGATGATGATTACCGTCGATCAGATCGCGTGCACAAGAAGCACGCACCTAATCAAACTTTATCATCCTCTTAACTCTATCCTCTTTTTTTTTTTTTTTTTTTTACACAAGAATTGTCCTGTACAAAATGACGAGAGATCTAGCGAACGGCTCTGTATTCGTTCTGCGTTCGCTCACCGAGGAACACTCTCAAGTTGAGATACTAAGCTATTAAAGTGATTCAGTGTAGCGCGCAAGTGATAAATGGCTCGTGTGCCCTCGTAATCAGGTATACACAACGTAGCGATAACTCTGCGAGACGTTACAGCACACTCATCGTAGGAAACAGAAAGCATTGCTTTTTTTTTTTCTTTTTATAATTTGGTTCCGCTTCTCAAGTTCTCTCATATTTCTCCGCTTTTGTCCCGACGTTTGGCACAATTTATGTTCATTTGGACGAAAACTGGTGAAATTACTGATAAAATAATGATTGATGTTGATGGCGAGAATACTGTTTGTTCTTACGCTATATCTAGTGTCCCTTCGCCTCGGCCTCCTGGTGGACACATCTCCGCCTCTTTGACTTTCCTCGTACAGCTCGATTAACCTAACGTCCAAGATATTTTCTTCCGGCTCCCATGTGTTGTATCTGAAAAGCAACAGGAATTCAAAATATGTTCCGCTTACAGGTGGCATTACACATTGTATCTAACGAATCTCTGATTGCGCGTGTACTCACTTTTTACTCCATCCTTTCCATTTTACAAAGTACTCAACTTTGCCCTGAAAACAAAGAATGAAAATCACAATAAACGCATAAGCAAACAAGTTAACAGCTATCGATAATGATTACGGACGTGTGCGGCACACACGGAAACGTATTGCGGAAACATTTCACGATTGCGTGCTTTAGTAAATTATGAAGAAATTACGCCAAGTGATGGGGCCACGTCGATAAAAATTTCTCGAATATTGAAGCAAATTATAAGAGAATGAAGAGAAATGATTGAATCATTTGATATGATCACGCATCGACAGCGAATACAATGCGCAACATTGCATCGAATGAGAGATATGAAAGAGCGTATACGAGTTGTCATTTCATTATTCTTAATTACCGCAGCGCCGCTACGTGGATATCTGCCATCCACGTCGCTGCGATAAATTAATTGGCGAATGTTTCCAAAAACGCAGCATCGTTACAGGTATCATTGTGAAACATTAACGAGCGCGGAAATAGTAATAAATAGTTGCGTGATAACTGTGCTGAAGGAAGAAATGGCGATTTTCCATATTTTGGACGTGTCGGATAAAAGAGAAAAATCCACCGGGAGGGGGGAGGGAGGGGGGCGTTTGTATTTCTCTGGCTCGCTTCTGTTTGGTTTATCATCAAATGCGCGGTATCGCGCGTCATGCATTGTGCATCATAAATTATTGTGCTTTGTGATGCCGGCGCTGACGTCAGCCTTCGGACGACAGCCTGCTTCACTCCGACCAATCATCATCGACAAAATGCGTAATCGTGCATTAATCACTTTAACATTTACTCATAATTAGATCTATCATTACCCTAACGCCGACCACATTAACGTCAGAATTATTACGCCATCGGGATCCACGTGTTGCGCGCGCCTCGCTCGCATCGCTTGCCGCGTGCGCGCGGCCAGCCGATCATTTGGCCGATAAGATCTACCAATCGGTGAAAGCCAATTCACTTATCAGTATGCGTAATTATAGCTATCACGACGCGCGATAATTAATTCGACGCGAGCGGCGCGTTGTTACATCGTTCCGTCCCGGAATTTTCTACGTCTCGTTGATCGTGGCGCAGATAGAATCGGGCGATCGGTGAAAGCTATGGCGTCGTTAGCTGTCTGTCTGTCTGTCAGCCAATGCTTACACTTGTAAAATCCGGCCGATCGCGAGCGGAGATAAATAGGCAGATAAAGCGCGTTCATTTATATTCCAAGATCGAGGGATCCCCTCGAGAAGCAACGGCGTGGATGTAGAAAAAGAGCAAGAAAAACCGCATGCTCCGATCATTGCAACAAGACAAACTGCTGCACAGCAAGCCGAGATTTGAACCCGAGCCGAATCTGGTCTGGTAATAAGTCTGTGCTTCGGGAAATCAATCCGTTCTAACCGAATGTTCCCTCCGCCCTTAAAAATTATAATCCGTTCGTGCTGATTTCTCTCGGCACCGATTAAATCTCCAACATTTTTTGGAGATTTAAGTTTTCTCATTCTTGCGATTCGTCGTCTCGATGTCAGTCAGGAGTCGGACCAAATTCAAGGACAATATTCATAAGTCGGTACTCATAGATCGGATCTTGTATATACTGAAAGAAGAATTTGGTAACAAAATTTGACGAAATAGCTTCAACTAAATTATTTGGTTACTACTTATTACAATTATTACGCAATCGGTACAATTATTTGGCAATCAAATCGTTTAGTATCACATACTATATGGTATTTAGTATTAATATATTAATCCTTTCTCCAGTGTACAAGATCGTCCTAAGTTCATTGTCAGATGCTGTACGGCTCATTTCATTGGCACGAGGCATCTGAAGAGCTTATCTGAGAAAAAGACGTTCTTAAATATGAGATCTGACAGCGAGAACACCGACTAAAGTTTCCCCTGTCTTAGAGGGTCCAATCCTCCAGAAGTCTTTTCGAGAAATCCACTTCGCGTTACATTGGACCCAGAAGTCCATTAATAAGAACAGTATCATCGGTGTTCTCGTGCGTCGAAAGAAATTCGAGGAACGCTCTATTCGCGGTTGGGAAAACGCGTTTCCGAATTCATCTGAGCACGGTCGATAGTACGATCGCCTGGTGTTCCATGGGCAGAGGCTCACCCATTGGCCGTGGGCCAACGAGACAGAAACGGCACGCCGGCCCATCGTGATTCACACACACGCACACACACAGGCCGTCCGGCGTGACAGTTGGAAAACAATGACACGCGCGATACGTCACGAAACGCGGGAACGAAAGCGGCGCGCTCTACGTGTGCGTCGTCGACGTGATCGACGTGATAACGCGAGCGAGCAGGTTGTCATCCTTTCGCGTAGCCGCGCTACCCGATATATTGTTACACGTCGATAGCGTGCGCGTAACAATCGTGTCATCGATTCATGAGTGAATGCACTTTAACGCCCAGCACGTGTGTTGCATTATCTCGCGAGTTCGGTTTGCGCGATTTGCGCGACGATCTCGCTGGTGTGATTTTCGTGCGCGCACGAGGTGCGAATCGCGAACAAACTTCGAGAAGGCGAATCGAAGCGGAATCACATAGAATTTCGCCGGTAAGAGTGCCTCTAAAAGTGGCATAGGAACCACCGTCCGATCGGGCTGAGCAGCCCCACGTTTGATCGGCACTTTTATCGATAGAAGTGAGTTCAGGACGTGGACTTTAATGATTTTTTAGCGCCGGCTAAGATTTCGTTAGCGTCTCTTGGCGAATAATTTTCTCTCGGTGTTTAGTCTGTGCTTCGGAAAATCAACCCGCATTATAATCGAACGTTTCCTCCGATCTTTAAAGTTATAATTCGCTATATCACAATTTGTGTCATCGTTTTTAATACGGAGAATTCTTTCTGGCCTTTCCGTCTTCGAAATTTTCAATCACCATGAGGACTGCCCAGATGTTCCGGAGCGATTTATTTAAATATTCACTTTCTGCGATTTTGAATTCAACCGAATTTTAACTTAGTGCAAAAATGTAATCACTTTTATATAATTTATTTTTCACTCCATCTTATGCGTACAATTTTATAATATCATTTTTTGTGTTTCCTTATTACGTCGTGAAATATTTTTTCGTATTTACATAATATGTTTTTACTTAAGTATTACCTTATTTATCAATGCGACCAAAGGTTCTCGTTAAATAAATATTATTACAGTCCGTTTACGTTAATCTTGATACCGATTAAATTTCCAAGATGTTTTAAGGCTTAAGTTTTCCTTAGCCTTCTCGTGCAGAACGTTCTTTTACTTTGACGTCGAATTGGACTCGTTGACGTAATTTAATGGCATATTACGATATCCTGTAACGTAACTCACAAAATTACGTGTAATAAGTCTTACGATGCCCGAGTGAAACGAGGCAATATCGCGGAACACGATTCCCGCGAGTTTCGCGTGCATCATGGGCAATTTTGGGAGTAGCGTTTGCGGAGCTCCCGTGGAAGTTCTGTATCGTTCGTAAAACACGCCACCGGTTGCTACCAGTTGATCGCCATACGGAACCTTTCTCCCATCCGTCAGCGATTGTTCGCCTCCGGACTCCCGTTAACCAGGATTGTATAGTCGATGTCAGAACAGTCGAGACACTTTTCAGTAGCGCTAGGAATTTATTCCCACTGAAACGTTCGATCAAAATTGGGATTCATCGCGAGACAAGGTTGTTGTATCGAATTAAAATTAAACGACGATCGCAATCGCCACCGATTTAAGCAGATGTAAATTCGTAAATACTATTTGCGTTCAGCAGGAAAAATAGCTCAGTGAGAACGCTAATGATTATTGATCCTGATTGGTACGTCTCTCGGATCTACCAAGGACCTGAAGAAATATTCTAGTCAGAAGCAATGAGCGTTCACTCAGCCTCTTCCTCTGGTGAGCGCAGCTGCTTTAAAATTAACTGCGTAAATGTTAAGCGCCGCAAATTCGCTGGTGTTTCCCTTAAAAAAAAAAAAAAAGCTCGGAAACGGTCGATGTTTGTTTCTGCGTCGTGCGGAATTATAGTGGGAGAACTCGCACATTGCGTAATTTGCCAGAAAATTGATTTCGCGCGTGACGGTGACGGAACACACGGGAGAGCAAACGCCTCGTAGACGCGGACGAGATCTATTTAAAGAGGATTACGAATTAGGATTACGATTAGAACATATTCGCCATTTTTTAAAAACTACGCTCTTGTAATACAGATGTTCGCGAGAGAGAGAGAGAGAGAGAAAGAGCATAGAAGAACGGAAGGAAATAACAGGAGAATATACGCAATAATTGGCGCCACTCCAAAAATATCATCGACGCGCTCCAAACGGGAGAATTTCGAGCCTCGGCATGCGAGGAAAGTTCTCGTATTTACATTTTACTCTCCCTCCCCCCTCTCTCGTGGCGTGCACCTCGACACACATTCGTGACGAATAGCACAACGTTTCGGGGGACACCGGGCTGTCATTCCTAGCCGCGGTATGATTGATGCCGGCGTATCGGCGGCGTGAGCGGCGAAATCGCTCACACGGTCTTGAAACGAGGCCGAATCGATAATCTTGCCGATGGCAACACGTGTATGTGTGAAAACCGGTCGATCCGTAACTCGATGTCCAGCCGTGCTTCCGGATTCGATAAGGTACACGGGCGACACAACGTGTGTGCCGTAGCCTAAGCAGGCCCATACCTGTTGGCACTTAATGCCTCAAGTCTAGAAGCGCAGCATAAATTGTCGCGAAAGAGGTGGCCGAAGAGAGCCGGCTGTTGGAGAGAGAAAAAAAAAAGAGACAAGAAGAAGAAGAAGAAGAGAGAGAGAGAGAAGGTAGGAGGTATGCGAGAGGAGGGGGGGACAAAGAGGCGGTAACGGCGCGCGGACGGATTCCACCCGGTGGCGCCACCTGAAGGCGGCCGCTCGCAACTACCGCGGTACTCACCCGCTTCTCCCTCTTCTTCGTGATCCGTTCCGCGGCGTAGACCCTGTCACCCAGATCCATGGCTTTTCGTCGGGAGATCCTCTCAATCCACGTATCCAAGATTCCGAAGGGTGCAAAGGCTGCTGTTTAATCCGTGGTTGCGTATTACGCGATGTATTTCGCGAAACACCATATGTACCACCGGCACACCTGCGCAACGAGATCGATCAGATCGGAAAGAGAGAGAGAGAAAGAGAGAGAGACGGAGAGTCGTCCGGCGGCAAATACACTGTGCGTCGTACGTAAGGCGGGTAGGTAAACGCGAGGAGCGACTTCGTCGGCTCCGATCGCACTCCCGGAACACGCGGGCAACACTGGTGAGTGTCGCGCGAGGAGAGACACGTGCGCGATCACCACGTGGCGCGGGTTCTCGTCGATCCGCGAACTTGCGCGCGACCGGTCGCTTCGGTTCAAGCGATTCTCGCGTCCGTCTGTCGTCAGCCGGGAAACGTCATCGCCCGTCGACTAACTCGACAACGCTACTACGCATCGCTCGGCGCTGTTTGGCAGCGCGGTTTCGAGCGCGGTAAAGCGCCGCCCGGTGTTTAAAGGGGTGCTATTTCAACGGCGCAACGACAGAGGCGGAGAAGCGGCAGGAGGAGGAGGAGTAGTAGATGGTGGTGGTGGTGGAGATGCACGCGATGTTTTTTGAAAGGCCAGTAGTCGCGACGGAACCGGCGGGTGCAGCGAGTCAAGTCGATCCCATCGGAAAAGGACCGAACTTGGACGCTTGGCCCGGCGTGTGCGGCTCCGTGCGAGTGTTCGTGCAACTTCGCGACACGCCGTACGAATAGTCTTCTCCTTTCGCGTCCGATATCGATGACCACACCGACAGTGGTGAGATTATGTCCACGTTGTGCGCGGGCGCGAATATATCGGTTGCGCCGCCGGTACAGCACCACGTTTCCCGTCGTTGCTGGTGCTGCTGTCGCTCGTCCCGTCTTCGTGCAGTCGCCGCTTCGTTCGGGCGAGATCGGCTGTGTCCCGAGTCGCGTGACGTCAGCGATCCCCCCTCACGTCGTAAACACCAAACATGGCCGTCGCACGGATATACGCTGCGTCGAGTGCGTCCAAATCGAACGCGTAAACTGGCAGCGATAAGGGCCGCCGCGGCTCGCGGCTATGCACAAGTAACGCGCGACGGCTCTCGCAAGCGCGGCGACGTGCGTGCCGCGTTCACGGGTCGCGGTTATACGGTTACCGGAGCGAATCGACTCGCGGCGTCCAACGCATTCTGCGGATCGAGGCCGACTAGGGCCGAGGTCTGCCGAGCTCCCCTCGCAAGCCCGATGGACTCGTCCGATCCGCTCGAGGTTAGGAGAGGAGAGGGGGTAGAGAGGCAGAGAAAGACCGGGGAAGGGAGAGACTCTCAACGGTACGTGCGGCGTGAACGCGAAGGGAAGACTGAGAGAGAGAGAGAGAGAGAGACGAAGATGACAGAGAGGGAGGCAGAGAGAAAGGGAGAGAACGATTCGGTCGAGCGAGGACGAGGGAGGTAGCGAGGGGTCGAGGGAGAGGAAGAGTAAGCGCAATGGAGGTAGAAAAGAGAGACGGCACGACCAGGAGCGCCGTCCTCGGAACAAGAAAGCTGTCGGCCTGCCTGCTTGTTTGCCTGCCTGCCCTGCTTGCTTGCCCGCTAGGCTAAGCCTGCCTGTCTGTGTGCCTGCCTGCCTGCCTGCCTGCCAGCCAACCAGCCAGCCACCCCAAGTTCCCTTCTAGGTACGTGTATGCGCGCGCGCGCGCGCTCCTATGTGTGTGTGAGCGCGAGAGAGCAGTCGACGGGCGACGTTGCCAAGTGAGTTTCGTCGATAGCGCCGCAGTGCAAATGTCACTGGCGTATAACACCGTTCGACGATGATCAGAAATTCGTTCGCGACGGCAACGGCGTCGGCATACGCTCTCTCTTTCTCTCTCTCTCGCGATTTTCCACCTCCGACCGCGAGTCGAAATCGATCGACGCCGCGCACACTCTCTCCGTCACTCTTCCCCGCCGTCGGAGCGTGGACGCGCGCGCGCGTCTGCTGCTCTCCTCTCCTCTTCAGCGACCTCACCGTGTACCGAGAGAGCCGTGTATCGCGTATTCGCGCCTACGACATCCGGCAACGCCGCGTCCTCCTGCGCGATGTACTGTCACACACTGTATATGCCGGGGATACACACAACACGGGGTAGTAGTCTGTACTCGTGGTACGCGCGCGCCGCGTATCCCACGAGCAGCAAATCACGGGAATCCACGGGAAACAAGCGTCGGCATCCACACATACACACACACGTACCTCTGTGACGAGAGCGCGTTCCGAGCCGCGACGACAACGACGATGGCGACGGCGCACACGCTCGCAGCACTCTTCTCGCGGTCTCGTGAAAACGCGTGCAACCTCAACGGATCCCGAAACGAGAGTGTCCTCTCCTGCGCCGACGAGCCGCACAGGGAGAGCGCGTGCGAGTAGGACGGCGCGCGCGTACCGTCCGGGTGCGAGGGAGACAGGACGGCGAGCCGGACGGGGGAACCCGTTCTTCTCCGTCCTCGGCGTAAATAGCAGGATAAAAATGCCACGACGGGAGCGTCGGATTGGCAGAGCTCTCGAGGCGCCACCGACGTCCCGAGCCCCACTCGTCCGGACGTCCAATCGCCGCCTGGCCACAACCCATGTCGGTTTCCCTCGACGCGGCACGAAGGCGGGCGTTACCGATGAGCCCGTCGGTTGCGTTCGGGCTCCCCCCGCTGCCCCCTCGGACCCGTCACACACACCACGAACTCTCTTCGCGTTTCTCGGTGAGAGAGCGTTCCCCCTCTCGCACGCCGGAAAGAGAGATAGAGGCAGAGCCCGTTCCCCTCCTAACCCCTCCGCGCAGGAAACCCGAATAGCGGAGCGCGCTACCGTGCCACCGGGGCCTCTCTCTCTCTCTCTTCTCTCGTCGCCGAACGACCGTGTAAAGCCGTACGACGCGAAACCGGGTGTACCGCCGCGAAGGGCGGGCACGTAGACGAGGGGACGCGGGTGGGTAGCGGGGGGAGGGGAGGGCCGTATATATACCGTCGCGTGTATACGTGCGACTCTCGCTTACATAGGTACCCAAGAGAGAGAGAGCGTGTGCGCGCGCTCGCTCGTCGCACACATGAGCGGGCACATACATACGCGCACGACATACCCATCGCCGCACCGCGCCGTCATGCTCCCCTTCCCCCGTACGGCCCCACGTCGGTGGCCGACCACCGCCGGTATTGAAATATCCTGGCCCTGGAGAGCCAAGTAGCCGTGCGGCGATGCCGCTTCTCTCTACATAACTACTACTGCGCGCGCGATTTTCTTCTTCTCCCGCGTGCGCGCTCTCGTCGCTCTCCTCCTCCTCCTCGCTCTCGTCCCTCTCTCTCTTTCTTTCTCGCCCCCCGTGCGTCTCTTTCTCTCTGCCCCTTTTTCGGTCTCTTTGTATTCGCGCTTCTTGGGCCCCCTTCGTTGCTCCCTCCCCCTCCGGCACCCTCAATACGCTCTCTCTCGTCGTTTTTCGTCTCCGATCGCGCGCGGACCTCGCGCTGACTAGTGTACCCTCTTTCGGGAGTCCCCCTCGGCTCCCTCTCTCTCTTTCTCGTGGTCTCCCCTTTACTCCCGCTCCTCCTACTCGACTCCCAAAGGCTTGCCTCCCTTCGCAATCAATCGCCATACACAGGAAACGCGCTGCGCTACCCTCCCTCCCCGCGATGCGTAAATGGAGAAAATGCGGGCGCATCGCGCGTTATCAAACACTCGCGCGTCACAAGCGACATTGCATTGCGCAACCCTGGAATATACATGGAGCAGTTCACATAGATGGCGTATCGTGGATACGAGCGGTCGTGTATCTCCCCCCCCCC